CGACTTCGCAGGTCCCTTCAACGTCAAGCTTTACCCTGTTCGCAGATTACAACACATCAAAGTCTACCTCTGCCTTTTCATTTGCATGACAACAAAGGCCATCCACCTAGAAGTTGTGACAGATTTGACAGCCGATGCTTTTTTGGCCTCATTGACTCGGTTTATTTCCCATCGAGGACTTGTCAGGAATTTACACTCAGACAATGCCACAAATTTTGTCGGTGCTGCTCGACAACTCCGGAAAACGATAGAGATTATTCTGCAATCCCATCCTGTCAACACTTGGCTTCTTGAGAAGGAAATCACCTTTCACTTCATTCCCCCTAGGTCTCCCCATTTTGGAGGACTTTGGGAGCGTGCCGTACAAAGTGCTAAATATCACCTACGCAGAGTCATAGGTGAGCAAGTTCTCACACTTGAAGAATTCACTACTTTAACATGTAGAGTTGAAGCAATGCTAAATTCACGCCCAATTACCCCACTGTCTTCAGATCCATGTGAATTAGAAGCTCTAACACCAGGTCATTTCTTGACTTTTGGACCTCCTGCTCTTTTACCTGAAACGGATCAGACAAGTACTCCTATGAACCGTCTCAAGAGATGGCAATTGGTTCAATCCGTTGCACAAAATATCTGGAAACGATGGCAACGCGATTACTTGTATACCTTGCAGAATCGCCCAAAATGGACAACTCCCCAGAAGCACATCAGCCCTGGCGATCTTGTCATTCTTCAAGAAGATAATCTCCCTCCACTCCAATGGAAAATGGGCAGAGTTATTTCCTTATTCCCTGGAAAGGACAATGTTCCCAGAGTTGCCGAAGTAAAAACAGCCTCTGGAGTCTTCAAAAGACCAGTCATCAAACTCTCCCTATTACCATCGGAATGAAGACATCAAGATCTACATCCTTCAATTCTCATACCCCCTGTTTTATTTAAAGTGTTTTTTGTTTGATTTTAACCAGAAAAACTCTTATTTAGTGTGCAGAAGCACAAGTTTCTCTTTTTCCTTTTTCTTTTGAAGATGTTCTGTTGAACCTGCCGGTTCAAGGGGGGCCGGTATGTTGTGTAAATAATAATAAATAAAAAGGACAAAATCAAGTTTAATTAAAGTTCAGCCCATTTTGGCATACATACTTAAAAACAGACTCATTACTAGTCATTCCTCTTTTCCTAGTTGGCAATCCTGCCAGTGACGTAGCATTACCTACTCCTTTTTCCTCTTATCTCTTCTTCTTGTCAATGTCAATCTTACATTCCCGCCCGCTATCGCTTATCACGCACCAGTTTGTGCCTTGAACTATATTTATACCGTGATCGGTTTTAAATTAAATAATTATCGTGTCTCGCCTCCGGGATTCTCTTTGTGTCCGTGAACGACGTTATCCACAACCCCACTACGGCAGGATGATCTTCGCTGGACCAAGGGGCCCCTGAGAATTCTACACTCCACACTCCAGGCCGCCGACCACGCTTCGTACAGAGAAGAAAGGATCGGTCGTGAGTGATACTTCAATTTTACTACTAGATAAGACCTCATTAATTATTTTCTTTCAAGTTTCAGATGTGTCATTTTACTGCTCAATTTATTCGAACGTCATAATACAATACAGTCCACTAATTAAATTACGTCACTAATTCAATATTCAAACAATCCATAACAAAATCCACAACTACAGTACATATTTATTCATAATAGCACTTCGTTTCACATAATAAAGTCAAACCGGCCGATTTTACAGATATTTAACGCCGCCGACGACATAACCCCAAACTGGTGTTTATTTGTTGACAGACGACAGACGAAACTAGACCAGCTCAACAAGTGAATTCGATCAGCTGTTATCTAGTAGTACTAAAGTTCGCCGCTTGAGCAGGTAAGCCTCGAGCGGGCAGGAACTAAGGATTTTACTCAAAGACAGGATTATTCGTTCGTACGCCGTCTTCGAAGTAACTTCGTCGTTACAAGACTACTTACGCATTCCCGCCGATCGCCGATATTACGAAGGTTAGCTATTCTAATAGTTAGACCATTTCTACGTTTAACGCACGCATTCTCGTTTTACGACTATTCTCGTTCCAAAATTCGATATTAAATAACTAAATTTTAATAACTTAGTTTCCGCTAACTCGAGTCTCGACCCGCCAGTTCCTGCTTGCCAGTGACTAGCGGTGATTATCGTTTGGTTTGATTTAAACCAATTAGTTTCAAAATTACGATTTCTACGAATGATTATTACGTACGTTTATTCTAATTAGTTCGCCGTTTTAATGCCCCCGAGACTTGTCGTCTGCGTTCTAAACCCCGTCTTTGGCGGACGAGAGAACCTAGTCTTGGGAGTAGGCTGATTTGAAAAATCAAACAGTCACAAATATTAATATTAAATGTATTTTAAATCATCCCACGATAAATTCTCCATTCGATTATATTAATTAGGCCCGACGACTCTGTAGGAATTGCTTTTTACCTTTTATTCAATATTATATTATTTACCAACGTCCTTAGCCAGATAGTTTACAGTTTAATACGAGTATTTATATCACATTGGCATAAGATTGAATACTCGTCGGCCCTACAGAGTCATTCCAAAGGTTAGGTAAAATTTAACAAAACACTTTAACGAAGGTAAGGATGATATATAGCTCCAACTGAGCGTCTGCAGGATTTCCTGGACGTTTCCTGAGCTCTGAGCGTTCGATTAAACTTTAAATAAATTGATCAGTCAAAGCCGTGACAACTTCGTATCGACCCCTGGATTTTTTCGGCTCCTTCTGAGCACTCCGGGGAATAAATTTGAGTGTGGCCAGTTCTAGGGGTAGGCCTAGCCTAACTTAGGTGAATACTAGTTTATTCCCCCCCTAGAATTTTTCGTCACAAAAGATTATAAACAAAAGCACTAAAGCACCAACTGACGGCTGGCCCAGCAAAATGTTGTTGACTGGTTCATGTTGGGAACCTGACCATAGAAAGTTATAACTTGGTGTTAGGCTTTAGGCACATTAGTGTAGGTCACATTTGAACCCTATCTTGGCTATCAGTAAACTTAACCTCACAGTGTGAGTTGTTACTTGTAATAGTAATACAGACTTAGGCTTATGTAGAGAAATAACACTGAGGTATATAGGTTAGGCCTATGTTATAGACTACACAAATAGGGAGTCCATCACTTTTAGCAAGAATCAAGAATCAAGAATTTATTACAACAAATTACAAAAAGAACATTTTGTATAGCTGAGGTCAATATGAGAGTAACTTAGGCTAAGAAGTCTCAGTAATCTGCAAGGATAAAATGTCCAGTGGTTAGCATTAGGGCCTTTAACATTCAATAAGCAAGTAACTTAGGCCTAGGTGATAGGCCTAACTTGTGCCCAATTATAAATTGTTTAGTTTCAAAACTTCTAACAGGTAGGCCTAAATTTTTTAACTTTTTTTATTTGGCCCATTTCAAGATGTTTTTCTTCTGGCACTTTTGAGGCAATTCCCTAAGTTATTTCAGCCCAGAAAACGTGGTCTAAAAATGTGAAAATTGGTAAATACTGCTGACTTTCCTCGAATTCCATAATAGCTTTAAATTTGAGATTCGGATTTGATCCGGGTTTGATAATTGATTGATTTGATTGATTGATTGTAACAAAAAATCTGTATAGTTTACAACAAGTAGACCATCCTGCTTGGTTCAAAACATAAATGAATTCTGTTGGAGGCTCAATTTTAATTTGTTTGTTTTCACTCTAAATTTGGCTTCAACTTTATATGGAAACGGAAAGCCACTGTCATCCATATGAATCCACTGTATCTATCCATTAAAAAGGTCTAATAATTATTCTTGAATAATGGCATGCTGACAGTAAATATATGTTTCCATAGAAACAAAGCTATTTATTTAATTATTTCACTGATACAGTAAGTGAGTGCAAGATGAAATTTTCCCTCCTGTCTAACTAAATTATTTTGAGGAAGAATACAGATTCAAGAAAGTGAAGTAAATCTGCTCCATTCTAGAAACGTCAGTGAAAACTTGGAAGAATTATACCGTTCTTGTCACTATTGCTGCACAAGAACAAGCAGAGGAGAACTACACGGAGACCTGATGTTGAATTGCTTCAGTAAAACAAATGGATCGACAAAGTTTAAGGATTGTTTAGAGTAAAGTGCCAAAGGATTTGCCATAGAATAATGTTTGAGGAACATGATAGAATATAGGAGAAGAATGCAACTAGGATGAGGAGATTGAGCTTCTGAGAAACTTCAAGAGGAAGATACTGATGAGTTCTGGAACAACACTGTAAGCCAATTAATTGAAGACAAGTCCTGAAGAAGATGAAACTACATAGTTAAGTTAGAACCAACTTGTTAAATATTCAGTATGTATCTAGTATCTAGCTATTATGTATCTAGTATAAAGTATCTTATGTACCTAGTGTTAGTATTTTGTAATAAAGTATACGTGCGCTTTCCTACTTCAGCGTATACGGAGCGTCCCCAGGTGGCGGATAGGGGGAAGGTCGGTGGATCTGCTTGTCAGATCTCCCGGCTAGGTCCGATGGACCCGCTGACCAGAAGTAGGTCCTCCATTCATATTGGGGGTTGAGGTGATGGGCTAATCACCCTCCCTCGTAAAACATCCCTGGTTACTTATCGCCTATGAAATGCCAACGGAAGGAAAAGGACAACGGAGGATGGATCACATTGGACAACGATTGAAGCTGTGTCATAAGGACTTGAGATTTAAAGCTGGAATGTTTGCTCTCCGGCGGTGCCAGGTGCTGTGGACATCGTTAGCAAGGAAAAGTACAAAATGGATGTGGAAGCCCTGCAGGAAATTAGGAATGGGGTTTGCCCTCAATAAAAATATTTTAAAATACTTTTGTCAAATTTGAGGCTGTGAATGAAAAACTGTATTGTATAAGGTTAAAAGGAAAATTTAAATACCTATCTGTAATAAACATTTATGCTCCAAAAGAAAATTGTGAATTATTAGTGCTCAATCAAAACTTACTGTAACTGGCTCCAATTCTTTTCTCTTGTAAAAGTCACCCTCCAGTAGCGGTCATCTTCCACCCTAACCTGGAACAATTCAACAAACAAAAACCGTTTACTAGGACTGTAATACAAGGTAAGTTAAAGTAAACAAACACTCTAATTTAGACAAAAAATTACAAAAAAAAAGACAGTGCACAAGCTTAATAAAGGCTTCAGACTAACCTCTTTGAGATACTTGAGTTCAGGCAGAATACAAGGAGCCTTCATAGTGAAGGATTGATCTTTGTAGTGAGGAGTGTCTAGATAGAGTACAGTGATGTGAGCATAGCACAGACTGCCAGTGTCTATGTCTCTAGGTAGCAGCAGTCTAGACTCAGCAGCCAGCACGTACAGGTGACGTAGGGCCTGCAGGTGATATCTGACAAACATGAAATCAATGTATTTAACTGGCAATGAAATAATGATGAGCCGATTGTGATATTAAATAAAAAATAAAACAACAATAAAGTTGGTACCAGGGATTTGTCAATTCGAGAATTTGTAGCATTTGGGAATGTACTTGTAAAAGGATTTTTCACCCCAAGGAGCAAGAGAATTTTTTTTCTTTTTTATAATATATTACATAAAGGCCGGGAAGTAGGTGGTTTCAGTACAAGCATCCATTCAGTACAAGCAGGTGGTTCCTGTGATTGATTAAAAAGTAACTACCTGTTGTCATTGCTGTGTGTTGGATACTTGGGGAAGAAGGCACACAGCAGTGCAGCGATGGCCGGGGGAGATGTGCTGAGAGTGTAACGGCCCCCTCCTAGGAACAGTAGACCTAGAGCCATGTGAGACGCGAGGTGGGAGCCATATGTCACTGTGGGTTGTCCGACACGCGAGTGTAAGAAGCGGCATACTCGTAACACATCCAAGTCTCCTGATCCTGCCATAACCTACAAAACATACAGATAATAAGCAACTGTCCCCATTTAGATAATAAGCAACTTTGAATATAAAATAAACAACTGTCTCCATCCAGATAATAATAGCCATTTGTCCCTCTTTTATTGTAAAAACTGATGATATCCAGACACCCAGATAAGGGTAGAAAGCCAATAAAAATGTTATTAGAATAGAACATTGGTAAATGATCCACTCATAGAGACTACTAAAAATACTATACTATTCTAAAAATTATATTTTTCTCTAATTTTTTTTATTTAATCATTATTATGAGTATGCTATAGTTTACAATAGGTTTATTTCAGTTTGGCATTTAGAAACGTTGGTGTATGCAACAGGAATCAGTTAGTTACTGACTACTCTAACATTGAATGGAATGTAGATTTCTATAGTCAAAGCTCGTACCGATTCTGTTTGTGCTATAGTAAAAGAAATGCAGTAGGCCTACTAGATCTATTGTGCTCTTGTCTTTTGGCTCCAGAGTTTTCTAGAGTACCCCTACAGCCTGTTCTCAAGTGAAATTGATTAGATGTTGGAATTCTATGTGGAGTATATAATCAATTACAAGATAGCTAAAGAGGTTAACGTACCTTCCTCAAGCCCTAACAGCCTCACTCTTTGTTAGTAGTTGAGACAGTGATTAATAAAATGTAAGAAATGTTGCCCTTGAGAAAGATAGGAACACACCTCTAGAGAAAAAAACTAACCACTAAACATTTGAAATTAAATATGCATTTAGAACTCTAGAGACATCTTTTGAAACGTTCTATTCAGTCTTAAACTTGTATATTCTCCAATAAAGCAAGACTTGGTTACTTTAAATAAATAAACAAAAAACAAAGCAAAAACAGTATGGTTTCATTCAATATCGACTTGGGTATATATATTTATCCCTTACCATTGCAAGAGAACAGACGATGACATTGAGACAAGCTTCGATGGTAGACTTCCCGGCGAGCTCGGCTATAGACTTGTTAGATAGGCTGGTGATCAGGTTCGTGTAGTGGAGTAGAGTTGAGAAAGCTTCTTCATTACAAGAACCTGCAAACCTGAGCCCCATTGCCATACACGCTCCAGCTAGGATGTTGCAGTACGCTTGGCTGGAAAAGACAACAGACTCAATGTACCAGTCAATAATAGGAGTCGATATTAGCTGAAAAAGGTCTTTACATCTATATAGCTTCATTGGAATTATAAGTATAGATGTGTTTAAAATTCAAAAGACTATTCAACACAAACAAAATTTATGATTCATTTTTATTAAAAGTACCGCATCTCATAAGCCAGAGAGAATTATTTTATCCAACTCATTACTAAAACAGATTTTTATTTAGCTTCCAAAAAAATTTAACTGCATTTGACTTGAATATATTTAGGTCTATTAGAAATTGTACCAAGGATGAGAAATAATACACATATAACTTACCCAAGAAAAGAGTGCAAGGCAGTTTGTAGCACACAAGGAGTTCACAACACAACTAATTTTATATTTCCCCCCTACAAGTAGGATTCTTTGTTGGAACATAGTACAGAAGTAGGAAATGGTCATAGAGAACAAACATTTGACACAAATATCTGGGTGCCTCTGACAGGCACGAAATATCAAATTAATTGTACTGCAAACTTTTGTGAGTCGTCAACTGCATGTTACTCTTTTTACTTTCTCCCCCTATACCATAGTATATGGAGAAAGTATTGTTTTCGTCAAAATTTTCGAGTTTGAGTTTTGAGTGGATATATTCGTTTTGGGTCCCCCTGGACCTAAAAAAGTGGTTTTCGAAGTGATGTCTGTGTGTGTGTGTGTGTGTGTGTGTCTGTGTGTCTGGATGTGTACAGAGCTAGAGACCACACCTGTGGTCCGATTTCGATGAAATTCGGTATGTAGGTTCTAATCCATGGTATCTCCAGGCGTTTTTTTCATTTTTTTGAAATTTTGATTTTTAATGGGAATTTTCCCATAAAAACCCATACAAAACCGGAAAAAACAGATTTTCTCGAAAACGGCCCGAACGATTTTGATAAAAATTTAGTATGTTGTAGCCCTTTAAATTCTGAATAAAATGGTACAAACTCCATATCTGTAAAAATTACGGTTCAAAAGTTATGGTCAAATATGTTATTTTCCCATAAAAACCCCATAAAACAACAAAAAATAGGATTTTAGAAAAACATCCGGTTTTGATTTAACATAGTATGTTATACTCCTTACAGTTTTGATAGTTTTTTTTTAATTTTTTGGAAATTTTTATTTTTAATGGGGATTTTCCTATAAAAACCCCATAAAATAACGAAAAAATATGATTTTCCCAAAAATGGCCCGAACAATTTTGATAAAAATTTAGTATGTTATAGTCCTTTATATTCTGAACAAAATGGTACAAATCACATTTCTGTAAAAATTACGGTTCAAAAGTTATTGTAAATTATGTCATTTTACCATAAAACCCCCTTAAAATAACAGAAAAATCGGATTACCTCAAAATTGGCCCGAACGATTTTGAAAAAAAATTTAGCATGTTATAATCCTTTAAATTCTGAACAAAATTTTACAAATCTCATTTGCGTATACAGTTATCTACTCTCAACACTTACACATGATAAAGGTTTTTGACAATTTCATGATGTTTCATAAGTTTTTGTCAAACTTATGGGAGAAAGTATGTGTCAGAATGCTGATACCGTTTATTTTTTTTTATATTATTAGAGTATCCATTCCCACTTCCTTAATGTATTCTTAAACCAAGTGCTCTAAACTAAAAACCAAATATGTAATAAATATTTCTAGCTATTTGACAAAGTAAAAAATATTAACTTCATGCACAAAAGATAATGTACACCAGCACCTAAAGTTTTGACATTTCCAAAATAGTTTGATTAACTAACTTCATCGTCTCCAAGTCAACGTTCTCAGGCACAGTGCCCGGGTGAGGCTTGACCAGGCAGTAAGGCTGTATAGCGGTCGGCACGTGACCCTCCACCCAGGCTATGGACGGCTCAATGTCATCCCACAGTATCAGCCCTCGAGCCACCATCCGCAGCAACAACGCGTCCGGACACACAAAGTCCAACAGGTACTGAGTGTCGGGGGCGTTCATCCAGTTGGCTACTGCCCTGCAACAGGTAAAAAAATATACTCAAATCAGGACACATGTAGGCTACTGAATCAAATACAGCAATTTTGAATCATATTCATTGATTCTGGAACAGATTAGTTGATTCTGGAACAGATTCATTGATTCTGGAAGAGATTCGTTGATTCTGGAAGAGATTCGTTGATTCTGGAACAGATTCGTTCATTCTGAATCAGATTCATTGATTTAGTTTTTAATGAATCAGAATTATTAACCGTGAATCAGATTTATTGACTCGACATCTGATTTCTGGTGTCAAAATGAAATATGTTGACTTAAACTTAGATCCATTGGATTGAAAAAAGAATTCATTGCCACTGGAAAAGTTCGTTAGTTCTGAATTTTTTTCATTCAAGTGCTTAATATAACAGAGGATGTAAATTTTTACAATCATAACGTAAAAAATGTCTCTAGGCCCACACTAAGAGAACCTTAAGCATAAAAATATTGAGAAATAATCCTGATTTAGTATTGATTGCACACTGAATCTTTTTTTTTACCTGTTGCCAGTTTTGAAGTACATCATCCCCAGTGCCAGGGTGGCGCCAGGAGATGTGACTGCTATATTGACACAATCCCCCTCTCTGATCTGGTAACTGGGTGACTTGTACTTCTCTTTTTGTGACCCTGCAAAACATGTGGAATAATTCAGTTTACAAATGGAGATAGAAAGTTTAACCAAGTTTCACTAAACCTTTGCAAATCTATTTTTTGTTATTTCTAATAAAAAAATCCATTAGCATTGCACAATCTGGTTTATCTCATTAGTTTTACTGTTTGACTAGAGGAAAACTACTTACGATAGTAAATTGAGAGTAATTAATTATTATATGCTGTACAAAACCAAATTTGTACCAAGTAAAACACTATACTGAACCGATGGCGGTAATTAGGCTAGAACCATAATGTACTAAATTTTTCGATGCACCGCAGACCTATATCCATTAGATTTCCACTTTTTTTAAACTAAGGAGTGTATTCAGTAAGGACGTATGTGATTTACAGGCTGCCCCAGGTTACAAAAAAAACTTTTTATTTACTGCTATTTATTGAAATGTACTATAGGTAAAGGATTACCTGTTAGTGGGCGTTTGTGACCGCCGACCATATAGTAGTGAAGTGTGTCGGCAATGCCAATGTCACTGAGACCACTGAGATCCGAGCCCTTGCCTAGCACCACCATACCCAGCCCCAGACCTGCAGCTAGAGCATAGGACTCTCTGTCTACACTGTTCTCCATCTCAGGTCCAGGAGGTCTACCTATATACACAATAACTGGTGAAATGAAAACAAAACGATAAGTGAAAATTAAAGGCTACATGAATACCGATGGGAAACGAGATGGGTATATATTCTGGGAGAGAGTGAAGAACAGAGAAGAGATAGACATGAACATTGGATACAACAGACTTAGAAACGGAGAATAGGAAGAAACTAGGAATGAGAAGAGAGTAGAATATGGCGTGGAAACAGATGATGGAGAATGGAACGGACGTGAACCGAGGTTAGTACAGAAATACAGGATAGAAAGGAAAATGGAAAAGAGGATATAACAGAAATGTTGGATGGAAAAGAAACGGGAATGAAGACAAGTACAGAGGATAGAATGGATCTGAAAGATAGAAAGGAGACAGGAACCAAGCATTTATACTGAAATATACCCTTTGGATTATGAAGACTTGAAGAACACTTACCCATCTCAGACAGCAGTATCTCAGTGATGTGGCGGTGAGCTGTGCCTTGGTAGACAAGTCCTATGCTGAGCAGAGCTGCTACCTGGACATTCTGGGCAATATCCAGCTCTACGCTAGTTGGTGGCAACAGACATTCAATGTGCAGGCTCAGCATCTTGGTGGTGTTCAGATCCATTGTGCCTGCAATCCAAAAGATGAACACAATATAACTAAAATTAAATGAAATGTTTATTTGAAATGAAATGAAATGTTTATTTGTCACATAGAATTTACATAATTGTGATACATCACCAGTAAACATATGACACGTCAGTTTTTCAAACAAAATACATGATATTATATATTTTATTTCATTGTAGTTAGTAATACATTAAAAAATAAGGTCAAAAGATTAAAATATAACAAAAAGAGTTAGTTACAAAAAAATCATCAACTGAATAAGGACAAAGTAGTTCCAAATGTTCCCTAAGTAGTTTTTTAAAAATATCCATCTTTTCTGTCCATTTGATTTGGTTAGGGAGGTGGTTGAATAGCTTCCTACCCATATACAAAGGTGCTTTCTCATAAATAACTGTTCTATGGATAGGGAACTGAATAGTGTTTCTATGTCGAGTGTTATATGGATGTTGGTGATTTTGTGATGAGAATGAGGTCAAGTGTTTTTAAACAAATATACATAGTTGATATATATGCACAGCATGAATTGTTAATAGTTTCAAATGTACAAACAGAGGACGACAAGAAGTAAGAGGTGCAGTGTCAGTTAAAACTCTTATGGCCTTTTTTTGAAGAATAAAAAACCCATCTATGATCGGAGAGCTGCCCCAAGAAATAATGCCATAGCAAGCCCTGGACATAAAATAGAAATGGTAAAAAAAAAGCAGCATTTAGTCCCGTTGTTTTGAAGATGACCCTTAATCCAAACAAAGCTTTGGCTAACGATTTAGTCACCTGAAATTGATGTTCTGTCCATTTTAAATGTTCATTCATATACAAACCCAGAAATTGTATGTTTTCTGAAGCCTTGATTTGTTCCCCAGAATCCAAGCTGATGGTTACCTTTTCTGTATTTAATGTTTAGATTTGTGATGAGAAATGCTATGTGTCCAAACTTTCATCCAAGCATTGGTTTTTCTGTTTAATTTTAACCAATATATTTTTTTAAAAAACCTTCTCATATCCAAGAAGAAGTGCTGGGAGAGTGTGTTGGGTTCTACTAAGTCCAATATTTATGTTTGAATAAGCTTTTTGGAGTATTTACATATAGATATCACAAACACTAATTGGTAAATTGTTCTTTTTGAGAATTTGCCTCACCTCGTTTCGTAGCAGCAATTCCCAGCAGTATTCCGATGCTTGTCATCTCGTGGCATCGAGACAAGTAGTCACAGGTATTAAACTGAGCGAGGTTGTTCAAATGTCCGTTGAGTCCCAGAGCCATCAAAAAGCCTGCATGTTCTGGCAATGCTTCGGTGCCCTACAAGGTGATATACAAACAACAATATGTAAGTTGGCATTAGAAAAAAACTTACCTTTACTTTACCTTAAAAAATGTTTCATTTGCATTTGCAAACAAAAATAAAGCAAACTGATAACAAGAATCTCACAGGAAAATGTCTCAGTACTGTTTAGCCTTCGCACCTTGGGCTTGTTGTAGGTTATCCAGGCAGTATCAATGTTGGCAGCACTTGGAGCAATGCGCAGCCCCGCAGCCACCCCGTTGTGAAACAGCGGCCACAGGTTCATGTGGGGCACAACATCAATGTGTGTCAGATCTACAGTGGTGCCCCTTGGCGGGGCTCTGCCACTCAGACATAGGCGGGGGATAGCTAAAGGCTCGCTGGGGACAGGACAGGCAGTGTGTAGTGTCAGCATGCCCCTGTAACAGAGACCAAGCAATATGATAATTCTGGTTCTTTACTCAGTCTAAATACAGGACATTCTAGAAAGAGCCATGATTCCTACACAATTATTACATTATTCATCTCCTGTGCAATTTCCTGTGCTTGGGAAACTTCATGATCATCTCCTGTGCAATCACAGCTGCATCGTAGTCACATCTCATGGTTTTTAACTTGCAGAAAATATCGTTTGATAAAATGACCAATATAAAATATTAAAAATTACCCACCAATGTAACAAAAACCTCCACAATTATGGTGATTTAGCATTAATCACAATGTTGTAGGTCTGATGTTGACCAATCAGTCAAATGAGATACAGACCTTCCTATAGGCAGAGCCATTGTTCTAGTACAGATGGTGTATAGGTGTTTCTCCTGCTCCTCTATAAACTCATGGTCACTGACGTCTGGCCGTTGTGTGATTGCAATCGTTACAGGTTGCGACGACTGCAGTAGACGACGCACTTCTGCCACCCTTTGGTCCTTGTTGAAACGTAACTTCAATATCTGGGGGGAAAAAATAAATTTAGTCACAACTTTGAGTTACAAAACCATAATCAGCAATGTAGATTTTTAAAGACCGGAATAAATGTTAATCTGGGTTAGCAATAAAAACCCAATATTAGCTTTAAATCATAAATTGGTTATAAATATTGACATTTATCACAATCTCATTATGACTATAATCCTTGTTGGGGGCACTATAGTGGTTATCTCTAGAAGTCACTGGGACTTCATGATCAATTACCCCAATCCTGAAGCCATCATGATTTTCTCTTGCAATCACGGTAACATTGTGAGTTTTTTATTTCGCAATCATTGCAGTCACTTTTTGAGACAGTAATAAAAGCTGAGCTTGGACCAATTTTCTTACATGGTGCTCGTTCACTCTAACTTTCAATATAGGATCAGTTCAGAATGAAAATTAAGCCACCCGAACACCTCTAATAATTTGTGAAAGGTACAGCAGTAAGGTAGTAATTTTTCCAGCAGGAACTTTTTATCAGATATGAATTAATTGTGCAAAGCTTTGTTAGTTTGGATTGCAAGGAAAAACTATCAAAGACACCTCTAACTGAAAAAAACAAAAACGCATAATGATTAACAAAATAGCCATATTGTCCTTATATTTTTTCTTTATTTGTTTATACAAAACTCACGTATATCAAGGGACTGAGTTACCTCTCTATCAATGGTGTCCATGCCATCGTCAGTGTCCTGAGCACGTACAGCCGCTGGTGGAGGAGGGGTGGCCGAGCCTCGCTCACTGACAGCCGGGGGTGGTGGAGTGGCAGCCAAGTCCTGTCGACCAATCAGACGGTATGCCGCCTCAGGCCAATCAGGCGGGGGGTTCTCACGTACACGGTTCACAGCGTCGATCAGAACCAGAGATATCCCAGCTGGTAGAGTAGTTAGGTCCCGTCTGATGTACCCTTTACAAAAAAGTCTTATTTAGAAATGTGTACTGTAATATCGAACATTTTGATTTTTTGAACACTATGTTGGTAAAATTTTGGTCAATAAACAAAGCTTATGTCAATGGATTTTTAGAATTTCAACTGTTGCTAAAGTACTATTGTTGTTAAAGCGCTGGCTACATGTTTCTTATTTATCTAACTTCTTGTAGATTAATATTGTATGGATTACTTAATGTTTTAAATTTGTACCGTAGTAAGTCTTAGTTTCATTTACTAGAGTGGGAAAATAGGGTAAGAAAAACGTGAAAGTTCAAGGAGTGTTTTATGGGTTTGCTGATAGTTTTAGGATGGCTAATGTCACTGAACAGCCATTTGCACTACATCAAATAAAATAAAAAAGTCCTTTATTAAACAGTACGTTTCTATACATAAAATACAGTGGAACCTTGATAAGAAGACCTTCGATAACAAGTGCAATTTTCAATCCCCTTGAAATTATTTTACCCCTAATCACACGGTACTGCAAACCTCAATGAGAAGTCAACCTTGATAACAAGTCTTATTTATAATCCCCATGAGAGTCTTTTATCGAGGTTCTTCTGTATATATTCTATACATTGCTTTATGAACCCTGTACTGCACAAAACATGGATATGGAGTAGACTACGACTTTTTAGTAAAAAGAATAGCATAAAAGAATTTCAAGGAGACATAAGAACTCAAGGACTCCTTGGATAAAAAAAAAATACATTAACAACTACATTCAGTTCGAAAATAGCTTACCAAGACAGCTGAGCAGGTAGACACAATGTTCAGTGACGCTGAGGTTGCCGCGTCTTCGGGCTGAAAGAGGAGTTCTGTCCGAGTCACAGCGTTGTCCGGAACATGCAAAACTCAATGGAGACAACAGCTCAGACACATCCTCATGTCCACTACATAACATCCCTATCATCTGGGGACAACAGAGCATGACGTGAGCTTCCAAATACCAGGGTCATGTAATTATAATATAGCTAAATGCAGGTGTTTTGGTAGGATTTGAACCTTGATCTCCAAGGTAGAATTCCTATGCCATAACCACTAGACTAGTCGTGTTGACTCAAAATAGTCATCTAACTTAAAAGCTTAAAACTACTTTTATAGTCTTAGCATTTTGCGAGTGTCCCCGGATGCCAGGTCAGTTCCGCTCTCACGCACGCACACTCACCCTCACGAGCAGAGAGGATTAGGAGAGGATTAGACTTGTAATCAAAATGTAACTTAAAAAAATGTAATTTTAAATAGAAACTGTTAATACATTTAAATTCCCCTGAAAATTACAATAAAAATGATACCAAACAACCCATGATTTGCATAAATATTCCTTCAAGAATCAAGAATCAAGAATTTTTATTTCCATAAAATGTGGTTACATTGCTGGAAAACGTCAGTCAACTATAGCTAAAAAAAATTAAAACTAAAATAAGACAATGGTACAAGGTTTCTTCAATAGGGTGTCTCAGACCACCCGGCCGGCTTGTATAGCTCCAATATGAAAGCAAATGGAAACGTAATTGCAACTGGAACCCCCTATTTTGACCCCAAGGAATTCAGCTAAATTATTTTCAACCCCAAAAAAGCACCCCAAAGGGCAGATTTTGGGGGGTGGGGGTGGTTTTTGGGAAATTTTCAAATATAAAGGGGGGTCGTGTTATACCTCTTCTTAAAGGTCCTTTAGTCCTGAGTATTTTAGTGGAAAAAGATTTAAATTATCTTCATCCCTATTTACAGGGTGTTCAAAAACGTACAAAAAATAGACCTTTGAACTACTTTTCACTGTAAAGAGGTGGAATTTCGTGGGGGGTTCAAATTTTGATAACACTTTAATTAATAAATGAGCTTTCAAAAAACTCTGGTTTCAACCCTTTTGCTATCATTTTACTTATGTTACGCATTTTCAAACTTTTTGAAGTTTCAAAAGCTGTTATCTCAAAAATTTTAAATGGCAACACGGGTTTCATTACAAACCACATTGTAGCCCTTGAAATTTGCTATAATTTTTGTATTTAATGTTTTTTGGTATCTTCATTGGTTAAAGAGATATAACGAAATTAGTGTATTTTAATGTTTAATTAAATGGTATTTAAAGTGTTTGCTGTTGCAAATGTACACCTCTAGGTTTCAATTAAAACAAATCTTGTCTAAAAAAATAAAATAGTACTCAGATTGTTGATCTTGGAAGATTGATAAAGGTAAGAACACAACTGCAAATATTCTTAGTTATTTTACAATTCCATGGCTCTAATAGTGCTTTGAATGAATAATTTGTTTGAATCAGCATTAATAGCCTACATACCGATGGACTTCTACAAATGCTTAAATTGCCTTCCATTTTGTTCCATGCAAAACCCAACTCTGTTTATGCACGTAGTACTTCTTCTCCACTATTATGGTACTGTATTGCTATTTTACTACCACAGGTGCATGCACCTCTCATACAGATCCAGTATTTCCTTATACTTTGTTTTATCTGATCAAACGTGACCAGTTTCACACACACGCTCATTGATTTCATGATGATTTTTTTTTATTTACCAGTAGCATTTATAGACAGTATTCATTCAAAGCACTATTAGAATTTTGTAAATTGTAAAATAACTAAGAATATTTGCGCAGTTGTGTTTTTTCCTTGATTAATCATCCAAGCTTAACAATCTGGGTAGTATTTAAATTTTTTAACATAATTAGTTTTAATTGAGACCTAGACGTGTGTACATTTACAACAGGAAACACTTTGAATACCATTTAATAAAACATTAAAATACACTAATTACGCTATATCTCTTTAACCAATGAAGATACCAAAAAACATTAAATACAAAAATTATAGCAAATTTCAAGGGCTACAATGTGGTTTGTAATGAAACCCATGTTGCCATTTAAAACTTTTGAGATAACAGCTTTTGAAACTTCAAAAAGTTTGAAAATGCGTAACATAAGTAAAATGATAGCAAAAGGGTTGAAACCAGAGTTTTTTGAAAGCTCATTTATTAATTAAAGTGTTATCAAAATTTGAACCCCCCACGAAATTCCACCTCTTTACAGTGAAAAGTAGTTCAAAGGTCTATTTTTTGTACGTTTTTGAACACCCTGTAAATAGGGATGAAGATAATTTAAATCTTTTTCCACTAAAATACTCAGGACTAAAGGACCTTTAAGAAGAGGTATAACACGACCCCCCTTTATATTTGAAAATTTCCCAAAAACCACCCCCACCCCCCAAAATCTGCCCTTTGGGGTGCTTTTTTGGGGTTGAAAATAATTTAGCTGAATTCCTTGGGGTCAAAATAGGGGGTTCCAGTTGCAATTACGTTTCCATTTGCTTTCATATTGGAGCTATACAAGCCGGCCGGGTGGTCTGAGACACCCTGTATAAGAATTACATTCCTGAAACTCTCCATGCAAAGAGAAGAAAAAAAACAGCAAACAGGTTCACATAACATATAACTGCAATATATTTCAGATTTTATAAAGGCACATTGTGTTTGGTATCAATGTTCTCGTGTTGATGAGCAGAATCTGTCACTGCTAACTATTTTAAGTTTGATATTTAAGTTAACAAATTATACATTTGATAAAGGAATTGCCACTTGTGACTAATTAACAGAGCGCGGGGCAGTATGGGGCCAGTCCCAATCCCCTGTCCTTGTGTGTGTGAGGACTGAGTGTGTGTGTGTGAGCCTACCTGGCGTTCAGGGACACTCTCGAATTGCTAAAGGTATAGAATTATTTTCACCATAATTATGAATAAGCTAAGTTTTACATTATTGCTCGCCTAACAAATCACACAGGAAATCGTGGCGCTCTTGGTACATTTTAGTCCCAGACACTTCTCTTGCAAATGTGCTATACCTTTTCCATTGTATACCACATTCAGACCTACATTATAGAAAAATACCACAAGTTTTCCATTAAAATTAAATATTACTTTATGTTAAACTCAAACACTCCTAAAACTGATGATTTTATTGGGTTTAAGAGAATTTCGCAAGGATAGCAGGTTTACCTAAATGGGGAAGAACCTACTCTGGCAAGAAACACCAAACAGCTTTATACTACCTTATAAAAATAATAACATTTTACTTTTACTGATAGTATTTTCAATCAAAGAAGCTTTTTGTCTTTTCAACTTGGTATAAAAAGCACTCTTAGTGACTGTGAAATATATTTTTTTTGTAGAAAAATATTTTTTGTGTTTTTTGGACAAGAGTGGACTTTTTCACTTAGGTAAACCTACTATCAGAACCAAAAATCCCTAAAACTAATCCCTATGATTTATGTTACATCCATGATTTTTCAGTAGAGTTTATTATGAACCTTATTTTGGTTGTTAAAAGTTCTAAAACTGCCCTAATGATTCTCTTATAATCACACTTGGCTGCAAAAAGTTTGTTTGGTACTCTAATAAAAATGTTTGGTTTCTTAAAACAACTTCTACTGATTTAGTGGTTAGTTTTGTGAGAATCTAGAAATGTATTATTACCTCTATCATCTCAGCTGACTTGGTGTTGACGGGGTGAAGACAAGGGTAGGGACTGGCTATCGGCAGACGACGCAATAGATCATACAAATACTGGAAGATGGAGGGGGGACTCAAAGGCATGATTTCTGGAGGTCTTGGTACTTCTGAGACTGGCAGTTGAGTCTGTGTAAAGAGCCACATTAGTCAATAACTCAAGAAAAACCTGACTGCTGTAAACTAATACATCACATCTGAAATTACCTAATTTTTTAGAGACACCAAATAGTAATAGTGATTGAAAATATATTTCTGTTTCACCTTCAAGGTATTATGGTATATTATTATATTATACAGGGTTAGTAAAAAGTGTGGAGACCCCCTGTTATTTATTTAACGGCCCATACTAGAAAAACTAAACTCGGCACACCTTTATGGCATGTTATGAAGTACTTTTTGGGCATAACCGTCACTTGGTGTACATCCCCAAAATGGGGGATTTGGGGGAAACTCAAAAATTTCAAACACAAAGACCTATCGAGTGACCCCTCATTTTGAAGGTCCTGGTAAAAGAAAGCCAAAAACGCAAACTAGAGGTCTTTATCTCAATCCAGTAAAAAATGGCAGCCAATTGAAATTCTCAGAAGTTGAATTTAACTTGCAGCTTTCCAAGTCTGGAGACCCCCTGTAAATTTTGTAGCGGCTCACACTAGGAAAACTAAACTCTACACACCTTTTTGTCATGTTATGAAGTACTTTTTAAGCCTAATAGCCACTTGCTTACCAAACCCAAAATGGGGGATTTTGGGGGAAACTCAAAAGTTTTTAACGATAAGCCCCATCAAGTGACCCCAAATTTTGAAGGTCCTGGTAAAAGAAAACTAACAACGCAAACTAGAGGTTTCTATCTCAATCCAGTAAAAAATGGAAGCTGATTGAAATCTTTAGAAATCGGAAATAACTTGCAATTTTATATTCAATTGGCTGCCATAGTTAATTTTTTTCTTCTGTGTTAAGATAGAGACCTATAGTTTGCGTTGTTAGTTTTCTTTTATTATGACCTTCAAAATGAGGGGTCACTCGATGGGGCTTATCATTTAACATTTTTGAGTTTCCCCCAAAATCCCCCATTTTGGGTATGGGAACTTATGAGAATTTCAATTGGCTGCCATTTTTTACTGGATTGAGATAAAGACCTCTAGTTTGCGTTGTTGGTTTTCTTTTACCAGGACCTTCAAAATGAGGGGTCACTCGATGGGTCTTTTTATTTGAAATATTTTAGTTTCCCCCAAAATCCCCCATTTTGGGGATGAGCATCAAGTGGCGGTTGTGCCCAAAAAGTACTTCATAACATGCCATAATGGTGTGCCGAGTTAAGTTTTTCTAGTATGGGCCGTTAAAAAAATAAAAGGGGGTCTCCACACTTTTTACTAACCCTGTATAAGGTATTATAGTATATTAAGGTATTATTATATTCAAGGTTTCAAACCTTGAAGATTTTAGAGTAATTTTATGAAAACTCGCCAATATGATACAAACAAGTATAACCTTGGAGTATAACATGCGTTCCAATGTTTCTACTCACATATGTATTGTCTATTGGACAAACGGAGGGGAAGTCCTTCCAATAGGACAAGAAGTACGGAACCATCCGCAAATCTCGAGCTAGCTGCTGCAGCAACGGAGCCAGCATCAGTAAACTGTCTGACATCAGCAGGTTCAGCTTCAGCTCCTGTATAGCAAACTCAGATATAGAAAGAAAAATGGAAAATCCCAACTGACTATAAACACTGTGAGAATAAACATAAAGGAAAGGAATTAATATTCCAGGGGTAAGACAAGATCTTTGTTATACCTATCTGTGATATATTCAATTAAATGGTAGTATTATGTAGCAAAATTAATTACAAATCCTATTGCACTGAACAATGTTTAAAGGGTAATTAAAGATTCTTATTCAAGTGGCTGATGATGAAGTGTTTCTTTTTAGGAAACAGGTAGACTTTAGCTTCACTGATGTTAAGTTCTAGAGTAGGACTTTTTCAGAGAGTAGTACCGACTACCCAGTGTTGAATTATGTGACCTATACGTAGTTTGTACAGTATATATTTCATTCACTTTAGAAAATTAGACCGGGAGGATGTTGAATGATCAAAAACGTAAGATTGATAAATTGACAACAACTTTGACCGTAAACTGTCAACTTATAAATTCCTTACTTTCTTTATATCATGTTGTCTTTGACTATTGTGAATTAAAGTTAGTCAGCTTAGACATTGTTTTACAAAAAGCAATGTTTTTTTTTCATTAAATTGAAAGAACAAGTTGTCATTTGTTTTGTTAACTCTGTTATGTCTCAATATCAAGAGAATGTACTAGTAATTATTCTAATGTCAATTTAACCTTAGAAGTTTATGATCCAGAAATGTCAAATACCTACTTAAGTTCAATTGTCGAAAAACCAAACAGCACAGCAATGTACGACCCAATAACCACCACTCACTGCGAGAACCGCAAAATCAAACTAGACACCGCTAGAAAGACACGAGACTCATATTAAACCACGGATAGTTCCAGAGATGTACAAATATTGGCCCAAGATTAATTTATTACAGTTCGAATACCGAGTGGGTCAGTGTATCAAAAAGTGTCGGATTATCGAGAGTTGATTAGATCTACAGGCCAATGAACAAAAGTAAGCTGAACTGCCAAAGAAAACAGCTTCAATCAAATCAAATCAATCAAATCAAATCATCTTTATTCAAACTGTACATACATACATGAATAGAGTCACAGAAATAAGAACTAACAAGTACATTATGTTTCTTAAAGAAAGGAGTGCCAAAGGCAAAAAAGTCACACCTCATAAAGGAGATGAAGTGCAAGCAGAATATGGTAGAAGTGGTTGAACAGCGGAGCCGAAGTGTTGAGGATCCCCTCCTCTACGAAGGGGAGAGAGTGTACAGCGTCAAGCTTCTGTAGTCCCAACAGACCTGCCAACCTCTGCCCTCCTGTCTTGTAGTGCTCACTACTCATCAGGTAAGTCCAATCCTGCAATCACATATGTTTGATTGCAAGTCAGTTCAGAGGATTTCAGTTATGTTGTTATGGGGCAACACAGGGCTCTGTTTTAGGGCCTATAATTTTCTTGATTGGTTCTGTGCTTCTGATCTGTACAAATTTGTAGTTGTTTCTGTCCAGACTAAAAAACAGACTAAGGACTGTTCAATTGTCTTCAGTTAGATTTTGTTCTACAATGCCACACCCCTAAGTCAATTATTTTCATGTAATTTGTTAACCATTATGTAATTCAAGACTCAATTTTTCTGATATTTTGTCTTCTTTCAGATATGTTGGCTCATTAAATGGAGGAAAGCAGGCACAAAAAACACATTAAAGTGTTGGGAGGCCAAAAACAAATGGGGTGGGAGATGCTTAAGGCATATAACAAATAAAGCTGCCATCAGTAGAAAAAGAAAGTATATGGCTTTAATAGAACCATTTAGACACTAAACACAAACAGATTCAAAATATGCAGGCTTCAATTCAGGTTGTGAGATTTTCATAAGTTTTCAACATTATCAAGATAGGGACATTATCGACACTCGTCAACAAAATGAAGTAGGGATGGACGGGTCCCGAAATTTCGGGAATTTTTCGGGGAAAAAATATTCCCGATTATCAGGACGGGATTACATTTGATTCGGGAATTTTTCGGGACGGGATTTGGTCTGATCGTCGGCGATTTTGCCGCTTCGCGAGTGCCGATGACGCCGCTATTGCAAGCAATAGGTCCACGATAGATCAGTACCACAAACGGTAAAAATTTATTTTGTATGTCTTTTTTTGGTAACTGCAATACTCAAGACTTTCTTTTTATGCACAGAAAAAATCCTGTCTCGTCCCGTCCCGAAAATCGGGAAGGAAATAAAAATCCCATCCCGTCCCGTCCTGAACTAAAAATTCAATCCCGTCCATCCCTAAAATGAAGTATATGCATGTTAGCAGTGTAAACTCACCTCCTGAGAACCAAGGTCTGATGATCTCTTCTTCTTCACTTTAATAGGAGTGTCAGGACTTTCACCCAGACCTGTGTTTTTACTTAGCTTACTCAACTCGTATCCCAAACAGCCTGCAAGACATAATACTTATTTATGAGAAGTGTCAAGAAAATTCTAGGTTACATATTCTGTGTTTCTAAAAACATCAGAGGATTAAACAAAATTGCTCTTTTAACTCTAGACTGGGATTTGCTTGGATTTATTTGGCTTCAAAATGTTTTATTACTTTTATTATATATTTGTTTTTATTAAATGTAGCCTACTCTGAGGATTATTACTAGTCAATCACTAGAGATTTGAACGTGTATCAACTAAATGTTTCTACAAACATTTATTAATATGTGGGTTTTGTTTTCTATGTGAATTTATTTTTGTAAGTCAGCATGGAAGGTCAACAACGATTGCTTTCAGAGCAGTAAGAGCCAGTTGAGCGGGGGATAACTAGCAACATTAATCATCTCCAACACAAACTTTGAAACATTTAGTGTCATGTTCAATGTAATTAGCTAAAACTGTGCTAATCAGTCATCTTACCCATCAGCACTTTGGAGAAGAGTTGCCACTCCAGTTGAGGAGATATATCCTGAGTGCCAGGAGCATTCCTGGCAGTGTACCATTGTACTACCAGCTGAACTGCGTCCTCTCTAGGCAGTACAGCCTTAAGAGTTGTGAGGCACTTGGTCACTAAAACACAGCAGTTGATTAAAGCTTTACTCTGTTACTGAAAAAAAAGGAATAAATAAAGTGGAAATATTCTCCAAGTGCATTTTAGAGTCCAAAAAGAGTCCTAGCCTCAAGAGAATCGCCCCAATCTTACCTCTAAGCCAGCTTAACAAGACTCCAATTGTTTGGTGGGGAAAACTCCTTCACTCTAAACATTTATGAGCTGATTAACTAGTTCTAGCCTCTAGCCTCAAAGCCTTTTACAATAACATATTTGCAATAAAGTCTCCAAAATTACAATATACTGTATAATCTCAATATCACTTGGAAAACATTAAGTTAAAACCCTATTTTTAGTTTAATTAAACTCTTTAAGGCAGCGATGTACACTTAGGTGTGTATTTTAAGCTAAATATGAGTGCAGGGAAAGTGTTAATGGTGTGAGATGACCTGTGTAACGTTGTTATTGACTAAAATATTTTAGTTTATTAAAGGCCCATTGATGGAGTCCAGTTTCTGAACATCACAAAGCTAACAACTTTTCCCATGATCAAACCAGCTATCTCCTCATTACCAGATGAGCGTTACAACCACTCATTAAGATTAATTTAGATTCAGCTGCTAAAGAAAACAATTCAGTGACAAAGTTTAAGTTTGCTAGGATTAATAACTCCAACATGAAACATGGCATCAATTTTGCTTACCAAGAGGTGATGAGGAAACTTCTGGGAGTGAAATCCTGAACATGCTTCCATTGAGGAACTCCTGAAAAAAATTATTGGTTTGAAAAAACAAACTGTGAAACTTCAGTTTCTATTATTATAATTGAGATTTCATATTTTTTTCACATGGGTTGTTGTGTTTATGACCTTGAACTTATGACTTTGAACACCAGCTGTCTGTTACTTTTTCCAGTTCAGGATTTTGTTTAACAGTTCCATCTTGGCTAAGGTGGATTAACAAAATTTAACTGTATTACAATACAAAAAAGAAAAGAAATGTTGCTAATACAGTAGACTCTCGCTCATCCGGACTAATGTGGCGGACGTCCGGTCCGGATTACGAAAAATCCGGACTATCGAGAGTCGAGCAAATACACAGCACTGTATATAGCCGTTTTTTCAATTTAGTTCCAGGTTCACAGTAATGATAACCGGGCATTTGCACTTCCACCGGTAATAATCTTTACGGCTGAATTTGGTTCCAGGTCCACAGTAATGATAGCCCGGGCATATTCACTTCCACCGGTAATAATTTTTACGGTCGTGTTATCCGATTTTTTTCATTATTCAAGGTAGCCTCGGTCCCGTTTCGCTTGGATTATCGGACTTCAACTGTACTGTGCCGCTAAACAAATCACGATTGCCGATCCGGACTACCGGGAGTCCGGACAAGGCCGATCTGGATGAGCGAGAGTCTTTTGTATGTTCTTAAAAAATAATATTTTCCTACTACAGAATTAAATTATCTGTAACTAACCAGTGTGAGTCTGTTGTGTACGGAGTCTCTCAGCGCATGAACGTGTGAGTCGTGAGCCCCCGCCACAGTAGGAGTGGATGGGGGCACGGGGGTAGGGGTGGAGCTGGGCAGACCAACGGGGGACAACAAGTGAACCCTCTCATCAAACATAGCATCTGTCTGAGCTGACGGCAACAGGCTGCTGCGTCTGAAACATTCCAATATGTTTTAAAGGAAAGCTGAGTGGATGGTTAGGAATTATTTAAAAAAATATATAGTTCAGCTGGAGTAGGCTATCTAAGAAAATTAGGGGACTATAAATATATAGCCTATATACACACAAATAAAATCATAACACGGATATTTTCTTCCTAATATAGGACTTTTTCCTCTGCAACGTATTGTCTATAAAAGTCTCATATTTTGACACAATATCTGCTTTTTGCTTTGTGACTTTATTAAAATTATTCAAATAAAGATTTCTCATAAGCATGAAAATTGTGGGTGCCTACAGCACATTAAGACACCTTTAAATTTAAATGCTAGAACCTGTTCTTATTTTCACTAATGACTAATGTGTTTGATTGGAAGTTAAAAATTTAAATGTTTACAGGGAGTCTTGTTGACATTAGTATTGTTTTCTGCAATCACAGCAAAATCATGAAATCCTCTCTTGGTCTGGTAGACTTCATTATTATCTTCAGCAGTCATGGCAAAATCCTGAATATGTGGGGACATAAGCATCGTCTCCCCCGAAAATGGTAACATTATAGCTGTTTCATGGGATTGCGGTGAAATCTTTAATTTTTTCATCATGCTATTTTAACAAACAAGTTCTGCAGTCGTAATGATTGTGATAGTAAAAGCATAGCTTGAGCTTGATTTTCTTCTAACTTGGTACTCAATCTCTCATTTTTAATAAATCTAAAAAAATTGAAAAAAAACCACTCACTTGGGGTATGTTAAGGAGAAAGGAAGGATACACAACTAACTCACCAGGATAAAGAGTCACAGGAGGTTAAAAAAAAAACAAAAAGAAGTAACACAATTTTAACTGATATTTTGCACCTTTCAGATTCTTCATAGGCCCAACGTTCTGATATCTTGAAACAGCAGTTCAAAGGCAATGGCAGTTACAGTTTTAGCACTGGTTTAAATGTCTGTCAGGCTTAAAACCCAATGCAATAGCTCCATGCTTAGAAGATGGGAAATTGGCCTATCAATTTGTTACAAATTCATGAGCTCCACCCAACTTAAACATAAGATAAACCCAAATTCCTTCTACTAACTAAAACTAACTACAGTAGTAAAAGCAATGGTGTAATATATATATATATGTGTGTGTATATATATATATATATATACAGTTTATAATATTTAGTTTATACAAGTTAAGTGTTAGCAAGCCTGACAGACATTTAAAACAGTGCTAGAACTATAACTGTAACTGTCTGAAGAAGGCTCTGAAAGGGGCGAAATATCAGTTAAATTGTGTTACTTTTTTGTTCTATTAACCTCCTGGGACTCTTTATTCTGGTGAGTTAGTTGTGTATCCTTTCTTTCTCCTTGACAAATCCTAACGCCAAGTTGTTTTTTTTTTCAAAAACTCACTTGGGGTATGGTGACAGATGCAAGAAGCCAGTTGTGGCACAAGTCAGGTAAGAGCTGCTAGCCAAGGCAGTGTGGATGCCTGCTACATGGACTTTACCTGTCAAACAACAATTTACTATGAGAAAAGGTTTTCAATTCACATGCCAACAAATGCATCTATCCAATGGAGCAGTTGAGAGCAAAATTAGGCAGATATTTTGTTAAATCAATCTTTTTTCAAATTAAAAACGTAATTAATTATGACGGGACACATCAATATTTGTTTGGAAATATCTCTTAAAAATATAGTTCACAATATAGTAAAGAGAAATTGATACAACTTACCCATGACAAGAATTCCAGGCAGTTGACAGCACAGACAAAATTCACTCACATTCTTTTGTTTTTTCGCCCCTCACTCAATTGAGCTTCTTCAGAAGGAAGTAGGAGAAGCTACTAAATAAAAGAAAATGATACTTCTTTCTTCTAAGGGTGAGAAATATAAAATTAATGTGTTGTGAATTTTTCGTGTCTGCTAACTGCCTGTAGCTTTTTATGGATAAGTTTGTTGGGAGCGCTGGTTGGGAAATGTTGGGCATTTTTTTTACTAGCCCAAGATACAACCATTCATTTTCCTTGTTTATAGAGTAACTTAGCACTGTTTCTATTATTAGAACATTGTTAAGCCTCTGGGGAGAAGAAAAAAAATGTCACCACCTCTACTAGTCTCTAAAATGTCTACTTGTCCTCTAACTTTAATGTGGGGCCCATAATTTACATGCCAATTTGAATTTATTCTTTCTTCCTTAAAATATTCCTAAGCTGAGTTGTCTTTACTTAAAAAACTAACAGGAATTTGCTGTAGAACTCAATGCTAACCCGCCTGTATCTTATTAGTTTTTACACATTCTTGACACTTACCAACTCTGGTAGTTCCTGTGTACAATGTTACTCCTCCTCCCTGTTCCAACACAGCATACATCTGTAAATTCTGTAACAAAAATTGCCAACTACTTTACCTGTACTATGATAAACAAAAAATAATCATACAAATCTATTTGGGAATATTTAGTTGTTTTGATCGAAAAAGTATTCTTTTGTTTTGAAAACATAGTTTTATTGAATCCTTTAATTAACTTAGCTGCCAACGTAATTGATCAAAATTTTGTAGTTATAAGCTTCAATAACACTGGAGAGGAGAAAAGAAACCATAAGAAAATATTTTGTTCAAGCTAAATTCAGGAGCAGATAGTAGTAATGGTTCAAACTCAACAATTCAACATGTCATGTGGCATGTTTAATTTTTTTTAACTTGAAACTATTTTTTGCTTTTTCATACAGAATCTTCTAAGACTTAGTAAATAATAAAAACTTGATTGTATAAAACAACAGCAATAATTATGTGTATTAGTTTTTAAACTCAAATTAAAATAACCAACTCATTATTAAAAGTAAATGTTCATATCATTTTCTAGAAATCATGAACAATCGTCCACTATGTAGATTTTGTGAATTTTTTATCACACAATAATTGCCACAGATGCTTTCTGTGATCACAATTTTAAATAAAATCTCAGATTTTCTGACTAGGTGCTGAATAACCTTTTGGCTAGGCTAAGTTCGGTTCAAAATTGAGCCTCTCGCACACCTTATTGTGAAATTACGTTTCAAAACACTTACATTCACAAATGCAGCTTCCCTGCAAAGTGATGCAGTAGGACAGTACAATACACACACAGGAACATTAAAACTGCTGTAAATAAACTGTAAATCTAAGTCTCGGACTGCCGTAGAATTAATTGTAGTGAATGACCTACTGGTAGTGATGCAGCGTCTACAGCAGGGATGGCCGTGGCAGGTCCAACCAGGGTGTCAGGGTCTGGTGTGTTGGTATTACTGAGTCTGGCCACCAACAGACGACCCCGGGCCTTCACCAGGTAGCAGAGGTATGACTGGCCTAGGACGTCAGTGCTGAGGAACACTCGGAGAGCTGGCTGTACCTCTATTCCTTTATTGGTCCTACAAACAGGTTATGTTACAGTTTAACTCTAACATCAGTGTGGCAACATCGTACAGTACATTCGGTCAAATTAGATTTGAGTAGGCTAATCAGTTTATTATTGTTGTTACCATTGAATTTTACAGATATTTTTATAATTGTTGTCTTTTTTTAATTTATTGTTTATTGTTATTGTTATTTTTTTTTATTATTGTTAATTGCTCGAGAGACAGTGAAGGAGTCATAAAATTGCATACAACTGACTCATATTGTCATAATTTTATAGTAAATTTAAAAAAATAAGTATTAGTTTTGAATGCAGACAAACCAGTTGTAGTTTATGCACTTTTTCAAAGTATGTATTGATTGATTGATTGTGACATGACTCACATAGGCACTCCTAAATTCTCTGTCCAGATGTACTCCAGTGTCAATTGTGGTTCTATGGGTCTCGGCTCCCACAGTCCGTCGTAAACCATCTGACTGCTGCCGAGTCTAGCGTCTAGTGCGGACGGAGTAGATACTCCACTGGTGGCACTAGCTGGCGTGCCTGGTTTCTTGTTCGATGTTGATAACCTAAAATATTTTTGAGTCTATATTAAATTTAAGGTATCTACTTAAACGTTTATTAATAGATTGATTTTTGCTACAGAATTAAAAAGTTTATAGTTTTCCTTTCAAAATTTATCTTCTGGTACAGGTAAGTTTTTCAAACAAAATTTACATAGTCTACCAAAGAAAAATTTTGTCAAAAATTAGTGTTCAACTTATTCTCTTTGTACTTTTGTACAAGCTAGTTTCCCTAAGATAAAGTAGCTATCACTGTGGTCATCAGAGTAAGACTTCATCACTGTACCTTAAGCGAATTTATCTACATGGAGGTAGCTATAAGTGTGTTAAGTCACCTTATTTCTTAACACAGTAGCTTTACAATTCTCAGAAAACACAAATCTTACTTGAATCTGTCCAAGGGGCTCTGCAAGCGTACGAGTGAATCAAGGGGAGAAAAGTTGAAGATAGAGTTATCGTCTGATGTGGCGGCCGGTGCAGGAGTGAATGGAGATCTAGAAACAACATAATTAAAAGACATAGACAACAGTCAAACCAGTACAATTATACTCATGCAGTAGGCCTACACTATTTTATTGAAATTACAGCATGCTGTATATTAACATTATTTCAATTATTCAACTCATGTCAGACATTTCTTTAGGGAAAGAGGGTCCAATGATAGGGAATTTAAGTTTTATAATAGTGTAACTACTCGTCACCATGAACCTAGTGGTCATCTTAGGATAGTGAACATCTATTATTATGGTATAAATCATTTGGGCTAGTCAGTGGTGAGATAGTGATGGTAGCCTTACTGCAATTTTGTTAAGCCTCTGGGAAGAAGGAAAAATGTGTCCCCTTTTACTTGTCCTCCTTACTTTAATGTGGGGCCCATAATTTACACAAAGGATCAAATAAAAGCTTTTGTGAATTAACATTTCTAGGTGTGTAGGATCAGAGAAGAATAAGCTAGAGGATATTTTTAGTTAGGTTGTTTCAGACATGCAGTAGTTATACAGGGTGTCTATAAAAGAACTCCGGGGTTTTGAGGCAAAATATTACACTGAAGTAAAAAACTTCTATACATGTTTAATACATGATTGGAAAGGTTACATTTTCAAGTTTTTTTAACAATTTAATAAAGTTCAATATGACCGCCTTTAGTGGCACGGCACACATCGTAACGGTATTCCACCTCTTCCCATGTCCTGGCCAGCATGTCTGGGGGGACGGTTGCCACACAATTGATTATTAGTTGCCTGAGATGGTCAACATCATGAATTTTCTCAGCATACACAAGATTCTTGATGTGCTCCCAGAAGAAAAAGTCCAACGGAGTCATGTCAGGGCTCCTTGGAGGCCATGGAATCGATCCTTCACTTCCAAATCCATCTGTTGCCGAGTCGAACGTCAAGTGCCTCACGCACACGCAAACTGAAATGTGGCGGTGCCCCATCTTGTTGGAAGTAAACTTAACGCCGAAAGTTTCTTTGTACCGTAACAACAGATTTAGTTTCTATTAGCCAGATAATGCACTGAGCATTTTGTTGCGGCGTCGCGATAGCGCGGCAATCCAGACAGCACTGACAGCCACACTACGTTGTTTCAAGGTCAACGCTCCGTAGCGCTGCAAACTGTTGATGAAAACATTCCCAATCGGTATGTGTAAAACTTGATGAGCTACTCGTTTCAGAGAAATTAACTACATTTTGCTATCTTCTACAGTTATTAAGATATTAATTTGTAAAATCCCGGAGTTCTTTTATAGACACCCTGTAAATTAATGTGGTAGTCAATATTGTTAATTTTCCGTTCAAACTTTTACTCACCTATTAGGTAAAGAATTCCTGTGAGAATTGTTGGAAATCTGACTAAAACCGCTCATATGCAGTGAAGACTGGCCAAGATTTGTGTAGGTTGAATACTCTCCGCCACAGAACACTTGGCTTTCCTGCAATGAAAGTTGTAACTCAGATTGGTTCTGATCCCAGATACAATTTGAATTTACTTTCATTTATCATTTACTTTTTGTGCTATCATTTAATGGTGTTTTCTATAAAACCAAAACACCAACTTTAGATAGGCTTAGTAACAAGACAAGAGTTTAAGAATTTCCCCAAAAAAAAAAAATTGTTGAATGTCTACAATGTCAAAAAAAATAAATGTATGGTAAGCAATGGACGGTGGGCACATAGCGGTTAAACGCGATTGTGGCTCAAGTGACACTTAAAAACAAGCGGTAGTCTATTTGTACAATTTGTTTTCCTTCAGAATTTTTCATTTATGGTTAGCCTTAATTCACAGTTTTGTGTATGTTTTATTTTGTGACTTTCCAGGTTTGGCCGGATTTATGTACTAATCTTTATAATCTTTTTTTAGTTGTTATCGCCTAAAAACAGGATCATATTCCAGATTCCGGAAAGTTGTGAAAACTTGTTTCACTAATCGTTAGAAAAAATTTATAGGCCTACAATAATCCCTCAAAAAACATACACTTACTGCATTAACACCCCATACAACTTAAAAGGGGACAAAATCTGAATATGCTATTCGGCCCAAATGATGCCAACGTTGTATCAATCGTTGTTTAGTGTGCTTGAGATTATATCATGTACATGGGTGTGACAATATAAGAGGGGTTTGAGTAAACAGTTTTTATAGTTCGTAGCTTTCTTTTTATCACCTGAGGAGTGGCTTTCCGCAGCTTCCACACACTGTGAAGGCCTGTCTTGAGATCAAACAGAACTACAAGAGATGGCTTCTCGCTGGTGAAAACCACTTTCATGTTCGAATCATTCATGTACTGCAGTGAACCACCTAGAATAAATTTCTTATCACTAATGAGGCAGTTTTATAAATTTTAAATAAGAGTTTTTTTATTTCCATGGTCCCTACTTGGATTTCCTCCAAGAATTGCATTAAACTAAATTGGTGGAAATGAAAAACCAGTTTAAAATAACCTACTCTTTAACAGCCCTGCATGCAACCAACTGCTGTTTTTTATTGAGGATTACATCATCTGCCGTAGTTGAGACGGCTTCAAACTACTTCACAAGTTTAATCCAACTCATTACACCTAAGCCAAAAGTGATATTCAAATGCATTGCATTTTTTTAGCGACCCTATCATGGTGAAAATTAAGACTAACCGTACCACTTTTCATGATGAGGAGTGGAGCCATTTCATCCAGTGGGTGAAGCAGAGAGAAGAGTGTAGCTAAGTTGTGGTCAGATGGACCAGTCTGAGGGGCGGAGTACCTCTCCAACAACAGCCCGAACTGTGTACTCCATGCGCTTCTTACCTGTACACAGGTTAAAAATCAACATTCATTATAGACAAAATAGGTGATGACATCATTTACAATTATAATTCAACACCAAATTTGGGATGAAATCAAGTTTATTCACAATTATTTTACTGTAACATTTGCAAACATTTTGTGACATTAATGAGAGTCAGGGCATTATGCCATGTAAACACGAGACAGATGTAGTGGTGGAATTGCAGAGGTTTGTAATGAGCTCCAGTGATAAATGCGAACATCAGTTTGCGAATTTCAGTATACATAGACGAACATCAGCAGTGACACTGCAACAATGTTGCCGTGTGCAAAATAAACAGCCGTTGTGATCACTACGACTGTTTCCGTTGGGTGGACCAGTGCCAAGCAATCTTGGTTTTAAATGTCTAAAACCCTGCAAAACCTACTCAACATGAATTTTCCAGGACCGTAGTGGAAAAGCTGTGGTGCCCATTGCAACTGGACGGCTCGTCTCAGAGCAGTAAAATGTAGACTGCAATAGTGGTATTTTAATATGTTTGTATTTATTTATTTATTACTTAGTACAGCACACATACAATGAATTTACAATACCAAACTGTATATGCCTTAAAAAAAAGGCTTGTCCGCAGCGTTTCTTTTAATACTAATAGTCTTTTCCATCTTTATCTAGGTTTTGCTTGAGTCAGTGTGAACTATTAACTATACAAAAATTAGCATTTTAAAACTTTTTTTACAAAAAAAGATGTTGGCGGCCTCAAAAGGCTTTTGACCTAGCATTTGCCCATCCACATAGGCAATTGACCTGTGTGTGGAACAAGTCCAGCAAAGCAAGGGGTGAGTCGGCACAGTACAAGGATGGACTGAACTGATAAAAAGTAGAGGCAGTGCCCAAGATGCGAACCCAAAACCACTGCCTTAGGCCCAAAGTCCGTGATGCTACCGATTGGGCCACCACCTCACCAACTGTTTCTTGGGTATTTTGGATATCTGTTTAGGTTGTATTATAGTAGGTTACGCAACGATTACCTAAAGATAGTGTTAACAACACAAGTAGAAAATTTAAGGTACGTGAGTTGTGTACACTACTTTAACTACGACAGTGTTTCAATTACTAAAAATCACTAATCATAACTTTTAAGAGAGGTTATGTTTTTGTTTACAACCTCTCATTGCCACTGACAGTGATGCAACAAAACATTGTACCAAATACTAATTGCACCACTCAACAATTAATTTGGCCTGAACAGCTGATTAGTTTAAGTTTGAATCATTACAATTTTACTTATCCTCTCTCCATCCTTGAACCTCATTGGTCCTTTATCCGTGTTGTTATGAGTAAAACTATGCTGTTATAAAAGTAGCCTAAACAATGCTGTTATGAGATACTTTTCAGTTCTAAGAACTGTACTGAAACGGCTGGACCTAATTTAAAAAATGGTCGTAGGTAAAATTATTTATGAAACTATTTTTGAATGGTTAAACACTATATTATTTCATTTATTCTCTTGCTGGCAAAGTAAAATGGATCCATTATAAACTTATAGGCCTACTTAAAAAAGTCAAAACTGGTAATGGTTTATTGGTTTTATCTTTTTATGACTCGACCTTTTTTATGAGTGTTCGATAAAATGTACCTATGTATTTTATCATGCTCCACTGCCAAAACTTTGATTTCCTTAGTTAACAGACCGATTTAAACAAAACTCCACCAATGAAAACTATGTCAGTAAAAGTTAGCCAAAACTTAAATACAAATTATTGTTATACATAGCTTATTTTATTTAGGCAGTAAACATTGTAAAATATTTTTGTACAATAATCAATTATTGAATAAAAACCACCAACCTTAAACTGCAAAGCAGACAAGAAATCCTCTCCATCAACAGTAAAAACATTCACCTTTTTCTCATCCAACAAGCATATGCTTGGCATAGCAACCTCTGTAACATAAAAAATAATATTTTATTCCAACCTCTAGGAAATTAACTTTTAAAATCCAAGCCAGTTTATCACTACCTTACTTCTGAGGATAATCATTGCATATTTTATATTGATATACAAAAGTAAAATCTTTTGCCCAGTTCTGTAACTGGTTCTTATTAAGTAGCCTACCGGTAACTAAAGACTTTAAAAACTAAGCCCGCGTATAGCTTTAAAAGGCATTAGTTAGTTGAATCTCACCTGTGGGCTTTAAGGGGTTATTTTACCTTAACTCTGTCAGGTCTGTACTAAGTGATTGGCTTTCCTTGTTTTTCCTGTATGGAAGCACGACAGAACATACTCAACATGTCTTATTATCAGCTCTACATCTTTAAATCCCACATGGTATTAATATTGATTGTGTGAATATCCCCACTTTTTCCACACGAAAAACGTTGTAGGCCCCTACCAGAAGCTTATATTTAACTAATAGGCTAAGAATACTGTATACAAAAATAAACAATAATTTTTTAGCCTCTAGATTGCTTATAATTAATTGATATTACAAGACCTTGCCTTTAAAAAATAGGATTGCTAAGGTCTTATAACATCAATTAACAAAAATTCTATCGAAAAAATCAATTAAATGCCTTACCACAGCTGTTGGGTACTGGTTTTATGAAGTTGACGTACAAGGCGTGCGTGATGGCAGTCTCCACCGTGTAGCTACAGACGAGCGATCGTCCGGCCACACTACTGGCAACACTTGGTCCCACCATCCCTCGGCTCCAGACAGCTGTCTTGTCCTTGATGTACAACTCCTCCTCGGCACTGATCTGTCCCTTGCCTTCCCCCACCACCAGCTCTCGCAACGTCCACCACTCATTCTGCAAACGACATAAAAAGTGATTGATGAATACACTGTGATTTATGCTAAGCAATAAAAAAATATCTAAATTTTCTTACCATATATAAGATTTGTGATTTTTTCAACACGTTATTTCAACACGTTATGTCCAAAATACGGTAGGCTACTTAGAAGTTGATAAAACTTAAGTTAAGAATTTAAGATTATAAGATTACATGTGTTATTTTAGTCATAGATAATTTAAATATTTTGGGGCCTAACTTATGTTGTTATTAGAGAACAGGGATGAAAATTAGAGCATGTTTCACTTAAATTCTTAGCACACCAAAGGTTTAAAAAGTCTTTGGCCTTTGTGAATGTGTTCTAAAAAAGCTTTGCCTGTAAGATATTTAAAGTTAAAAAGTTGGGAGTGTTTCTTTCAGGACAAAGCATAGGTACTTAGTAAGTTAATTGGTTAACATATTTTTTCACTAGGCCTAAATGATTGGGTTATTTAATAGATTATCGTAAAAATTAAAATTATTATACCCTACAACTTAAATATTTGTGTATTATATTTATGTGTAAAAATTTCTTAATCGTCAACAAACACATACGTTTAAAAAGATCATCAACAAACAAGGATACTCATTTGATGGCCATTCAGAAAAGTTATTAAGTTAACTTACACTAATGCAAATAAGAAATAAATGATAACAAGTAAATCATTACGGTAGGCTTACTTACATCTGTGTGATGGTCAATGTTAACCTCACTAAGTCTCTCAACCAAGGAATTCTCAGACAGTGCTTGAGTAGCAGGTGGCAAAATTGTGCCTGGATGGTTTTTAATCTTTTGCCGCCCAAAAGGGACAAACTCCTGAAATAAAATTCAGTTAACGTAAACTGTTTTACAAAACACAGAGGATACACATTCGGTAACCAGACGTGGATTAGGCGTCCAACAGTGACGTCACCGGGTTGTGTGGTCCCAGAACGCCATTACCACTTAACGATACGATTTACAGCCATTGGTGTTCGTGGTGTAGTGCATAGAGTGCTAGGTTGATAAGCAAGAGGTCCCTGGTTCGAATCCCATTGGTATCTTTAACTTTTTGTCAAAGATTTTGCTTTAAATGCCATTTCTTCTTAACTGTATACATCTTTCGTTAGAATTTTGGCATTTATAATTCTATTTTATGAACAGAATTTAGCCTTCATTCAATTTTCATTATCTGCAAGTTTGGTTGGTTAGGCCTAGGTTAGGTTATCACAGTAACTGCCGGACGCCTAGTCCACGTCTGGTTACTGGACTTGTATCCTATGTGTTTACAAAAATACAAATACTAAAATATTCACTCCTATTCAAAGCAACAAACATGTTTACCAGTACCCTATTCCTCAAGACTTAATAGTCAGCATTTGATGACTTATATTAATTGTCTTAGATTTCATAAATAGGCTTAAGTTTAAATTCATTATTTTTTTATTTATTAGGTTCTATTCAACTGCTTTGTTTTTAACTTTTGAATACCACAGCAGACGTTCATTAACAACGATTCATCCGGCTGTTCTTTATTGAATGGTGAAATGAATTTTTGTTTATTTGCACAATGAGTAATTTTTTTTACCTTTTGATTACCTATCTACACAAGGGTATTAAACGGGTGATTTATTCATCCATTCTCAGGTGAATCATCTGCTCATGCTCAGCACAACAGTACATACTTTAATGCATTCGGGCAGATATTATTAATTACGTAGTTAAGTTATTAACACTTTATTAATTTGTACAAACCGCCTTCATACCTTTTAGGCGTAAAATTATTACGTAAAAAATAAATAACCAGTATATCGAGTGGTCATAATTACTAGACACACCGAAATATGAAATAATTAGATAACCAAGCAACTTAAAAAATGGGAATCGTCTCCTAAATAGCAAATAGCCTAACAAACGAAAACATTAATTATTTATTTTAAATAATTTCAAACAGATAAAAAATAAATAAATATATATATATGTATTATAAAAATAAAACATAGAAGAGGGGAGTAATTTTCTTGCAATAGGCTACATGTTAGTTGAGCGGAGCGAGCGAAGCTCTTATACGTCGACTCTTATGCATTTCGTAATACGCAAACTCCTCCTAGACGGCTGAATCAATGGTTTTCAAATTTTACATGGTGATAAAGACCATATTGGTGAGTGCCAACATCTATATGGCGTTAAAAAAGTCTCTCAGGAATCCGCCCCACTGGGTCACAAAGTTTCAATTGTAATAGTCCGGACTGTGGGAACTGTTTGTGACGATTAGATTAGGGTATCTATTTTTTTTTTAATTCTATGGGAAGGGATGAAAACAGGTCCGCGTGGTGAAGGAAGTAGTAAAGGCGAGCTGTCCGGAGTGTGGAAACTGTTTATGACGATTAGATTGAGGTATCTGCAATCCAAAAATGCTATTGGGAGGGAAGGAAACAGGTTCGCGAAGTAGGAAGTGGTGAAGGAAGTAGTCAAGGCGAGCTGTCCGGAGTGTGGGAACTGTTTATGATGATTAGATTAAGGTATTTGCAATCCTAAAATGCTATGGAAAGGAAGGGAAACAGGTCCGTGACGTAGGAGGTAGTGAAGGAAGTAGTAAAGGCGAGCAGTCCAGAGTATGGGAACTTTTTATGACGATTAGATTAAGGTTTCTGCAATCCTAAAATGCTATGGGAAGGGAGGGAAACAGGTCCGTGACGTAGGAAGAGGTGATGGAAGTAGTCAAGGCGAGCTGTCCAGAGTGTGGGAACTGTTTGTGACGATTAGATTAAGGTATCTGCAATTCTAAAATACTATGGGAAGGGAGGGAAACAGGTCCGAGACGTAGGAAGTGGTGAAGGAAGTAGTAAAGTCGAGCTGTTTGGAGTGTGGGAGAGAGGGAAACAGGTCCGCGACGTAGGAAGAAGTGAAGGAAGTAGTAAGGTGAGCAGTGTGGAGTGTGGGAACAAGAAACCGTTTGTAGCAGTTAGATTAATGTATCTGCAAAGCTGAAATGCTATGAGAAGGGATAGAAGCATGCCCACGACATAGAAAACGGTGAAAGAAGTAGTAGGCCTAAAGGCTAGCAGTGCGGAGTGTGGGGAATGTTTGTGGCAATTAGATTAACACTTCTAAATTACTAAAATGGTATGGAAAGAGATGAAAACAGATCCACGACGTAGGAAGTGGCTTAGGAAGTAGTAAAGTATGAGCATAGTGTGAGGATCATCTGTGGCAGTTAGATTAATGTATCTTCAATCCTAAAAAATGCTATGAGATGGGAAGGAATCAGGCCCCACGACAGAGGAAGTGGTGAAGGAAGTATTTAAGGCTGGCAGTGCAGAGTGGGGAACCGTTTGGGCAGTAAGATAAATGTATCTGTAATACTTAAATGCTATGAGAAGGGAAGGAAACAGGTCTATGACGTAGGAAATGGTGAAGCAATTCGTAAGGCTAGCAGTGCAGAGTGTGGGAACTGTCTTTGGCAATTAGCCTACATTAATGTACGGTATCTGCAGTCCTAATATGCTATGGGAAGAGAGGGAAACAGATCCACGACGTAGGGGGTGGTGAAGGAAGTAGTAAAGGTGAGCAGTGTTGAGTGTGGGAATGGATTAATGTATCAGCAATACTAAAATGCTATGGGAAGAGACTGTAGACTGTGTAGGTTGAAATGATTACGAAGCACAAATCGATACATATTTTCGATACATGCAATCGTTTACAATCGAAATTTACAACTGAGTTGACAACAACTGATTTTTACTCCCTAGAGAGTAAAAATGCTAGCCTACTTTAGACCTGCAACTACTGTTTTTACTGCAGTATGACAAAAACCATGTAATATGAACCCTTGATGACTCCGCTCAATTTTGTAGATGCCTCTGCGAACGCCATCTAGTTCATGCAAAACATATATTTATCTGTTTATTCATGCACAGGTAAATTCTCCAAAACATGGCGCTGGATAGGAATGCCAAACGCCACAATACCAAAACTATCTATCTGATCAGGGGCGCGAACAGATGGTTTATCCATTCGTTCTCTAGTCGGATAGTTTTATCTGTCTCCAGAAGCAACCGCACGGACGCTCCCCACCCCACTACACTAAAAACCATCGGATGAATCATTCATCTGAAGACTATCGGATGAAAGTAAAAACCATCAGATGGTTGAAATCAGTCCTTTGTCCCATCACTACAAGCCTGAGTGAGAACAGACCTGGGCTGCACTTTACTTTAGGTCCTACACAAACAACCGAATGAAAATATCGATTATTCGATTGTTTCATTCAATATATCGTTTGGTTAGTTAGGTTAGGTTAACCTTACCTAACTAACGAAACGATATACCGAATATAGCAATCAATATTTGCATTCGAATGGGTGTAGGACCTAAAGTAAAGTGCAGCCCAGACCTGCTTAAAAGTTGTTGACCCATAAATAAGTAGATTGTGGATTTTTCACATTGCCTTAAATACGAGTAGCCTATGCCTTATGAGAAAAGGGGTACACTTCCATATCTGTTGGCACAAACAACCGAATGAGTAATACTGATTGTTCGATTGTTTAATTCGATATATCGTTTGGTTAGTTAGGTTAGGTTAACCTTACCTAACTATAACCAAACGATATATCGAATACCTAATCGATATATCGATCGATATTACTCATTCGATTGTTTGTGCCAACAGATATGGAAGTGTACCCGAGAAAAGTTTGAACATCAGCAAAAAACAGATTAAGCCCAAGTTAGATTCATGATTTATATTTATTTAGGTACCGGTATCTAACCTGAGGCTCGGAGGCGGCAATCATTTCTTCTTCTTTGTCATCCAGTTTTCAGTCTCCTAAATCAAATACCTACAAGACAAGATACACAATTTTCTATTTTTAAGTAGTCAAAATATACTACTGAAAGAGAATACTTCACAATAAAAACATTCACTTTTGAAAGGCCTACTTTGTTTCTTGTTTGTTTTGTTTTTAATTTTGAGGTTAAGTAAGAAGAAGAAGGTTTGGATATTGGTTGGATTGGGTACAGTACCACAGAGAAAGTTTGGCCAACTCAACAAAAATTATTCTCAATATGGCCGTTGATTATAAAAAAACTAGTTCATAAATTTGTATGAGGACATATGGTAAACAAGAGAACACAACTGAAATTGGCATGACTTCCCTTGCAGTATACTTAGTGGTCATAAAAAGTACATTTGATACCACCCAATATTAGTAAGAATAATCACATGCCAATCTAAATTTAACACGTTATTATTATTTTTCATTCATCCTGAGCCAGGCTCCCTGTGGGGCTATCTACATCTCTCTATACAGTAGAATCCCTCATATCCGACCTTGGCATAACTGACTCTTCAGGATATCATCCGACCTAGTGTATGGCCGATAACGGGCGTTCCCAGCGCTGTCGCTGATACAGATAGATATTCTTACGGGTGTTGCCGTGGTCGCGGTAGACGATTACGCCTACCGATGTTGCCGTGACCGCAAGATATCATAAGTTACGAGTTTTGCCGCAATCGTGGAAGACGATTCAAGATATCCTCACAGGTTTTTCTGCGATCGCGGGAGACGATTATTGATGTGAGTGTGACAACAACATATCTTCACATCTGATGTTGCAATCACGAGATACGGTTACTGGGGTTTCCGTGATCGCAGGTATGCTCACTGGCGTTTCCGCGATCACGGAAGATGTTTACCAGTGTCATTGAGAGTGCAAGATATGCTCCTCCCGATTTCCGACCTTTTGGCCGTTTCGACCGTGGCCCGGTATCGCCTATGTATGAGGGGGTATGAGGGGTTCAACCTTAGGCAAGTACATACTGACTGACAGCTGAACAGTGATCATATCTAAGAAATATACAACTAGAATTATCAAATTTATTTCGCATTTCGCACAGGGGTGTCCTGTATGGTGAAGATACATATAGCCCCATACTTAGTATGGTGAAGATAAGACTGGTTTTTACGATATTCAAAATTTAAGGGGGCGCAATTAATGCCTTTGTAAAAATTCAGTCTGACCATTTGGTAGACTATCGCGAGCGCGCGGCCAAGTCAGCTGGCAGAGTGAGAAAGAGTGAGACAAAGAATCTATTTAGAAAGAGAAAGAGATAAGAGTAAAAGAGAAGCGCAGCCGCCGTGCGAGCGATCGTAGCGGCGGCCGATCGAAAGCTCATTTTGGCGGCAAAATTCCAGTATGACTATTCTCCATATTCATTGCTGGTCGAATATAAAACCTGTAATTAAAAAAAAATTGAGAATTTTTAATTCTAGGCCTAAAATTTTATTTTAGTTTAGCTGTTACTTTTAGCCAAACTGTTGTAAAATCATTATAGTTTTCGTTAAAATTAATACAGGGATCTAAATTAGCAAACCTGCTTACTCAGCCAATTCCAAACAGATTTTGACCAAGAAAGACCATAAACTCTGGTCATATGTTTTGTTGTCAAAAACTTCTAATAATTTTATTCGAGATAAACTTCAAACTTCCCAGAACTGGCATCAATTAGTATTACCTATAGTAGCCCAAGAAATATTAAAATACCCCCGCCGCAGCAAACCTGCTGTCTAAGCGAATTTCCATTTGGCTGAATTGATTTTCAATTGATCTATTTAAATAACATTAGGTTTAACGAGTACCTAGGTATGCTGCTACAAGGAAACTAATAAAGTGTGTTTTTAGTAAAATATTGATAGCTTATACTATAAAATAAACAAATTTGCCAAGTTTGATCAAAATATATCCATAAACAAGCAAACTACAACATTTGGCAATATTCTCCATGAGAATAACATGGGAATTTTAAATTTACCATTTTTTTAGTTTTCTCCGTAACCAATAACCGTACAAAAACACTTAGATATACTGAATTGTTTGTTTTTTTAAGCTCTTTAAGAAGGTTTAGAGAAAAATTGGGAAAACGAGGGTCAAAAGTGAGAAAAACCAATTTTTACCCCATAAAACCCTGTTCCTATGGTCCGATCATGCTGGATCATGAACTCATTCAAGTTTATCCCGCCTTACACCTTCAAACCAAATTTCATCAAAATCGGATAAAAATTACTCAAGTTCTCGTTTTCACGGACACACACATATATATATATATATATATATACATATATAAAAATTTGAACGAATGGTGTTTTTGGCCTCTGGGCACATCAAAATGAAAAAGTAAATCGGTCCCGGGCCTAAGTCTTACCATGAGACCTACGGTAATAGCTACTTCCCTATAGGGAAATTCGCTAAAAAAGAGACAACCAAAGTCAACAATAGTATCAAATTAAACAATCAAATTAATACAAAAGGTCATTTGTAGCCCGTAGTGAATCCTTTTGATTATCATCATAGATTTAAAGATTTTCTATACAACGCCATAAAAAGAGAATGTACGCTTTTCTCATGTAGTGGTGAAGTAATATTTTAGTGTTTGAACCCATAAGTTTTCTAAATTATTGCATATTAGTTCCATTTTCTAAAAAAAAAAAAAAAAAAACACAGGAGATGTTCCAAAAATAATTTGTTTATACTTGCTTGATTTTAACAAACAAAACATCCTTTAAGGAAACCGGAAAAATTGTAAAACAACTGTCTTTAGCAGATTGTTAAAGGGCAAAGGTATAAAGATGTGACGTATGTTTAGCGGCATAAGTTTTTATGATAAATATGGTTTTATGATAAAACCCTTGGCTATTGATACAACTAGTCCATCCCATGTTAAAGTTTTCACCCGTTTAAAATCAAAATCGTCGTAGTTGATGTGAGCCACCAACAGATTGCGCTGATCCAAATTACTAATTTCTGGCAAAAGATCTCTTTCATACAAACTCCAGCTTATACATAAAAGTAATTTGACAAGGTGATAATTAATAATTTCTCATTGAGTAACTTTTATTCTATGTGGAAGCACATATTGCAGGTACATCTAAAGTACATTTAACATTAATTATTGTCTTTTTCAATATATAATTCTCATCATATTTTATTAACACATAGTATAACATATCTTAATTATTACTAACAGCAAGCATTTGGACAAAATATATTTTAATAATGCAAACAGTCTCACGTTAGGCCTAACAGTTTAAGTTTGAATCCACAAATAACTTATATGTAAAAAGGGATCTTAAAGGTGGGGGTAGTGTCAATTTTAGAGCGATTGAACAGGTTTTTATATAATATCCAGGTCCACTAGATTCTATCAAGCCAAATGAGTCCTACATGTAAAGTATAAGTATTAAAAATAAAAACTACTTGTAATTTTTAAACTTCTCTGACAAATCTTAAAAATTCAGTTTCTTGTTAATAAATCCAAATATTAACCAGTAAACATTAAAAGAATAAAACAATATTTTAAAATTAACGTTATAACTTTTCTACATAGGCCTATTTTCTTTTTTCTGGATGAAGCGTTTTTAATATTCAAATAATTGTGACAAACATATCATCATTGAAAGATGAAAAAGTCAACCACATAATTTAATTATCAAGAAACAGCTTATAAAACTACACAACTAAGAGTGATATTGGTATGTTATAATTTAAATGTTGTTAGTTACATGATTTTATCAAAAGCGAATTAAATGGCTTTATACATTGTCATTCAACATTTTGCCATTCCTTTTTTGTATGATGCTCCGATTTGATACTTACATAAAAAAACAAACAATTATTAGTATCATATTTGAAGCCTCGTTTACAATGATTTGTTTACTAAATCTGAAGAAATTATATCAACAAACATTTATGTTTTGAAAAGTTGTTGATAAATAAACTAATACAATAATTTGAAAAAAAATGTGGTGGACTAAGGTAAAGGTTTTTTTTTGTGACAGATTCCAAGATTAATGGAATAAAATTTTTATGACCATAACAAACCAACTATAAATGTTTTGGTTTTTTTATTATTTTTTTAAATTTTAATTACTCTTTCAGTTTTCTTATGCTTGTAACCTTTTAATAAATTGACTCTATGAATACATTTGTTTCCAAAAGATTTTATGTATAGAAAATTGTGTAATGTAGGTATACTTTGTGTTGGGCTTGAATTTATTTGTGAGGCAGTATATTAATTAAATGAATAGAATAGACAAATAACACACAGTTTCAATGTTTTCACGTAGTTATAGTCCAACGATATGGAATAGAAGACTCATTTTAAAATAAGTTAATGGTAAATAAGCCACGTTCACACGAAGCCAGTTGGTGCGCAGGCTACCTGCCTCAGGTAACTTGAAATACACTAGAGGCAGGTAACCTGCCTGCTCTACTGGCTAAATACTCGCTAAATGGATACCACAACTAATTGTAACGCTTAGTAATAATACTGTTACATTTATAATAGTTCCACATTCAACAATACAGTCGCATATTCATTCTCTTAAATATTAATCACAGCAATCAGAGGTGATAACCAATTGTACTGAGATATGTTAACGATCTAATAGCAATCATACAGTAAAATCCTACTAATCCAAATCACATATATACACAAATTTATCAATATTTTTTAATTACTCTAACCACAAATCATTAAACTATAAATTCTTAGAAATTCTTTAGATTTTCTTACTTGTTTTAACACGTTCAGTGCGGCATACCTTCAAACAGGCACTCGCCAATGGCGGCGAGGCCCTGCCGCGCAACTGAATTGGTGAACGCAATTGGCTTTCAAATATTTCAGGTGATTGTAATGTGTAAGCTCGAGAGTGGACGTAGTTCACTGAAACACCCAAAGGTAGCAGCACTGCCTGGATCCGTAGCCAGTGTCTTTGTAAAGTGGCTCGAAAAGGGAAAATTGCTGGGACCGCAAAAAAAGTATTGCCAGACGGGATTTTACGATAAATTTTAGTACCAACCTACACCAGACTAAAAGCTCATATTCTAAGCTACAGGCTGGCAATGATTATAACGTTCCCCGGCCATGGCTGAGCTCACATTGATGCAGGGTTGTTTTCATTGGAGAAGGATGACATTTCCTGCCCCACGTTAGTGGTGCCGGTACCGTGGGGCGTGAATTCCCGCCCCTAGCAATGAACGTGTTAAGGGGTTTTTTAACAACATATACTACAGCAATAACGGTTTAAGAAGCTGCAGAATGAAGTAAGGTACCGTACAGAGTAAACTTGCCTCTGGGATAACAGTGCGCTTTCAGCTGTAGTATGTTGTGCCGGAAATGTACTTGTGACAAGCAAGGAAGAGCTCAAGCTGCGAATACTGTGCTAAAGATTCCTATTGAGGGGTCAAATTTTAGTACATGAGGGCGAGGGAACGGTGTTGGATAAATGTTCTTTTTGTAATTTGTTGCAATAAATTCTTGATTCTTGTGTTGGACTTTGCCCCAGACACTAGCACTAGTGCTAGACACCACTTAAGTGTACCATTGAGTGATTTATCTGTCCCTTACTTCTCAGTGCAAGCTGCACTATCTATCTGACAATAAGATAGCTCAAATTGCCGTTATACTCAAAAAGTGTACTTTATAGTTTGGTTAATTTGTAAGTACCGTGATCTAAGACATTTTGTGAAATAAGTTGGAAAGCTGATGCATGTTTGTTAGTATTGAATGTTATTACAAAAAAACACTCACTTTTTTTATTGTAAAAATGTATATGGCTTAGGTAAATGACATAGAAAATAATCTTTATAACCAGTCATTGCATCTGCTTTTGCTCAGTCATCAACCTTTTTACAAAATTCAATTTAACTTAAAACGGCTTCTAAATATTAGGATCAAATGATTCTATTAAATCTGTTCGGATTAGCAGGATCAACTGTCTTGTTTTTGTGACCTAATGCTATTGTTAAACCCTTTATTTTGGGCTAAGAAAACCCAAAAGTATAAAAAAATGGAAAACAAGTATTTTGTGCATGTGTAATACAAAAGAATTGAAATAAAAATAGTTTTTTAATATAGTATAGAGCAAACGTTTTGCTTTAATATATTATTTTATACTAATTCAAGGACCTTTTCTCACCTTAGAATTAACAGATAAGACATATATACATAAAAAGAAACTATCCAACTAAAAAGCCATGCAAGATAAATAAATATACTCACAAATAAGCATACTCAAATACTCATTTCCAAATATTGCTTGGATACATTAATTGACTAGAATGACATTGATGTGGTTTGATGATGTATAAAAACAAATTAAGAATCATGCAAAAGTGAAAATATTACTTAATCTTTAATGACACAGTAAAAAAATATATTCACAAAATAAATTGAAAACAATTTAACTAACGTTAATAAGGTTTTTATGTGTCAACTTTTTTAAACACCATATTATGAAAATAATATTAACTCATACTTACTATGTATATGTGTATAGAATTCTAGATATGAATGTTATAAGAAACATGTCGGTCCCTGAAAAGTTTCATAAACAAAAACAGATAAACATATTTTAATGGAATTTCAATTAAAGAGAATTTAAATTAAAAATAATATCTTCCAGCCTTCACATAAACAAAACCTTTGTTTTTATTCCATAGAGTTTTACCATGTATAAATATTTATGTTTTGGCACATTCAATAGGTATTTTTAGGAACAAGTCAAGCTGGGATTAAGGTGTAACAAGTAAAGCACACAAACATCTAGCTACAGTGTTCTACACCCAAGCACGATGCTAAAAACCAAATGAATAGATCTAGTTCTAAAATAATTATAGGACAGCTCTACACAACAGGGTAAACAAAAGAAAATTAATGGTTTTCTACGGTTTTATTGATAAACAACATAGCAAAACAGTTCTGTACACATTCTTAAGCCTGCAACAATATAAAACACTTCCATTCTTCATCTACATAAGTAAATATGTAATAACAATCTAATAGAATATATATACAGTAACGTAACACCGATAGAAGAGAGCGCTGGGGAGACAGAAACATTTCAATCTTTGGCAATCAAGTGTAAATCCTAAAACCAGAAATACAATTTGTAAAAGTAAATGCTACTTTGGACTTCCGTTGTGATTTGTTGTCTAGAAAAATAAAATTTTACCAAACATTTCACCTCGCTCGTAACAATCAAAATATAAGTTTCAGTTAAGTATTGAACTTCTAACTCTCCTATTCTCTTTCCTAAACTACACATACTAAGATGTATAACGCACCTTAAAATAGTAGGCGTTGTGTAACGTATATTTTATACAGCAATATTCTTACAGATCTAAATTTTATTGACAAAATAAATATCTTGATACAACAACTGGGCGTAAATGTGTGTGGCTAATACTGTGTTCTGTTGAGAGGCCGGCCGGCTCTGCGCTCGGATTGTGTCTTTGATAGAAGAGTCCAGGTCGATCAACCTAAAAAAATACAAGCCTGTTTATTGTATTGGCATACATTGTACTATATTTTTATTTTTATAATCAGTACAGTAGTGCATAAATTGTTACTTATTAGGAACAAAAAAAAAAATAGCTAGAAGTAAAACAAATTGGTAATTAATTTCACATTCTTCATGATTCCCAACAAAATTTATTACAATTAACAAGTGAATAATTTCTTTTAATCCTCTCTCCTTCTGTAAATTCAAAAGTGAGTATTTGGTTGCTCACAGATGGCTCTCAGTTAATCTTTTGTACTAGTGCATGTTGCTATCTCTATTAATTAGAACACTATACAAATTATTCCAACTAGGCAAACTCGCTTTTAACCAAAATGAAAGCTGAAGCTAAGGGAAGAAAATTATAGTTTAAAGGAAAGCCATGGCTGATAAGTCATCTTTTTTGAAAAAGTATAGAGTTCAGCTAGTTTACCTTAAAAAATTAAGAAAAAAAATTCCGGGGTTGATGGATACAAAACAAAAAGTATTGTAACTGCCACTGTTTTGCCCATATATTTTAACTTCCTAAGATAAGCTAGCTGAATTTAATTTATTTTCAAAGTAAGAGAAGTGTCCGTGATTAAGGTCAATAGGATTTTTTATTTTAATAGGATCAGTTTGCATTTGTGGTCAAGCAGTGCTATTGGCGGTGGCAGTCCCAGAGGTGCATTACCCTTCTCCAAAAGTTAAATAAACATTTAACAAATGTATTTAGACAAACAATTTATTTTATTTAAAAATTGTAATTTATTTAAAATTAAAATGTAGAAATATTTAAAGCTTGCACTGTACACACTTTAAGTTGATGGGGAACGGATTTTAAAGAAACCCAAAATTCCACAATCACATATTTTTACCTAAAAGCACAATATAGGATATTACTATACTCACTCGAACTTAGCCCTTCTGGCTGACAAGTGTGGTGATGACTCCGCCAGGTCCAGGCAGTGTAGTGGAGCCCAACAGGAAAGCGTCTACTTCTCTAGCAGCCTGACGTCCCTCTGCTATGGCCCACACTACCAGGGATTGGCCTCGCCTACAGTCTACAAATTGATAAAGCATTAAATTAAAAGTTTACAAAAGTTATAGTTAAGGGAAGAAGGAATTGATTCACAGCTACCTTACCCAAGAAAAAGAGTTCCCGGCAGTTGACACAACGTAATTAATTTTATTTTTCCAGTGGCGTAGCCAGGTTTGAAGAGCCCTGGTGCAGAATGGCCCAAGCTTTGCCCCCTCCCGGTTTTCAAACATAACTCCATATTTGCAACATAATTTCTAACAACATATTTAATGTTGTAAGAAAGGGAGTGAGCTGGTCTAGTGGTAGAGCATGATACTTCAGTCCCCGAGGTCTTGGGATTAAATCACGCCAATCACCAATGGATTTTATGTAAGTAATCCCTCTAAGCCTTGCCTGAAAGTAATGTGTAAAACGGTTCCGGGCTGGACCCTACTTCCTTGGATGTAAAGGTGAGACGTATAAAAAAATGTAGGATACCCCTTTCGCTTTGTACACCCATTACTTCAACTCCTTAAAGGATTCTTGTCGCAGGTCGTCTTTCACACAACATAACTTTTTTGTTACTACCTTGAGTTGCTTCACTATTCCTGACTTGTTAGAATAGATTCAAATCAAAATGAAATAAATTATGACAGCTAGTTAGCTGAGTCATCAGACAAACATCTGAATAAAATGTAAGCAACTGACTTCCTTATCCACAAAAACTAGTAACAAACATTTCCTCACCTCCAGCTGCGAAGACCTTTGGCACAGAAGTGGTGTACTTGCTGGAGGGTGTCTCGTAGTTAGAGCGAGGGTCTAGGTTGAGGTCCAGATCATTGGCGATGTATCGTTCAGGACCCAGGAAGCCCATGGCAAGCAGGACCAAGTCTGCCTTGTAAACCTGCCGAACAAAGTTAAGGTTAGTTCACTTAGTTGTGAAGTTTGGGTGAGGATGATTGCTCTAGAGTTGGACAATCATTAAATATAACATCTGACCTGCCTAATGAACAACAAATCCTTTAGATAACTTAAATAGAGATTCGTTTATGTTTGTCATTTTATTATTTGTCTACTTCCTTTATTTATTAACGAAGACAATTAATTATGCAAATCCTAACCCATTTAACATTTTATCATGGAAATTACAGTTTTATGATGGGTAATAAATTTCCAAGACTTGTGCTAACTTTTATTTTTGTTGTGAACATTAAACATTTAAAGACACAATATTTTGCCACTTGGGAGGTATTTTTAAGTGTTTACAAAGTGTGTATAGTGTAATGTTTTTTGTCCTTCAATTACACTAGCTGTTATCCCTTTATTTAAAACAATCTATGTTCAATAATAATGATTCTAGACAAATAGTGAATTACACCAGTATTTTTAACTTTATTGATATATTACATTGAAACACTTGTTTTGTGTGGATGACTATCCATTATTATTATTATTATTATTATTATTAAATAATAATAGTAATGGATCATTAGTAATATCTTTAATAATCATTTTTCCTCTCTTTGCAAAATCGTTATTTCCAGAATGGCTGTTCAAATTTCAGGATAACGGAAGCACTGTTTAGCAAGTTTTGCTGTAATTAACTTACTATCTTATAGAATTTAAAATTAAACTGAAAATAATTTTTTTCCAGAATTTTTGTTTAAATAAACCTAAATTAAGGAGCTCACCTTTTCAGTGTCAGGAACTTCATCCATCTTCCAACGGCCGGTGTCATCCTTAGTCCAGCTAACTTTGACAGTCCGGATACCAGCAACATGGCCCTTGCCATCGTCAAGGAATTCCTAAAAAAGATTTAGTTTATTATGACACTTGTCTTTGATATTACAGTGCTAGCCTATACTTTACAGTCAATGTAATTTACTGCAGTTGAAATAACAATGTTACTCAAAATCACACCCTAGATACGTAAAACTTTCCTTATATCAGCACTATCATAAGACTCTGTTAGAAGATAACCCAGTTTTTTCCAATTTAAAGATCATTAATAATACAAGCTATTGTCAGCTATTGTGTCAAAGACTAGTGATGTAAAAATATAGATAAACGGAGAACAATACATTTCTGTATCTCCAATATCACCACAGATAACCTTGGGAGTTCTTATCTGCTTTTTAATCCTATGAATAGGTGCGTGCAGTGATTTTAAGACAGGTACCAGTACTGTTACAGTTAGAGTTCAGTTAACGTTAAGTCACATGCTCATGTGCACATGGGATGACCACAGTGATAATGCAGTTTGCAGGTGACAACCCCTAAAACCAGCTTAGCCACTGAGCCACCAGGATCGGTAATTGCAAAATAGTCACATTCCAACCTCGATGTTTTCACTGACCTTGCTCAGGGTGCTGAACTGACGAGGATCGTTGCCGAACTTGAGTTTGACCTCATCATGGCCGTAGTCCACCTTGAACACCCGTGGGTACTGAGGCCACGGGTTGTCTCGTCCACGGGACACCGGAGGTTCTGGGAGGATCTCAAACGTTGTGATGCTCTTGGCGCCCTGAAACGAGAGAAAACTTTGAAAAGAAGAGACCAAAAGTTGATTCCTGAGTTACATTAGCTGTGTAAATGTTTCTTGTCATTAATATGATTTGAGCTGAAAAGATTTTTTTCTGAGAGATATTTTCATGCCGAGTCACAGCACAAATAAATTATATTTACACTAGACTTGATATTTCACCTCTTTCCGAGGCTTCAAAAGTAGATGGTTTGGCAGTTAATACTTTTCCGCAAAACATTAACTGTTTACAAGTTATTGCAGAAGTAGATGGTTTGGCAATTAATACTTTTCCGCAAAAACATTAACTGTTTACAAATTATTGTTTAGAAAACATGCAGTTTTTAAAAATACCCAGCCAATGTGTAACTATTTTGAATAGTTTGCTGTGTGCCCACCTGTCTCAGAGATGTAGCTATACAGTCACATCCCGTGTCTCCTCCTCCGATCACTATCACATCCTTGTCCTTGGCCAACAGAGGGTTGATGTTTGTGTCTCCCATCTGCTTCTTCTGCCAGGTCTCCAGGAAGCTCATAGCAAAGTGGATACCTTCCAGCTGTCGCCCGGGGATGGGCAGATCTCTCGGCCACGTCGCTCCGGTGCACAGAACAACCGCGTCAAACTCTTCGTACAGTTCCTGATAAGAGGTAAATGAATGAAGATCTATCGTCAAAGTTTGATCAATTAAGATTTGCATCAAATTGAAAATTTTACAAGAATACTGGTTTAGTTTTGTACATATTGATAGTCCTTATAGATGTTGAACAACAAATTCTTAGTTTTTTTTCAAACTCTAGTATCATAACTATCCAAGCACTTACTCGTATTGTTGAGTTTGGGAAACAGTATTGATAGTAGCTGGCAGCTGCACAAATAAAGTGTTTGCATCAAATTAAGAAAGTTTCTGAGAAGGATTTCTGATCTTGTAGGCTCCATCGTTGTTAGTCACCTATGCTATCAATTATTTAATTTTTCAATATTGGTGATTGGCAGAATTTGAACATGGGACCTCAGGCACCGATGTCCTGCACTCTATCACTAGACCAGCTCCGTTCTGGGCTATCAAATGGTTAAGCTTTCTACCACTATATCGATCTTAGATAGTAACAAGAGTACAGTTAGTGTCCATTTCTTACAGAAAACATAAAACTAATATTTGAATACACAAAAACATCTTTACATTATTTTGAATTAATTTCTTCTGCGTCCTTCAAAAGAACCAATAGCATTACCACTCATGAAAATAAAATAATTAACATAACACAAATCACGATCTGAGTTGAGCAGTATTGTAATTGATTTTTTTTTGTCCTAGGACGATAGTCACAAGCCCGGAATTGTTTTTCACATTACTTCAGGCTAGACCTAGGGGTTACGGCATTATCACTTAGACAAAATCCATTGGTGATTTGGCGGGATATGAAACCCAGGACCCCAGGAACCGGAGTCCCGCGCTCTAACCACTAGACCAGCTCGCTCCCCTCAATTGTAATTGATTAGCATGACCACAAAAGAAAAGAAAACCTAAACGCTTATTACACTACCTGTTAATTTAAACCAATATAAGAACCTTTCAAAATTTACAAAAAACATTGAAGTCTCACCTTGGCACTGATATCTTTTCCGACATTGATGTTTGTCTTGAACTCAATCCCTTCGTCAGCCAGTAGCCGGACCCTACGTTGGACAACTTCCTTGGACAGTTTCATGGTAGGGATGCCGTACTGCAGCAGCCCACCAATGCGATCATTACGCTCATACACAGTCACCAAGTGTCCAGCCTAAGAAATAACAATCGCATAAAAAATGGTAGTAGATGTGTAATAAATGGTAAATTAACTATCTGGGATGAGTGGGCCTATGTAGAATATTTACATCACATTAGAACTGGATTATATAATCGATTTTGATAAACACAAGTACTTGTTCATCAAAATATGGTTCCATTCAAGGGGGGGGGGAGGGCAAACACTTTCCACCACAAACAGTATTTTTTTCTAAACCAAGCGTTTGCGATGTTTTAGGATCTGGAATCTGATCCAGTCCTCAGGTGTGAAAATACCTAAACACAACAAGATTACAAAACCTAGCCACAGCTGGTGATAACAAATGAAAAAACCACACAGAAAACTGTATAGTAGGCAAAACAAGAAACAAAAAAAAATTAGCTTTATTACCATCACCAAAAATGAACTTTAAACCGAGAATAAGTTGTCATTACTTATGATGCACAAAGCAGCCATTTTCCATTTGGAAGTGTCAATTACCACTAAAAACAACACAGATTACACAAACTCAAACTTTATATCTGTTTACCATCGTACCTTGTTCAGCTGATGAGCGCACGCCATGCCAGCTGGTCCTGACCCAACAATAGCCACTTTGAACCCGGTGCGAGTAGTTGGCGGCTCAGGCTTGACCCAGCCTTGCTCAAACGCATGGTCGATGATGGCGCACTCGATGTTCTTGATTGTCACTGGTGGCTCATTTATACCCAACACACAAGCTCCCTCGCAGGGCGCCGGGCACACTCGACCGGTGAACTCTGAAAATATGACAAGAGTTTGTACACATATTTATTTTCTATGACTCGGCTAGTAACATTTGCTGTCGTCTTTGGCTCAATAAAATAATTTAATTTGATAAAACGATTTTGAACTGTGTCCACTAGTATGAATAATGAAGCGTTTTTGACTCACCGGGGAAGTTGTTGGTCTGCATTAACTGTTTGAGCGCCTCATTCCAGTTGTTGTTGAAGATGAGATCGTTCCACTTAGGTATGATGTTGCCCAGTGGACAACCGTGGCTGCTCTGACAGAACGGCACGCCACACTCCATACACCGCGCGGCCTGCACTCGCAACCCCTTGCGCACGTGCTGGAAGTTGTAGATCTCGTCCCAGTCCTTCAGACGTTTCTCTACCGGACGGTATGGCGCCGTTTCACGCTGGTACTTCATGAAGCCTCTGTTCACAGATAATGTAATTGAATTAGAAAACATCTGACCGATACATTTTTACCCTTGGTACTCTGTTGGCAAGTCATAAATAGAACTATTTCATCACATCTCTGAAAGTTTTTAATACCACTGGCTGACTTTTTCTACATAGCCCATCAGCCATGATGGTTTCAGAACTAGTTCTGAGTTATTATACTTTCAAAGTTGCTCAATTAAGTATCACAATTCATAAAACAAAAGAACTGCATATTTAAAATAACACGTGTTTTTGTTTGGCTAGAGAAAAAAGTGCAGACGTAATTTTAAAGTTAAACATTAAGTGAATTATAAAATATCTTTGTTGATAAGACATTATGTTAAAAATATTGGCACATAAACAAATATATTAATGCAATTACAACAGAAAAATACTGTTGTATAACAAAGTATAAATCAATCACCAATTTTTCACTCGTCTTTTAATTTTTTTACAAAAGAGTCTAAACAAGCCTTTATAAAAAAACATGGTTAGCTAAAAAGGTAGAGGCAAGCTGCTGTTAATTACTTAATTCTGACTGTTATTTTTCTATTAATTTATTTATTCCTAGATTGAAAAGTGGAAATAAATCAAATGTTTTCCTTTTCATATCCTAACCTTATCATGATGCAGTTAATTGTTTGATACATTTTTGATCACAGCAGATTGAAACCTTGAAGCATTACTCCACTATGAAATCGACAAACTATCTCATATTATATAATCCACAATCAAATAAGTAATCCCGTACCTGGATCTATGATGATAAAATATTAGCTGACCTTGTCTTATCGAGGACCTTCTCAAGTCGCTTCTTCTCGACGGCCGAGTCATTGATGACTTCCTCGATGTCCTTGACTGCTGCGTTGGCTGCTGGTGCTGCCTTGGAGTCCACTTCCTTGGTCTGAGCAGTCTCCGCCATCTGCTTCAGGGCTCGCTGATACTCATACGGGAACACCTGTGAAAAGTATTAAGGAAATTAAAAATAAATCAAGAAAAAATATTTGGTTGAAGGTTGTTAAATGTGAGTTTTGTTCTCTTTAAAATTAACGGATGTTTGGAACAAATAGTGGTTATCTTAGGCACAACACATGATGAACTCATAAATATCATTCTCTGGTGAATATTCATTTGAAATTTTAAATACATTTAACTAACACGTGTTATACAGTAACTGAAAAATGTGACTCGTCAATTTGTATTGTATAGCAGCCAATTTTGATAAGGAAATTGCAATAACTGGTTTATTTACAAACTAATTTTTACAATTGAAGTTCCTTTGAATTTGGATATAAAAGTGCTTTAAATGATTGTGATGAGTAAATGATTTCATTGAGTTGCTTGTTTTCATATAATTTCCATAGTTCCACCTAAAACATATGCTTAAGGATGTTTCATTGTAAAAATATTAATAACTATTTGCATTAAACTCTTTTTAACCGTAGCACAAAAATCAGGTGGAAAGCTCTTTTGGAAAAAATATTACCAACAACAAAGCTAAATGTATTATTTGATGGCACGTTCAAATTTTTACCTTGACAAATTTCTTAGCAGGCTCAGGCCACGTTGCAATCATCTGTTTGGCGATCTCTGATCCAGTTTTCTCTTGGAACTCTACCAGCAGACTCTTGACGTACTTTAAGTCATCATCAAGCTCCAAAGGAAGCAACTCAACCATCTCTGGGTTGCATTTTCTGAAAAAATCGTCAGTCAACAATCTCTATGGAAATTTAACACTTTACTTGGTACGTTAAGGTATGAAAAACATATGCCCTAATGTATTATATTGGTTTAGGTTTCAGTTTTAACCTTCAAAACAGGCATGAAATATTGATTAGATTAGATTCAAACATTGCCAATAGGGTGCATATTTCTAGGCAATGATGAGTGAAGGGTGTGTGTGTGTGTGTGTGTGTGTGTGTGTGTGTTGAATTCGACGATTAAGCAGGGCAAAACTGATTATAAAGTTATGTATTCTTTTCAACATAAAATTAAAGCTGTTTGAGCTTTAACCATTCTAATACCTTCAGTAGTTCTTTAAAACAGATTAAGACCTGTTTACATAGGATGTAAAAATATGTTTACTTTCAGGTTTACAAATTTTAAACATTTATTTTATCAATTAACTAAGTGCTATCTTTGGAGCCAAAAGGTTAAATGGCCAAATATAAATGCTCAAAACAAATATTGCTCTTACATTTTGAAAGAGCCATCCAAGTCGTACACATAAGCAAGACCTCCGGACATGCCGGCAGCAAAGTTACGTCCTGTCAATCCTAGGATAACAGCAACTCCTCCAGTCATGTATTCACATCCATGATCTCCGACTCCCTGCAACAGTAACAGGTAATTGTAGGTCTCGGGGCAAAAAATATACTGTTAACTTTCGTCAAGTCAATTAACAAACATCAAAGCCATATGAAAATGACAATTCTATTCTAATCAACACTAATTTACGTCTATAACATAAAGGGTTTGAGATTGAATTTAATAATAGTCTCTTTTGATACTTTGATATAGTGGGTTACGTGAAAAGCTGAAGGTTATGTTGTGCTGGCCATATTTGGAGGAAAGAAAAGAACTCTGAGATAAAATTGCAGAATACCAGCTAGAAGGCTCAAAACTAGAAGGTAGGACAAAATTGAAAGGATGTTAGAAAGTTGGGGCTTGAGGAGAAGAATATTACAGACCTAACCTACTGAAGGCTGATTTTATGAGGCCAAACACCAACAATCGTACAAGTGACTTCGTCAATAAGAACTTAGCTTGATTAACATTATGCAACTGACCTCAACTACAGCAACAGCGCCAGAGTTTCGCACGCAGAACCGTTCAGCAGCAATCCCTCGGAAGAACGCTTTTCCTGACGTCGCTCCGTAGAGACAAACGTTGCCCACAATCACATTCATTACAGAGTCGAATGTTGACGCTTTTGGAGGGAAAATCACAATCTCACCTCCAGATAGACCCTGTGACAAGAATAACGATTGATCAAATAAGAATATATTTACTGTCATTTGATAATCAGTACATTGTAAGTGCCATACTATTAAAAAAAAAAAATGAAATTAGACTAAAATGAAAGTTGGAAAAGCATTCGTAAATAGACCTGTCATCAACCATCTACAGTGTAACGTCATATGACTGGCACATTCTGTGCATGTATAAACAAGACCTCTAAAATACTGCCTTTAAATTATACATTTACAATAGTCATGGGGATTATTAAATAAGACTTGTTATCAAGATTGACCTCTTATCGAGGTTCACAATTACATGTGATAAGGGGTAAAACAAGTTTTAGTTTCAAACTTATCCATATTATGATGCACAGAAAAGCATATAGTACCTTGCCGACGTAGTCGTTAGCGTCTCCCTCCAGGGTGACGTGAACTCCCTTAGACAAGAAGGCACAGAAGCTCTGACCAGCTGATCCTGTTAGGCTGACATTGATGCTGTGCTCAGGCAGTCCTTCATCTAGGTGCTTCCTACAAAACAACCGAAAAGTTAAGGGATTTAAACTTGCAACAGTTGTGAGGTGAAATTGAACATGTTGTACTAAATCATCATTAAGAAAATTGACATATTCAAGGATCAACTGAGTGATTTCGTCAAGTTTGTATTTAGTAAAGAGCCAAGTCTCAATTACTAATGTATGATGTGTACATCTGAATAACTTTAAAAAGTATTTATTTAACTATCTTTTTTTGTCACGGTCTTATTATTACATTCAATCTACTGTTCTTTGCACCTGCTAATCAGAGTACCATATTCTAAATCCGAGAAATCAGGCTAGCAACTGTGATGCATAACCAACTATGCAATTATCCAGTGCCAACTGTAGAACATTAGAAAATAATCAACAGGAGTACCAACCTAGCAATGTGATAGCTGAGTGTGGAGGCGAAGGCACGACACTCATTGTTAATTTCCATTTCCACCTTGACAGACTTCTGTTTACCATCAATCACTGGCTGAGCAAGTTCTATCAACCGGTTGTCAAGACGTTTCTCTAGTTGGAAGTCCTGCAAACAAGACAAATTTTCAGTAGTTAGTTTGTGATTTTTGCTGGACAAGTAGAGTTTTAAAAGTAAGAGGTTTAGTTGTAGATAGCTATGTCAGAAGAAAGCGATGTATGAGGTAATGAGAGATATGGAAAAGAAAGGGATTTAGATGGCAGATGTGGATGATGATTAACAGTGAAGGTGAAGGAGAAGAGTTGAGATTCCTAGTAGACCCAGGAATTACCCGAACAGAAGTGTATTGATAAAAATCCCTCCACTTTTCACCAAAATTGATAACAATGACAATGAATAGCTTCGTTATTCTAAGAATAGCTAAAACACTAATTTTGAATGAAATAGAAGTTACAAAACCAAATTGACTTTGACAGTTATCTCAGATCAAAATGAAAAAACACATTACGAAACCTTGGATCACATGATCAAGTGACTATGCTGGAATAATGAGTTGATGGTTCAGTTAGCACAACAGATTATAATTATAAACCAAGGCAAAAATGCCACAAGTTCTTGGACCAAAGGTCACCACTAAACATTTATCAGCGCTGTTAATTTGTGTACATGGTGACCTATAAGCCAGCCTTCTAAGGCTAATACACAATTACAAGCTTAGAAGGGAATGTCAAAATTGAAACAAAGAAAAAAATAATTTTAACTATCCAACACTATCTTAACTTCTACTAACCTGTTTCTCTGATCCACCGACTATATTGACACCAGGGCGCATGTGAAGTGCGTTCTTCAGGATTAGGCCAAAGTTTAGCAACTTGGCTTTAGGGTTGTTTGAGTTCTCATACACTCTCAGCAGGTCTGTTCGTCCAATCAGGTCCTGGAACTTGCGGATGCCCAGAGACGCCATGTGGCCTCGAATCTGAAACATGCAACTTCTTGTTGAGATGGAGAGAAAAACAATGGTTTCAAAACTTAAGTAAAAGTAAATTTAAGTTATAAGTATATATTAAATGTATAAAATGTATTTGAAAGTTATAAAAACATTTTAGTGAAATGTACAGACCTCTTCGGCCAACATGAACAGGTAGTTGACGACATGTTCAGGCTTGCCAGCAAACTTCTTGCGCAGTTCCGGATCCTGAGTTGCAATGCCGACTGGACAAGTATTGAGGTGACACTTGCGCATCATCGTACATCCCATCACAATCAGCGGAGCAGTGCTGAACCCAAACTCATCAGCTCCCAGCAACGCTGCCACAACCACGTCGAAACCTAGCAAAATTTCCCCGAATTATTGAACAGAATCAAAACAGAAAAATGATCAACACAAAAAATTGAATGAGTATTTAAACATTATCAAGGTTACAATATAAAGAGTGTTCATAGAGGGGTTCTAAAGTTCTAAACTATCCAAACATAGGTTGAAACAAATTTTGTTTAGCCGCTAGCCACCATTTTGTATTTTTTACAAAACAATTTATATCTGAAGAATTATTCAAGCTACGGAAACCAAACTTACAAACCCACATACATTTATTTTGTCAAGAGGCTGGTTTTATGAAAACATGTCAAGAACACTTTTATTTAGCATTTTAAATTTTCTATCAAGCGATACCAAGCTCAAAAAGATCGAATAAAAAATAGCTGAAATATCATGATATATTTAGCCTTTGAGAGGTTTCCTCTGCAACTATCATAAAGTTTATCCATGTATCCTACTAAAGATGGTAGCACTTCGGCTAACATCCTTGTTCATCATTCAAAGGACTCTTCATCTTGTAGGCGGTTGTTCTTCATTATATAGATTTGGTGAATTTTAATTGTAACAGCAATTAAAACATTGATTATCCTACTGATCATAATGCAAACAAACTGTCTTCATAAGGATAATATGCAGACTTTAAAAGAGAATGGGGCAGAGCCTAAGGAATTTATTCAAAAATTTAAGGTTAGTTGGCAAATCTACGTTACATGCTCTTTCTATGAATCGTGAATGGTCAAAATCGGTAAACAAATGGCAGAGGAGTTCAAAGGACAAATTTTGTGTTGGTGTATTAATATAGATATAGATATAGATATAGATATTTGTATAGATTGTTTAACTAACCAGTCCTAATCTGGCCGTCCGCCTGCACCACCACCCTAGAGCGCAAGTTGTTCAGCACCAACACCTGATGTGTCTCTGCTATGCCCAGCTCCCACGGCAACCCTGCGGCCTTGATACCAGTCCAGCTACTGGCCCCCGTACCTCCGTCATGGCCAGAGATCACTATGTGTTCTGCCTTACCCTGCAACAACACTCAGACGTTCAAAACAGGGGCAGTTCAAAGCAATATTTACAATCTTGAATAGTCGTAGTTGTTATCAAACTCACAAAAGTATAACGTAACGGGAGAAAAAGCAAATAGGCTTTAAAACGTTACTGTACAATAAAGAAAACAATTAATTTTCAAACGATTGATCATAGATTTATTACCTAAAAAATGTGAGATCATTCCAAACCTGCATTGCTTTGAAATATAATGACCTTCATGTGAAGCTCAAACTAAAATGTTATGCGTGTAGATCCCTCTTTGCAAAAGTAGAGAGAAAAGTTCTATTTTAATAGGTTATTAAACGAAAAAAAAACAAAACAAAAACTATTTGAAAAAAAACCAGACCGATAAATCATTCAGTCATTCATTTCTGTTGTGTTTGTTGTTACAATTCAGTTTTTTGTGGGGTTTCTCATTTTATCTCCCAGATTGCCTGGGTTGTCTATTGATTATGGTTAAATTGTTTTTTTTTTTTGCCTTAAACCAAAAATTTAAATTTTACTAATCAAATTTTACAAGAGCAAATTTAAGATCCAAAACTTAGTCAAGATTTGTTTACCGTGATGTAAAATGTCTGCAACAATCCCTGAGATAACATAAGCTTACCACAACCAAAACTTCAAACAAAGCAGTGGTGTTTATTTCACAACGTACCTTGGCAACACCGGAGGCGACGACACCGACGCCCACCTCAGACACCAGCTTGACGGAGATGCGAGCGGCAGGGTTAGCACACTTAAGGTCATAGATGAGTTCCGCCAGATCCTCTATGGAGTAGATGTCGTGGTGGGGAGGAGGAGAAATCAGACCAACACCTGGCACTGAGTGTCTGGTCTTGGCTATGTCCTCTGTCACCTGAATAAAAATTTATTTAAAATAAATTAAATAAGAAATCCTTTATTTTCCTTTATTTATTCTCTTTTTCTATAAATAACACAAATCTGGCAATACATTTTTAATTAGCTTGTGATTTCACTAAAAAAATCTTAGATACCACCACAGAGTGCACTTCACAACTGGGGGATTTGCAATGACAGCGCTAATTAGTATTTTTTGAAATACGAGAGATACGATGGTCACAATACCATTGGTGGATTTGTACTCAGTGTAGAAACGCTCTGATACCAAGATGGCAGCCACACCTCAAGTGGTGGCAGCGATGTAAGACATCTGTTACTTTTTGGACGACCCTTCCACAATAAAGAATCTCAAGCTATTATGAAACTTTCCCATAAATAGGTATTATTTGCTTTATTTTGATATAATTCAACTAACAACTACTATTATTAATATTGTTTATAACAGAATAGCAGCCATATTTATTGACATCTCCAGCTATCACAGCAACATCAATGAGCAGCTCTTGTGATCACATATACATAATGATATTTTGTGGGTTATGGTAGAGGGGGAAAATATGGGGTGTAACTGGTGTAACTGAAAACAAATTTATGATTCAATCAAGCTGATCAAATCTTGTCAAGTCTTGGTTGGGTTCCAGATTTTGATAAAACTATTGAAAATACTTTCAGATTAGAAAAGTGCAATGGAAGTAAAAAGTGATTAATAGGAGATTAAACTGTTCTCAAGAGAGGTTCAAAACTGCACACCACAGAGAAACGAAAGACAAATCTCTTGGATGTGTTGTTCTCTTTGGTATTCAGGTCTTCATACCCGGAATTTCACGGGTGATAAAATCGATGTAATTTACCTTGTAGCCCGGAAGTTCTCCTCCCTCTCCGGGTTTGGCTCCCTGTGCCATCTTGATCTGGAGGTCATCAGCGTTAGCCAAGTAGGAAATAGTCACTCCAAAACGTCCTGAAGCAACTTGCTTGATGGCCGACCTTCTGTTGAAATCTGGGTCCTGGTTGAGGTATCGGTCTGGGTTCTCTCCTGCAGGGGAAAATTAGTTATTAATGTCCAATTTTAAAAATGTGTAACCAAATTATTTGTCGGGTATCATAGTAAGGATTGTTGGATTAAAATTTATTTATATGACACTGACACACCAGTGAGCATATAAGACAAAGAGTAGTATACAAGTGTAGATTGAATGAGATGTTAGCTTTACTGGCTTAGATCAACTGGTTCTTTAGTCAGTACTATTTATTTAAACATATCCTATCCTAATGATTAACAACCGCTGTGTATAGTTTCAAACCATCAAAAACTGCAGCTCTTTATCGATCAAGATTTGACTGGCAAACATTTCATTAGAAGGTGAGCACTATAACTATCCAGTTATGAACATTAGAATAATCAAAATTATCACAGTAAAAATCTGGAAGATATCTCAAACCTAGAGGGTTATGAAAAATTAGTTTAGAATTTAAAAATATTGCAAGAGCTGCTGAAGGAGGTAATGAAGTGGCAGTGAAAGCAATGTCTAGCCACATGTTTAGAGTATATTGTAGGCTATCGCAAAGTAAACTTTAAACTTGATAAAACTTGCCTCCTTCTCCAGTATTTGACTTTCCTCCAACACGGTTCATTGCCACGGCTAGAGTCTGGTGAGCTTCTAGAGATATACTGCCAAAACTCATGGCTCCTGGAATGGCAAAACAAAATATTAATATACTTGAATCACACTACTAATGAAATAATACCTTAGAAACTTACAAGGAACCGCTATTCAAATCTAGTTCTATAAATCGAGTTACAGTATGTTTTTTAGAACGTGATAATACATTTTAGCTGTAGAAAAAAAAACATCCTGAAACATTGTCAACACTTGTTTTATACCAATCATGATGGGAAATTTCCAAAATAATTTAATGGGGAAACCAAGATTAGTAGTAGTTTAGATCAAAGATTTTGATAACTTACAGCTGGGTATCCATAAACATTTAATATAGCTAATAATCAAAGTTACTAAAACTCTCATGTGTTTGTCCTTGGCTTACCTGTAGCAAACCGTTTGACAATCTCCGCGGCCGGCTCTACCTCGGAGATGTCCACAGGGTTGTCGCTGGGCACAAACTCCAGCTGACCACGGATAGTACAGTCCCTTACACTGGCCAGTGTTGACTCCCTAAATCTGTCATAAGCGTTGCCACTCTTGTTGACTGCGGCCTCCTGTAGGTTAGGTTACATTGTATCAATGGCTGGAATGATAAAGGACTAGCTTTCAAGTTAATAAGTTTTTCAGTTTGATTTAAAAGCATCAATTCTTTGAGCTTTTAACTTTTTTGAGTACAACGATTTTAGATACTAATAAGACCCTAGCCTATAAGTTGGTGGAATACAATGAAAACCAATAATTTAGTCATTTGAACTTTGAAGAGAAAGAGAGAAATTTAACTTATTACTGGTTCTTTACTTTGGGCTGAGCAAAATGGAACAGTCTAACTGTTTTTAATTTGTATACTCATCTTCTCCAAGGAAATAAAAAATTAGCAGAAAAGACAAATTTAAACTGAAGAAACAGACCTAAAAGACATACAGCTCTTTATTGACGGGATTACAAATATTATCAAGGAAATGTACATACCTGAAGATTGGCCAGACTGACTGGGTCGTTGACATGTTTCTCCCCGCCCTGTCTCCAGTGATAGAGTCCAGGGTTCCTCAGTACCAGCATATCTTTGTCACTGTACGCCAGATGGTGCCTCTCGTACGCTTCCTTGGCCAGGACGTTGAAAGTGGCTCCTCCAATACGTGACTGAGTGCCCTGAAAAAATATTCATGGCATGTTATATTTAACTGCTTGGTATGGTAACATTGTGTGGCACAGTGTAAGGCAATTAAAAAAATTAAGATGTAAAAACCTACATTTTTTGTTCTATCAGCTATGTTATTGAAGATCAGCTATAAAGTTCAGTACAAATTGAAAAAGTTCCCACGATGAGTATAAGCTTTGGAAATTGGAAGAATAAGTTCGATACACAGGTAAAATTTTGAAAAAAATATATCTTTTTTACCATTCACTATAAAATATATTTCTTAAAGAAAAGTAATTACAAAAATAGTACCAAAATAATTTTAGGCACCATATTTGAAAATCGATAAAACGAACTAACACTTTCACTACATTGACAATAACTACAGAAACAATGTTTTCGTGTTCTATGTATCAATGTCACATCCATTCTACATGTCTGCAAATTTTTCAACTGCTGGTTGAAAATATATCGATAAGTAGTATAAATGAATAATGAGATATAGGTTTATTTTTGGCAATCAACAAACCTTGAAGCACTTGTTGATGACTTCCTCCGACAGCCCCACTGCTTCAAAGATTTGTGCTCCCTTGTACGACTGGAGAGTGGAGATTCCCATCTTAGCCATCACCTTGGAGATTCCTCTCTCCATGGCCTCGGAGTAGTTCTAACAGTAAAATATGTTGGTACAATCAAACAGTTGACAGTAAAATAGCCAAGCATTAAATTTTTTTTTTAAAGAACAAAAGAATTGAATGTCTATTAGCTATCACTGCTAGTAGAATAGAGTAATGCAATAGAAAAGTTATGACGGTCATGGGTAGGCAATAGGGTTTAAACAGATGAATAATTTTGACATGAGTAAGTTAGGCATAGGCACTGCAATATCTAATCACATGATTATTTTTCTTTCAATGTCAAACAGTGGTATAAATATTAGCCAATCAATTAACTGCATTTACACCCATATCCCTTTGAGGATTATAAAAAGTTCATCTAAAATGAAAAATAAAATGTTATTTAAGAATTGACAACCCATGTGGGTTTTACTGTATAGTTTACCTTGTAAAGTATTTCATCAGTGAGCGCAGGCTCCAACACGCCTTCTTCTCTAAGTGACTTGGCCATTTCAAACACAAAGAACGGGCAAATGGCATCTGCACCGTAACCGAGCAGCACACACATGTGGTGCACTTCTCTGCAACCAATAAATGGTTAATAATATGGGAAAAACACTTTTGGTTAGATAAATGAGGACGTTCAGTATAGTAAACCTTTTTACAAAACTGTAATTAATTCAAAATCATCATAAAAAACAAAATTTTACTGTGGTTGGATGATATCTAAAAAAAAGCCAACTTTATTTAGGAAGGCCACCTAAATTCTTTTTTTGTTAGGTAAATCTTCAATATTTAAGTCAATGTGCAAATATTTATTTTATAGTATTAGTGAGCCATAGGTGATATTACAAATAGATTTTGTTGTGCGTTTAAATTATTTAGAAGAGTTGATGTTTCTTGTTCTGTTAGTTACTTTCTAGGAAACCGGATTGAGGAGAAGCAAAATTCTTAACACTTCTGTTCAAAGAGCTGATTATTATGCTTACGCTTAAATTAAAATAAAAAACTTCCTCAGTATGTTCTACAGTTCTAATAGAAGATCCATAAATAGCTATACATAAACAAAAATATTCTAAAAGTGGGTTAAAAACCCCACCAGTAAACTCCAGAGACTCAAACACAATTCTGAAGATAATTTCTGATGCTTTAAACAAAAATCATACTATAAAGAATAACGCTCTTACCTTGCTTCTCCAGTCTCCAAGATGAGTCCGACTTTCATCCGTTGTCGCTCCTCGATCAGATGGTGATGCGTGGCACCTAGAGCAAGCAACATACTCACTGGCACCCTGCACACCCGATACCACACACGTTATTAGGTGCCGACAACATGTGACAAACGTTGACAAGTGCCGACAAGTTGTGTCAGACACAGACACACATTCATTGCAACATTCACTCTCACTTCCAATCAGTGGGAAAATCAGGAGTGGATAAATTGTCAAAGGTTATCAATTGCAATTCTAAAGTAGTTTTTCATAAGAGAATACTTGACTGGTGTGTTTTCAGTTGGATAGAGATATTTCATGTATGGTCATTTGTCAATCTATTGCAACAGACATTTCACACAAAAGGTTTGATAGCACAGCAACTATTTTTAGGAAGAACTTTAAGTAATAAATTATAAAGAAAATATATTGAATCTATGTGAGAACACATGTATAAATATTATAATTAATAAACAAAATTTATGAATATATATTGAAAAACAGACTGTAAATTGAATATACTTTACCAGTAAAAAGATTGTGAAATGATATGTATAAAGATTTACTCACACTTGAGTGTGCAAAAAAGGATAGTTATCTATCAGCATGCTTCAATTAAAATAAACTTTCTTTTAAATTGAATAAACTAAGAGTTATTTTGCCAAAAGTAGGTACATTCAGTTTCAAATTAGGACTGATTCAAAATTGGACATTTTATTTGTTTTATAAAATATAATGTATTCTATGTTGTTTTACCACCCCACAGTAGGCTCTAAATTAACATACCAACATACCCAAAATTTAAACAAAACCATCCCCCAATTAATACAACACAAAAGATTGAACATTAAACTATTTTTCACCCACTATGCATGAATACAAAGTCAGTTTATGTTACCAACTTAGACAAATCATTGTATTAAGTTTTCTACAATTGTAAAAGGGTAGTATAAAATATAACTATCACTGAACATTACGGAAACTAAAAATTCAACTTCAAGATGGAAAAAATATCAAGTAAGGAAAAGTGTGGTTGGAAGGTGTAAAGGGGGCACACTGACCGGTTAGCGCCGGCTTTTCTGTCTGACAAGACGATGAGTTGGTAGCCCTGTTTAGCCGCTGTGGTGGCTTCGTCGCACACTCTGTTGAGCGTCTTCTCCAACCCTTCTGGACCTTCCTCCTTGGCGAAAGTCACATCGATCTCTTTCGTCTAGGTAAAAACCATAGAGTGAGCCAGCAGTTAGAGTAATTCAATTAATTGTTGAAGTATACTATATTGTGTAAAGTATGCTGAGTAAGTTAAGACATAGTTTATAACAATACAGCATCATGTTCTTCTTAAATAAAAACTATAAAACTTGTTGAGTGTGAAATAGTAGCTAAAAACTGTTGCAGTACTGCTGCAAGTAACAGAATGAATAAAGTCTGATGAATTAACAAAATGGTTTGCAGGAGAAATATTGTTAAGTTTTAACTCAACGATTTTCAATGTTTGCTGTTAGCATAAAAAATTCTCATTTTGCGTGGTTGGCAAATCTGTTTTCACCTGTTGACGAAGTAGCCGGCGTCGGTAGCTACTAAGCGGAAGAGTAAAAAATATGGCGTTCACGGTGTAACGTTTAGACGCGACGGTCGGTCCTGGTTCGGTAATTTTACTGATCTTTTGCCCTCTTCGTCTCAATATGATGTAATATTCTTTTCCTAATTACCTCTACTCTTCCTTCGAGGCTATTTATCCCCCCTTTTTGAAGTGCACTAGTGTTAAATTATATCTCCTCTGTGATGCCGGCCGGCTGATTTTTGTTCTTCGTTCCATGGACATTTGACGCCAACTCACTATTCGACCTACAACCAAGGGTGAGCACTAGATATTAATAGCCTCTCCTTCATTAATTATTCATAAAAACCCTCCATTTGTATAAACCCTCTGCATCCTCCTTTCCAATAATTTAATTTGTTGATTCGTATTCGTGTTTGTGTTATAGTCGTATTTTGTATTTAATCTCTTTCGGTCCTTCGAGTTTTTATTGTATTAATTAACTAATAATTAATTTTTAATTTCTAAACTCCGAATTTAACATTTGGTCCTTCGAGCCGGATTATTTTTAGATTCCCAGTCCGTTGGTAAAATAGTCCAAGTGTAGTTTTGTAAATCAATCGTTGTAATCAATAATTTTTTATCGTTCTAGTAAGTTGTCCGCCATTTTTTAGTTCAGTTCAGGTTTCAGGTGATTCCTTGTTGCTAGGCAACGCCATTGCCTTTTCGACCTTCGTTGCCGTGTGTTTCTGTTTATTGCCGGTAGAGTGGGTAGAGTTTTCAGCGCAGTTTTCAGTTTTCAATATTCGCCGCGCTGCAATCATCCGTCATTGCAGACGATCACCTTGTGTTTACATTTTTTGCCAACCTCGCACAATCTATAACTACTGTTGTTTTTAATTGTTATCATAGCTGTTAATAAGATGTTTTAGCCTTTAGTATGTCAGATACTAGTTAAAATATTAGAAGCTAGTAAAAGTAAATAAATAAATCAATAAAAATAAGGAAATAAGATATCATTATTGTTTTAGTTTTAATTTCAACTTTTGATATTTTGACACACATTATTCTCTCTAATTGTTTTGACTAATCGGTCATTAATTATTGTAAATTTATTATCTCATTAGTAAAAAAAAAAAAAAAAAAAAAAAAAAAAAAAAAAAAAAAAAAAAACTGCTAAGGTAATTAGTTGTGAGAAATCAATAGGCATTTATTTCAATTTTAGATTTTTATTTTTCATACTAGGCCTACATTTCGCAATTGATTTGTTTGCTTAGATTTGTGTATACTATATTTTATTTCACATATCTTTCAAGAAGTTATATGTTTATATATACAGGGTGAATTTTAAATGAGTTCCCCCCCTACTTTTTTCTACATTTCTTAAGATATCAACTTCGGACCACGTCAGATCATTGTAGTGTAGTGAGTACTTCATTTTGACTGAATAAACATTTTTGGCCGCCATCTTGGATCCGCCATATTGGATACAAAATTTTTTTTTCAAATGTAAAGGTAGGGTTGTGACCCATTGTTTCAAACTAGAATTTTACGCTGATTACAATGCCACAATTAGTTTAAAAAAATCTTGATCCGTTCTAAAGTAATGAGGACTTTTTATAACTTTATTTTTAGCCCATTTTAACATTGTGCATTTACAAACTAAGACCATAATCTCAAAATAGTGCTAGATAAAGATAAGTATACACCACCATTCATTGTCGACCTATTATCACTTGGTTATGACGGATTAATTTTTTTCGGCCGCCATCTTGGATCTGCCATTTTGAAATGTGATAAATTAATTTAAATATGAAGGTAGTGTTGTGACCCATTATTTCAGACAACTTTTTTATGCTGAATTTAATGCCGCAATCCGTTTTGCATTTTCATATTTGTTTTTTGAAATATTGGAAATTTAAGCAAGATAATTTTAATATTTCATCAAGAAAACCTGAAAAACAAAAACGGATTGCGGCATTGAGTTCAACATAAAAAAAGAGTTCAAAATGATGGGTCACAACACCACCTTCATATTTAAATTAATTTATCACATCTCAAAATGGCAGATCCAAGATGGCGGCCGAAAAAAATTAATCCGTCATAACCAAGTGATAATAGGTCGACAATGAATGGTGGTGTATACTTATCTTTATCTAGCACTATTTTGAGATTATGGTCTTAGTTTGTAAATGCACAATGTTAAAATGGGCTAAAAATAAAGTTATAAAAAGTCCTCATAACTTTAGAACGGATCAAGATTTTTGAAAACTAATTGCGGCATTGTAATCAGCGTAAAATTCTAGTTTGAAACAATGGGTCACAACCCTACCTTTACATTTGAAAAAAAAAATTTTGTATCCAATATGGCGGATCCAAGATGGCGGCCAAAAATGTTTATTCAGTCAAAATGAAGTACTCACTACACTACAATGATCTGACGTGGTCCGAATTTGATATCTTAAGAAATGTAGAAAAAAGTAGGGGGGGAACTCATTTAAAATTCACCCTGTATAATGTTGTTATTGTTTAGGCTAGGCTAGCTATGTGTCCTCAAAATTAACGTAATTTTTATGTGTTTCTGTTGAATTGCATTGTATGTAAACCTCTGCTCTAGTAAGTTTATTTAGAGAGCTCTCAAAAGGAAAATTCTGTTGTGTATTTTTATAGGCTAGTTCTCTCTTAATTTTCAAGATTAATTAACACCTTCTTTTAACCATTTTTGTATCTTTTCTTGTGTGTATATAAACTCAGTATCTCTTTTAGGCTATCTCATATCGGCTGGCAATACAACTAGTCTTTTTTCTTTAAATAATTGTTTCTAATTAAATAGTTGCTAATAATTCATTCACTATTCATTGCAAATATTTGTATCTTCTGTTAGTATAATTTTGTATCCTTTTGTACAATGGCTCCCAAAGAATTCAAATATGAGACCTACCGCAAGTCCACAGATTTAATTAAGGCTCGGTTTGCCAAACTAGAAGAGGCGGTGACTAAACTTACCAGCACACCCCCTCTTACACCAGTACAAATTAGGCAACTAAATACCATATTTGCCGAACTAAAGAAAAAACGAGCCGATTTTGAGCTAAACTTGCAACGGCTAATTGAGACAGAAACTGACGAGGCCGCAGAAGCTAATCTATCATCTGACGTAGATGATATTAATGATTTCTATGTACGGATATCTAGCATAATTGAAGTCAACATCACTGTGGAACCTACAACTCCACAATCGTCCCATTCAGATATGTCCGCAAATTTCCCAACAGCAGTTGTGTCGGGAGTAAAATTGCCGAAATTGAATTTACAGACATTTGATGGCACTCCATTAAAATGGATTTCTTTCATAAATTTGTATGATACTACAGTACATAAAAGCACGTCACTTTCAAATGTAGCCAAATTTCAATATTTGCTCAGTATCTTGACCGGTGAACCATTGAATTTGGTCAAATCACTCAACCTGACAGCGGCAAACTATTTGATCGCCTACCAGCTCCTACGTGATAGATGTCACAATATAAGACGTCTGACAACTTTACACCTTAACTACTTATTAGATTTACCTTCCGTCTCACGAAGTAACCCTAAGCAATTACGATCATTCATCACCACTTTCTATGAACACTCCGAGTCCCTTAAGGCTTTAGACTGTGGGGTAACTGAAAATAATCCGTTACTTGCCGCACACTTGTTACAAAAGCTCGATACTAGAATGGTTCAACAACTAGAGCAGTATCGAACCACCAAAGCTGATGATGACACTGAAACACACTCCCTCCCAAAAGTAATGGAGATAATTAATTTCCTAAACCTGGAATGTTCCCATATTGAGGATGCAAGCTTGCATTCAAGCTCTGAATCAAAATCGCATTCTAACAATCCGAGACCCAAAATGGAAAAACGGGCTCAATTCTCCTCTGGCAATGTGGCTATGGTGTCGACTGATGTCAAGACTTCCACTTCAAAACCAGCTCGGTGCTTTTGTTGCCGCAAATCAGGTCATAAAATCTACCAATGCCAGGTGTTCAAAGATAAATCTCCTAGTGATCGCTACAAAATCGTTAAGGAAAATAATAAATGTATTTCCTGTCTCGGAACTCATGCACTTAATGATTGTCAATCCAGAGCTTCCTGTATAACTTGTGGCAACAAGCATCATTCACTTCTACACTTTAATAATGCTCATGGTCACTCGCAGCGCACCACTGCTACAGTTCCCGTGCCAAAGTCTGCACAGAGCACTTCGACTTCGATGACTTGTTCTGTTCAGCAAACAAATGTTCCCCACAACAGTACTGTCCTTCTCAGCACGGCGTTAGTAAAACTCACCACTGCTAATGGCCACTCCTTTGTATTCCGAGCATTGCTAGATTCTGGTAGTATGTCCGACTTTATTTCTGAGAGAGCTGCTCAACTCTTGGGTACTCGACGCCACCCTTCTAATCTCTCTGTCACGGGGCTAGCTCAGTCTCTCACTCAAACAAAAGGCTCACTTAGTGTTAATGTTGAGTCACTCTCTGGCCACTTAGTTGTCCAAAAACACTGTTTCCATATTTTGGAAAAAATATCTATCGATTTACCCAGAGTGGAACTCACCCCGGAAGTACTACAGAAGGTGAAACCTTTCGTTCTCGCAGACCCAACATTCCATAAACCGGGTCCCATTGACGTCCTTATAGGATGTGCATTATTTCCTCAAGTGCTAACAAATGAATGTCATTCCTTAGGCGATCACATGCCTTATGCTCTTGGTACCATTTTTGGTTACGTCATCGCTGGAACAGCTCCGTGTTCTTCTCCTTCTCCGAGAGCCTCTCATCTCTCTATCTCTCTCCTCTCCACTGCGGATATTGACCTCCACTCTTCAATGCAACGTTTTTGGACTCAAGAGGAACTGCCTTCCTGTTCCAAAAAATCTTCTGAAGAAATTGCGTGCGATAACTTTTTTGATACCACGCATTCTCGTGATTCTTCCGGGCGTTACACTGTACGACTACCATTTTCAAGTGAACTCGCTCCTTCCAACCTCGGCACTTCTAAGCCTATCGCTGAACAACGCTTCCAATCTCTAGAAAGGAAATTGCAACACTCAAACAATGTGGAATTTCGCAACCTTTATTCAGGCTTCATGTCGGAATGTTATTCTCTAAGACATATGGAAATGTGCCCAAACCTCGTTCTATCTGAGCCACACTATTTCCTCCCGCATCATGGGGTATTGAAATCTCAAAGCAGCACTACTAAACTCCGCGTCGTTTTTGATGCGAGTTCAAAGACCAGTTCTGGTCTGTCATTGAATGATATTCTTCTCATGGGTCCGAAATTACAGAACAATATCTGTGATATTCTATTACATTTTCGGTTGAATAAATTTGTCTTTTCTTGTGACATCCGCCAGATGTATCGGCAAATAAAAGTCCATAAAGACGATCAAAGGTATCAGCTTATTCTTTGGCGTGAAACCCCCTCACTTCCGCTGTCAACATACCAGTTGACCACTGTGACGTATGGCATGAATTGTTCACCATACCTTGCCATAAAGACCCTGAAGCAATTGGCAATCGATGAAGGATCTAACTTCCCGGAAGCGGCTCAAATCCTTCAACATCACAGCTATGTGGACGACCTAATCGCTGGAGCATCAACTGAAGCAGAAGCTTTGAAACTGCAAGATCAATTAATTGAACTCCTCCGCTTCGGCGGTTTTGAATTAAGAAAGTGGGTGTCTAACTGTCCTCGACTGCTACAACAATTGCCTGTTTCTCATCAAGAATCTCCTGTGTTTCTTCAAGCCTCTTCAGACCCTATGTTCTCCATTTTAGGACTCTATTGGTCTCCTGTGACAGATTGTTTTAAATACAATCTCAATTTCTCTTGTGAATCCCCGACAAAGCGCAAAGTGCTAAGCTTAATCGCCAGGATTTACGACCCATGTGGTTTTCTGTCCCCTTGTGTCATGATTGCCAAGCGCTTCATGCAAGTACTATGGACTTCCGGTATTTCTTGGGATGAACCCCTATCTTCGGAACTCGCCCTAAAGTGGCATAATTTCGTAACAGAGTTACAGAACGTTGATAGACTGTCGATTCCCCGACCAATTATATTCGCTTCTGTTGGTATCTATGAGCTTCACGGTTTTTCGGACGCTTCTGAGACCGGTTATGCTGCTGTGGTATATTTGCGAGACGTTAACACTGATCAGAATGTGCGAGTCACTCAGATAATATCGAAAACTTGTGCTGCACCTTTGAAGAAAGTGACTTTGCCACGGCTAGAGTTGAGCGCGGCGCATCTGCTATCTCATTTAGCCCAATATGTACGTTCTCAATATTCTAGTGTCATAACCATTGACTCCATAACCTTGTGGTGTGACTCTACTGTTACCCTTTCATGGATACAAACTCTCCCGTATCGTCTGAAGACATATGTGGCGAACCGGGTGGCTCAAATTCAAGAGCTCATTCCCTCCCATTGTTGGAGACACGTTTCTAGTACCGACAACCCTGCGGACTGCGCCTCTCGAGGAATCCTCCCTTCAGAGCTTGTCCATCACCCACTCTGGTGGCATGGTCCCCCTTAGCTACAACGTTCACCCCCAAACTGGCCAACTTCGAACTTCACACCCATCGATGAACACTCTCTAGACGAAGTAAAATTGACTCCACTCACCGTGCTTGTCACTGCTTCTCATTCATCTTGGGATCTTCTTACCCGCTTCTCGTCTTGGGAAAAACTCCTTCGTGTCATGGCCTACATCCTCCGATTCATATCTCACAGCCGCCGGCAAGAACATCAAGCGGGGCCTCTCTCCGTCACGGAAGTGCAAGCAGCTCAGCTGCGGATCTTCAAACTGGTGCAACAAGAGATGTTTCTTGATGATATCACTGCCCTTAAGGACAACAAGATCTGCTCTACTAGACTACAGCGACTCACCCCGTTTGTTGATGCAAACGGACTAATTCGGGTTGGTGGCAGGTTGAGACATTCCGAATTAGCTGAGGAAGTGCGCCACCCTCTAGTCTTACCCAAGAATCATCACGTAGTCAATTTATTTGTAGACTACACCCACCTACAACATATGCACTCGGGTGTTCAATTCACACTGTCACTATTAGCCCAGAGTGTCTGGATTTTATCGGCTCGTAGTGTGGTTCGCTCCCGCATTTTTCAATGCATGACGTGTTTCAAACAAAGACCAAAGCCTCTGTTCCCACTCATGGGGGATTTACCCAAAGCCAGAGTGACCCCTACTCGACCTTTCTTGTCAACGGGAGTCGATTATGGTGGCCCCTTCACCATAAAAATACACAATCTTCGTTCTATCCGACACATCAAAGCATATATCTGTCTCTTCGTTTGTCTGGTTACAAAGGCAGTCCACATTGAAGTGGCTACGGACTTGTCCACGGAAGCGTTTATCGCTGCACTTACTCGCTTTGTGTCACGTAGAGGCTTCTGTGCCGATATATACAGCGACTGTGGCACCAATTTCGTAGGAGCGAAAAATGCCATGCAACAGCTCATCTCAACTACTGGCCAACGCCCTTTACAACAATTCTCCATTCAGCGGAAAATTAACTTCCATTTTAACCCCCCTGCGGCACCTCATCATGGAGGTCTATGGGAAAGTTCCATAAAAGGAGCTAAATATCACCTTAGACGTGTATTAGGCAACTATGTTCCTACTCTAAGCCAATTCATTACGCTTACCTGTCAAGTGGAAGCAATGCTGAACTCCCGCCCACTTACGGCTCTATCCAGTGACCCAAATGACTTACAGGTGTTAACCCCAGGCCATATTTTAATTGGAGCTCCACTCACTGCAACACCGGAACTAAATCTTGCCGAAACACCTGATAACCGACTGTCACATTGGCAGCTCATTCAAGCATTCTCCCAACGTGTATGGAAGCGGTGGAGTCGAGAGTACCTCCACACTCTCCAGCAGAGACTTAAATGGGACAAACCAACTCGAAACCTGCAAGTGGGGGATCTGGTGTTGGTCCATCAAGATACACCCCCTATGTGCTGGCCTCTTGCCAGAATAACTAATGTTACCCCTGGAAGAGACAATATTGTTCGAGTCGTCGAACTCCAAACCCAACATGGGACCTTCACACGTCCGGCTGTTAAGATCTTCTTGCTGCCGTTTCTGAATTAAATTGATTAGTTCACCATCAGAATGTACATAGTATAATATAGTTCTTAGTTGTTAAGCTATTCTCATTTGATATCAATCTTGATTTTGTTGTACTTGATTTTGTTGAATCCTTACTGATTCAAAGCCGCCGGTATGTTAAGTTTTAACTCAACGATTTTCAATGTTTGCTGTTAGCATAAAAAATTCTCATTTTGCGTGGTTGGCAAATCTGTTTTCACCTGTTGACGAAGTAGCCGGCGTCGGTAGCTACTAAGCGGAAGAGTAAAAAATATGGCGTTCGCGGTGTAACGTTTAGACGCGACGGTCGGTTTCTAAACTTCTAAATTTCTAAACTCCGAATTTAACAAATATTTTAGTTAGAAACACTTGAGAATCATGTTTATACTGTATTTAATATACATGCACATTTCTGGAAATAAATACAAATTTTAGTAAAGGGCACAATGAATCTAGTTAACACTTTTACTCCCATAGGCCCTAAACCAATGTTGAAAAAATTATCATCCCGAACATAAACTACAAACTGGTTCCAGCAGTTCACTTATTTCAGACTTAAAAAAAAAACTTAAAACCTTAGCGGGTATAATCACCTTCCATCCACGGTGAGTGTTCTTCTTGAGCACCTTAAGGTCAGTCAGAGAGAGAATGGGGTGAGGCAACATCAGACGATGGCACTGCTTAGCACTCGGCTGTAGGATGTTATCTTCTGGACCAATGGGACACATCAGTGACATCACTATCTTCTCACGGAACGGATCTATGGGGGGGTTGGTCACCTGGAAGTTTCATTGCAAATTACAATACTTAATTTTATTTATCGGTTACAAATAGCACAATTGTTGATCGTATTTTAAATTGTCCTTGATTATCATTTAATTTCTTGGTTATCATATTATTGCAGCATCGAGATAAATAAAGTACCAATAGAAATGTTATTAGGAACTGAGTATTGTAGAAGTCACAAAGCAGTTCACACTAAAAGTAAGACTTTAATTTTGTACACACTTGTCTTTGAATTAGGGATGGACGGGTCCCGAAATTTCGGGTATTTTTCGGGGAAAAAATATTCCCGATTATCGGGACGGGATTACATTTGACTCGGGAATTTTTCGGGACGGGATTTGGTCCGATCGACGGCGATTTTTCCGCTTCGCGGGTTCCGATAACGCCGTTATTGCGAGCGATAGGTCCGCGAACGCAGGAGACGAAGTCATTTCGACGATTACGCCGTGACCGCGGAGTCATAACGACGATCGCGCCGTGGCCGCGATTATTGGACCGACGATCGCACCGAGATCGCGAGTCATAACGACGATCGGGCTGTGACCGCCTACGAGTCATACCGACGATCGCGCCGATACCGCGAGTCATACCGACGATAATGCCGTGACCGCGAGTCATACCGACGATAACCCCGTGACCGCGGAGTCATACCGACGATCGCACCGTGACCGCGAGTCATACCGACGATAATGCCGTGACCGCGAGTCATACCGACGATAACCCCGTGACCGCGGAGTCATACCGACGATCGCGTCGTGACTGCGAGTCATACCGACGATCGCGCCGTGACCGCGGAGTCATGCTGACGATCGAGCCGTGATCGCGAGTCATACCGACGATAATGCCGTGACCGCGAGTCATACCAACGATAACCCCGTGACCACGGAGTCATACAGACGATCGCGCCGTGACCGCGAGTCATGACGACGATCGCGCCGTGACCGCGGAGTCATGCTGACGATCGAGCCGTGATCGCGAGTCATACCGACGATAATGCCGTGACCGCGAGTCATACCAACGATAACCCCGTGACCACGGAGTCATACAGACAATCGCGCCGTGACCGCGAGTCATGACGACGATCGCGCCGTGACCGCGGAGTCATGATGACGATCGAGCCGTGATCGCGAGTCATACCGACGATAATGCCGTGACCGCGAGTCATACCAACGATAACCCCGTGACCGCGGAATCATACCGACGATCTCGCCGTGACCGCGAGTCATACCAACGATCGCGCCGTGACCGCGAGTCATGACGGCAATCGCGCCGTGACCGCTAGTCATGACGACGATTGCGCCGTGACCGTGAGTCATACAGACGATCACCCCGTGACCCGCGAGTCACAAGTTTCTATAGGTACATGTAAATTGTTACACATTTTTTTGTTTTTATAGATCAGTGCCACAAATGGTTAAAATTGATTTCGTATGTCTTTTTTGGTAACTCCAATACAGTACTTTCTTTTATGTACAGAAAAAAATCCCGTCCCGTCCCGTCCCGAAAATCGGGAAGGAAATAAAAATCCCGTCCCGTCCCGTCCCGAACTAAAAATTCAATCCCTTCCATCCCTACTTTGAATTCCAGTAATCAGCTATGCCTTATTTCTAAAAAAACTGAGTGTTTAAGGTATAAATGATGAATATTGGCACAAATTTACCTTGAGGAATGAATAAAGTTATTTAGTGCAAATAGCTAAGAGCTGAAGTATAAAGGGTGAAATTTACACAGTTATACCTGGGCAAAAAGTTGCTTGAAATAGTCATAGAGCAGTGGCTGGAACTGTGAAAGACAGGCCAGAGGCGCATCATTGCCCATAGACCCCAGGGCTTCTTTCCTGTAGACAACGATACAGAAATTAAGGTGAGTAGAAATATTATTTATTATCTACACTAGAAAACACTACACTGAACCAATATAATGATAAGTAGTAAAACAGCTGAATTGAATTGCAATGACTAGTACATTGAAAAGAAACATTATAACTCCCTTAGTAAAATTTAGGCGGTTTTAGGGGAAGTAATTCCAAACTGCTCAAAAGATGGTTTTGTCAGTTTGGTAAACTTAATAATATAGAGCACATTGCCCCATGTAAAGCTGACTAAACCCACATAAAAAGTTCTTCTTGACCAATAAAATAAATTTTTGCATTTGCATTTCTTGACAGTAAGTGAGGTAGACTAGGGAAAGACCGACTGACCATACTGACTAAAGAACTATGGGACTCTCGATGTTAGAGTTTGGAAAATGATTTTCAGAATTGCCAGCTTGTTATGTTTAGGGTTTTGTAGTCAGCAGTCATAGAAAATGGTTACTTTCTACAAAGAGAGATGAATATTCACTCATTCAAGGGGTTGATGCAGACATTTCTAATCATAATGCAACGAATTAGTGAGGTGCACTCAGGCATTAGAATGATTTTCCTGAGAAAATTGTCCTTTTTTAGCTCTGTCATTACTTTTCCGTCTCCCATGTTTATTTTTGTTTCAGGTCTTCTGGTGTTTGAGGTTTTCCCCAGACGGCCAAAGTGGACCGTAGTCTTGCTTGAGCACCGCTTGAATACATTGTGCGCTCCTAACATTCAATCGTAATTATTTTCTTTCAGGATTTGTTGTACTAACTATACAGTTCTGTATGCTTTTTATTTTGTGATTTTTCCAGCCTTAGATGGGTTTGTGTCATCTTGTCATATTACAGGTATTCTCACCTGTACTTGGAATCAGCTTGGATCCCAAAACGTCTTGATACCTCCTTTTTTTTACAACCAGCCAAAATTCCTTTACATAAACTCATCACCAAAAACTTTGAAAGAATATTTACTTGGTGCGTATCATCGGCAGCAGCAGCATGTTGATGGTCTCGATGGTGTAACCAAACAGGGAGAGTCGTCTATCGCCACCCCAGATACGAGTTAGGTCGTGCTCTGTGAGTTCATCCTTCAAATCTCCGTTGGACACTGGAACGACCGGTGACTCAGGCACGACTACGGATGATGCTGCTCGCAACTCCTCCATAGTTATCTGTGAACACCGACAGTATTGTGAGTTGAATCTTGTAGCTTGTGACATTGGTGTAACACATTTGTATCCTTTGACTTTGGCAATGAGACATTATTTCCAACACAATTTAAAGGATTATTAAGGTTTAGTTAGAGTTATCTTGGGTTTGGAAATCTACAGTAGATACCTCACCAGTTAAAAGTGGAACCTCTTCTAAACATCATTGGGAAGACCAAGATTGCAATAGTTGACAGAATAAACAAATAATAATTAATCATTTATCAGGTAATACCTAGGGAATTAAATTATTAAACAGTCAGTTGTAAGTTATTTGATAGTTGATGGTCTCGATTAAATCAAATCGAACACCAAATCAGTGAAATCCGTAGTTTGATTTAAATCTTGAATTAAATTATCAAACGGTTAAGACAATTTTGATGGAAAACACATGGAATAATAAACTATTTACAGAAATGAACCGGTGGGAACAAAGTAATCCATGGTAGGACCTACTGTTGGTTAATGAACTGCCACTGAGATGAGCGAACACGATAAGAATAAGGTATAGGAATACAGAGGTGGGAGATTCAGCCCCAAATTTGGATGGCTAAATTCACTGCGGTGTTTTACTTAGAGGAGTATACGTGCATCTTGTCATCATAAATTCTATGGTTGGACACAGCATAGCAGCACCAGAAAAATTTGTTGTTTAACAATCCCTGCATGGTGGCGGATAATACAAAATGACTGTCAACCATAAGGTTACAATTTGAATTTACATGTTTTTAAAGTAAAACAACATTGTAGTATGTGAAAGCAGAAAATGTAGTGGATTGTGTCACATAATTGTCATTTTGAGAAAATATTGTACCTAAATTGATTTTGCGTACTTTGATAACCCTCAAACTGAAAGCACCTTCATGAACATAGAGTGGGATTGATAAAGTAATGAGTCTAAAGGCAACTATTAAATGACCGGTTTTTGACAATTTTACGAGAGATGCTTGTCAACTATTAAATATGAGTGAGGAAGTTGTAGAATGAAGGAGTCTACTTTTTTAAGGGTGGTAATAATGCTGAACTGTACTTGAGCGATTGATTCAATGGAAAAACACAAATTCAAACTGCATGCTTTTGATGGAACGTATTTTAAATTTTCTCTCCTCTGTCCAATGCAAATGCATGTGTATGACTTTATTTTCAGGTTCAAGCCGAAATGCAGGCCAACATGTATGGAATAGTTTATCACACACAATAAATCTAAGTAACTACTTCAAACTTTCCACTCAATCTACAAATTCTACAAATAAACTTAAAAGAAATCTGTGGATGATCATCACAATATACAAACATAAAAATGTTGGTTTGGTATATTTTGGGAAGAGAAGTGTTTCATGAAAGTCACATCAAATTGATATTTTTAAGGAACAAAAAAATGAAGACCAAGAATTAAATAAAAAGGAAAGGAAACAATTTGTCATGCTTGGACTTCTAAGTATGTTTGCATTACAAATGTTAAGTTTCTCAAGATAAGAGGCAAGTCAAATGAAATTAGCAACTCTTATGGAAATTAATTTGAGATTAATACTTGAGTAGCATTTTAGAAGGCCAATCTAATTATGAGAGGGTCAAATTTAAGTATATTCCCTCAAAAAAATCATTACAATTAAACAAATCAACAGCAAATCTATTTTTTACAGATCCAAAAAGTCAACAGTTTAGTTATTGCATTAACCAGGAACAAAAAGGTTTTGGCTAAAATAAAAAATTAAAATTGTCACCTAATTTCAAAAATTGTACTTGGGATGGTGGTCCAACCACACTGAAACTGAATTTGGCAATTTTGGTCATCATCTCGATCTCAGGGGATTTAAAAAGTCCAAACATGAGTTATTCTAAAGGATACAAAAAACCAAAACCACACCTCCACCACATAACAGGCAAAACTAGCAGGCTTTTTGTAAACTCACCATCTGCGGTCACCAGCACAGCAATATAGGAACAAAATATAATTAGTTAAATTATAAGAAAGTAAAGGTTAGCAGTTTTAGGTTGAGAATAATATTCCCCTTAATATCCACTGTCATTCTTGAAACATTTTAAGAGGAATAACATTATTTTCAAAAGGTATAGTTTTTATTTTCTTAGGTACAATATAAAAAGATCATTCTTGGTTCAAACGTTATTAGGAAAGGGAAAAGAAGAAGAGTTATTCAATCTTGACTCATAACATTTAAATCCCCCTCATATTTCTAACATTCCTATGAAATTGAAAAATTGCAAGCGGTGTATCTTTTTTTATAGGATACATAGCATAATCAACCTACTTTGCAAACAAGAAGCCAAAATTGCAGCTTACAGTACTTTTCAATCACAAGCAAGCATAATAGTTTATTGTAGAAATTGCACAATATAAAAAGCTACAGAAATTAATTGTTATTGACTACTCTTAGAATTGATATTTTTCAAAATTATATTTGAGTTTTAACTTTAAGACTGCAAAGAGTTAATATGTAAATTAAAAATTAATATGTAAATATATTTACTTGTGCACATATACATTGTTAGCTAAAAATGTATAGGCCCTAAATATATCATAGCAAATTGTGTCATACATTCCGTATACCAACAGTTCTTGTTAGTTTGTATTGTGTTTTTGATTAGTCAATTAGTATATCTATGTTTGCACTTGCATTGAATTAAGAGACAAATTTTGAAATTTTTTAGTTGGATTAAGCTTTCTGTGAAAACTACAGGGAAAAATCATTCAATTACTTATTACAAAAAACAAAAAGGTTGAAATCCTGAGCAAAAATGCCTTCTTGAGCATTGTTAACCTTTGCTTAAAATATTTTTAGAACCACAATTTGTTAGAATTTGTTCCAGTATTTTAGGAATTCTAAAATTACTCATAATAACACATTTCAGATCTCAACAAGTAATTTAACTGTAGAAAAAATTGTAAAAACTTTACTGAAATACCATATCACACACCATTTGAAAAACCAAATAGTGAAATAACCTAACCAACAGAACAATTTCCACAACCCATTGCAAGTGTAAACTCTTTGCATTGAGAAAATTGCTGTAAGAGTGTTAAAGCCACAAACTCAGCAGACAATGCTAAGCCTAATGCAGTAATTACCTCCTCTTTGAGCCATTCGGAGTGCGGACGACACTTGGCAATGTGCATCTTCAGCTCAACATCCTGGATGATCCTCTTCTCCTGGGTATCTACCAGCAGCATCCTGCCTGGCTTCAAGCGACTCTACAAATCACAGGTGCAAGTTAAACACAAGTTTGGAGATATAATAGTATATGGCTTCTAACCAACATCATCATTAACCTATCCTATAAGACTCGTTGAAGATTCAGACCTCTTGAATATTCTTTAAGACCCCTATTAAACTTTCGGAATACTACCTCAGTTATGTTCTATTACTAAAAAATGTACCTAATAACCTACTACCTACTAGTGTTTTTTGACTCAGTGTACATCATGATTTTGGCTAAGGAAGCCAAAACAAATAAAAAATCTCAATCACCAGACGTAGTTTCCATTGCAGAGCATACAGTCTTAATTAGGATGAAACAAATATGGAAGGAAGGTCCGAAAAATAACCCTTGGAAGTTCATTGGAGAGGATTATTAGATTTTAGGTTAGAACAGCACAAACAAACCTGAAGGTATTAAAAGTTCCACCAACCTTGAGGGACACGTTCTCCGGCTCTGTGTCATAGACTCCGACCTCTGAAGCCATCACCATGATGTTGTCCTTGCACACGTAGAAGCGAGAGGGTCGTAGGCCGTTGCGGTCCAGGATGGCGCCGACATACCGGCCGTCAGTGAATGTGAGGAGCGCCGGCCCGTCCCAAGGCTCCATGGCGCACGCCGCCCAGTGGTAGAAGTCTCGCTTCTCCGCCGGCATCGTCTGGTCGTTCTGCCATGCCTCGGGTACCATGGTCATCACAGCCTGTGGCATTTTTAGATTAGATTTGAACGCAATTGACAAACCAGGGTGTGAATTTTAAGGCGAATAAGACTGGAGGATGAGAGTAGAATAGATAAGATGATAGCTTTGTTACTTACTAAGATAAGCGCTGGTTCTTTAACCAGGATCAGTTAGTGTTTATTTGTGATTGTTGAAAGTAACCTAAAATGCTGCAAAACCTTCTTTTTTATATGTAATCTGTTGTGACATTTCTCTTTATAAAAAAATTGGGTTTTAAAAAACAAGTTTTTAAAAATCTATGAAAATATTTTTTCAATTTATTGAGGTGTTAAAATAAGTAGGAGAGGTGTAAATAATTACACACCTTGATGAGTTAATTTGACAAAACCATTAATGCATTGACAGTTATAAGGTATCAATTTTGTATGTTGTATTGAAACTTCTGGTACTCTGAAATTAAATAATGCAATCATCTCTTAACTTATTTAATACCTTGAGCTAAGATATACTTGAGCTAAACTAAAAATGACACATGGACGGTAAAATAAACCCTCAGTGATTCCCAAATACACAATCTGACAAGGACTTTTCTAGGGAAGTATAGCAGAAAAACACAACTTGTCAGTTTTACTTATGCTTTAAAAAATTCAAAATAAACACAGAAGTGCATCTACTTTGAAACTTAAAACTTTTGTTAGAGAAACCTAAGTAAAAAAATAATTTTTGGGGTAACAATATTTCAATAAGTAGTGTTAACTGCAAGAAGAAAAACAGACCGGTCTATGTTGTAACAAACATTTAAACAGGCTTGCAAATGGTCTGTGCAGCCAATTGGTTATGGTGTTCCCTTTAAATCTGAACGTCACTGGTTTGAATCAAATGGGTCGATTCTGAACCCAAATGACATTATTTTTATTGAGCTATCAATTTATGATGCTTTCAAACAAAAACTTGAAAATAGATTCAAGACCAGGGGTGTAATTACAACCTAAAAACATTTTTTTAATGAATTTAAATGAAATGAAAATGCTTCTTTATTGAGGCGAACTTAGGACCACATGGTCCTTTCTTACAGTTAACCTCTTAACCTCAGTAAATGCCACGTGTTAAAAGACACGTTTTTTACCTCAGGTAGGTCTCGTTTGCCGGCCATCACGATGAACTCCAGCACACAGTCTAGAGAGCCGGAGTCTGAGAGGTTAGGTTCCACAACAGGGTATAGAGACTGCATGTCCTCAATGTACGGACTACGCATTACTCCCTCTCTGGCCTTCATCAGGTTCACGTTGCCTCGTAACGTGTTGATCTCTCCATTGTGCGCCAACATCCTGACGTCAAAAGGGTTATAAAAGAATTGTCGGTGATATCTAATTACTTTGGTAAATCTTGATTTGTCAGAACTCAAAGTTTTTATACACTGGTTGGCAATTGATTGATATTCAAAGTTGAACCAAAACTAAAGATATTTTACAGTTCAAAAAGTATCCCTACTACTAAAATGAGTTGAAAGATGTACAACAAGATAATTTAGGGTGAAAATTATATTAAAGTAAATAATAGGCTTTTGTAACCAACATAGTTTGAAAAATTGGCAAGTATAAACTAAAATTTTAGAGATTTTACATACATATTACTTGGGTTTCATGGTGAGAGAGCCCAATTTAAAATTTGTTTTTAAGATTTCTTTGGGGTAAAACTAGTTACATTAGCAGTGTTTTTTAATAAATTAGGTTAAAGTAAATGTTAACTGTGGGGTCCCGCCCAAAAAGGACAATTTTACCAATACTGGTATGGTAACTAAAGATTAATCGTTTAAACTATGAAACTGTTTTTTTTTAAAGCCAAAACCAAGAAAACTGCCAAAGGTCACACATCAGTTCAGGTGCCAATAACTTTTTCCCCATCTACATATCAGTAATAAACAGGTTTTACAAATATTTTTTGTTCTGCATACTGTGTTTATTTCACAGTATGTATTCAAGTTATGAGCTGGAACAAAAAGCACTATGTTTAAATTTTACCAATCATAATCATACACATAATTATGCACACTCAGGATGTTTACTAACCTGAGTGGATGTGCTCTCTCCCAGCTTGGGAAAGTGTTGGTGGAGAACCGGGTGTGAACCAGGGCCAAGTAGGTGTCAAAGTCTGGCGACTAGAAAAGTAAACAAATAACATTACTGTGTGTGACTTAGTAAGTCATCTAAATAACATATTGACCTTTTAATTACTTGAAAACAACAAGCTGTCAACGCTGTGTTGGTTGAAGTTAACTAGACAGCTCAAATTCTATGGGAAATTAGTTGCTTTGCAACGGGGTAAGGACATAAAAGAAGAGAATAGTTTGGTGATAAGTTACTTTTCCTACAGTTACCTAACAATGTACATGTTCTCTCACTGATTTGAGAAAGCAATGTGGCCAATTTGCTCAATCTAATTACTTTGTCTCTCTCCAGATTTACAACATGAAGGCACGGAAGTGGCCAATTCGCTCATCAGTGAGAGAATGTCTCACTCCAGATTTGCGACGTGAAGGCACGTTTCTTTAACAATTTATTTGTTTTATGGTAACTGTAGGAAAAATATAATGTGCAACTTGAGTGCAAAGTGCAACAGCCTCACTCGAGAAACCATTCCTCACTCGCCTACGGCTCGTGAGTAAGGATTTCTCTCAAGTGAGGCAATTGCTCATCTTGCTCACTAGTTGCACAAATAAATATATACAACCACTATTGATTATTGAGATAAAACTCAACCATGCCATTTAGTTATATTAGATTCTCTTTTATTTATTAGTTTAATCAGCTTTATGGTAGAAATAAATGAATAGGTAACTCAATACAAATTAAATTTAAAAACAAACTAGATTGGCTTATTGGTCGAAATTCAGAATTATCTGTTGAAAATAAATTAATTTTGAACAAAATTATAATGAAACCTATTTGAAAGGAAATACATACATGCTTGTATACAGCTCTGGGAACCTATTTGAACCCTAACATAGAAATAATTCAAATATTTTAATCCAAAATACGAACAAAATAATTTACAAGCACCGTGGTATGCTCAATTAATGATATACATTAAGATACAAAATTGCCTTTCATCAGGGGGAAAAACCATGTGAAAAATATCTAAATTTTTTATATATTTTATTTTTGAATTTTTTTTTTAAATAAAATATGAAAATCCATCTAAATTTTCTAGGAAGTAAACCTTCATGATACTAGCGAAGCTACTTTTAAGCTTAAAATAATTCATCCAATTGACTTTCCAAATATTTTTTAGTTAAAATTTGTTATAAATGCTTTGTTTTGTAGCCTATATAAACACGTCTAATTTACTTAATGTTCCAGTAATAAGAACAAATTGTAAATGAATACTTTTGTAAAAAATTCAAACAAAGCAAATGTAAGAAGACCAAATATACACATTATGGTTTTTAAATTTGCTGTCATTAAAACTAACTAATATTTCCTTACCAAAGCTTCTCATTGAACTTGGGACATCAAGTGGACATCAGGAGTGATTTTTATATGTCGGGGGGTCAAGTCAACTAAATGAAATGTTACACTTATTGACAATTACACAATAGAATGTGACAATTTAACTTTATGGCCTGGGATGAATTAAATAGCAGTTTTGGTCCAACGAATGATTTGAATGTGGCTAACAGCCAATATGGCACTATCAAAAGACGATTTACAATGGTTCAGTTTTTAACTACTTCACAATTTAACCCCACCGCTTAGGAATGTGTAGAATGAAATAGTAATGTACACAATCCTTTCACATTGGATATTGCCATCAACTTTTAGTTACTGAAATTGTTAACCTAAGGACCATCGTTTTCATTCACAAAGAACGTATTTGAATGAGATACAAATAATATTTTCTCCTTCCATTTTGATACCATAATGGGCTATGCGACTCAGGTATGTATGCTGTAGTCCACAGTAAGATGTTTACTTTTAGATTTGCTAGGTAAAAAATTGTGTGTATCCAGCAGAAATGAGTAATTTACATCAGCATGCTCTTACAGAGGTTCAATTCAACTAGGTTTTTATTCTAAAACTGTCTAAGGCTTCAACCTGGGGATGGACAGACTGCTTTTATTCACACTCAATAATATGGAAACTGTTGTTAGCTCATTGAAGCTCTTTGGTCACTTGATAGTTTGCGCCAAATTACTATATGACAAATATATCCACAACTGTCTTGACTCTACCTTGAGATCAGTGAAGTAGCGCCACAGCTGATCTGAAGTGAACTGTCCCTTGTATACCACAGTTCTGTTGGACAAAGAGCAGATGTAGAACCTTACTCCTGGCTTGGGGATTGTATGGGTAGCTCGCTTACGTAGCACAAACACCTGCAACAAAAAAGGTAACCATCAATAAATGGTAATTAGCAGTCCAAATGCCTTAGAAATAATTCAAACTGTTAACAAATACACAATAGATATTTGTACCCAGCACAAACATCTACATCATAAAATTAATTGTCTAAAACTGATCATACACCTTAGAATAATAATAAGGGTTGTGCATCACAAACACTTTTAACATAAATACAACCGCCAAGATAATTGTAAATAAATGTTAACACAAGTGCCTACAATACAGTATAATTATAATCACCAACAAACGTCCATACACAGTACAAACATTTTTAACACGGACACAATTTCCGCACACAATATTTTTGTAAATGGAGACTAAATTTCCAGACAAAATGTTATTTGTAAAATATATGTAAACTTGAGTCTAAGTTTCATGCTAGTAAATATTTAGATTTGTTTATTTAAATTTTAAAAAACCTTTATGCAGCAAAAAAACCTTTAACGTAAACACAATCCTAAAATATTTCAACATATATAAACACAATTAATTGTTAACAAGTTATCTATTTTTTTGTCCTAGGATGCTAGGCACGAGCCCAGAATTGTTTTTCACATTACTTCAGGCTAGACCTAAGGGTTGCAGCATTATCACATAGATAGTTTAACTAAGAAGATAGATAGTTAGTTTTGAACTAAGAACCCACCCAACAAATATTTTTTTTGCCCTCCTAGTTGAAAAAAAATCTGTCCTTGGAATGTAATGGCACTTAATCTTGGCCTAAAGGGAGGAAGCAGTTCAGCGGAAGGATGACAATCTTCTCCTCACATTTATAGCTTTTCTCTCACTCTCATAGAGAATCAAGTACATGAGTATGATATTGCACCCAGTTTTCAATACTATAAAACAATGGGTCTATTTTAGGTTTAATATGAAAATAAATTTGATAAATTATCTTTAGTTTTGGTTTGTTGGTATGTCCAGAATTATACAGAGAAACAAAATGTACCTATACATTATTCCCTATAAAAAATAGTACATGTTTTCATTTTTGCAGTTTACAAATGATCATCATAGTAATAATTACACTATAATTTTATATATTCTGTGAGTAATACGTAAACTGTAAGAAAAGTAGGTAAACATGTAAATTAACTTGTAAAATAGTAATGGAATAATACAGTGGCTATCACAATCCAGAAACTTTTCCCATTCAATAAATTTAAGTGTATCTACAAACAAATAAATAGAAGCATTATGCATCAAGTTATTTTTCAGACTACACCGAGTTTGTTTAAAGATTCGGAAGGAATAGTAAACATGGAGAACAGTGTAACAAACAGACAGTGAGCAATCAATAAACAAAGACCTAACGCCACGGCCAATTAACTGGATAAAACTTGATCTACAGAATCATTTGAAATAAACAGCATGTAAGCAAAATGGTGGGTGGTTGTTAATAAACTATACTAGTAGTTCAATTTTTTATTAATATGTGGAACAAGAAAAAACTCTTTTTAAAAGTCTTTGAAAAGTAAAAAAGTAAAATTTGTATTTCCCACTTTAAGAATATGTAAATAATCATCCATTGTTCATTATGATTCAAAGACATTTTTTAAAGAGAAGTCAACATTATAAGTGATGTATTCAAAGAAAACATTTCCTAATGGACGTGTATTTTTAAATTTGGCTACCACCCAACCGGGCCAATGACCATTCTGCACTCTTCCCTCACAAAGTGTCAAACCTTTTAGACCTACGGTATTTATTAAATATATGTTTACGATTTGACCTGTTTACTTAAAGCGAAAAATACAAGAAATATAAAACACAACCCCTAGTATCTTACAAACACATCTTTCCTTGAATAGAACTTCTATACATCTGTGAGAAAATTTGCTTGAAATATAATTCAAAATAATTTTACTGAATAAATTCAATGCTATGCCGGTAATCATATAGTTTACGCCTGACGCATGCGACATAAGCCATCATATGAGAACTAGCAGGTATTTAAACGGTATTGTGCTGTTATCAAGCTAAAACAATCCGTCTTGGTATTTTTTCGGCAATACTGTCTGCAGCCAAATTTAGCCTGAGGTCGAGTATAGCCCAGTGAAGTGGAGACAATCTGATTGTAATTCAGTCTGTTGAATAAATGAGTTGACAGTGGGTGACGCACAAACATATGGCTTACTGCCAACGAGTGGCTGCGTCAATCCACGACTGCCGATCAAGATTGATCAGGCCTTTGATCAGCTGTTGCTAGATCGTCGTTGAGAACTACTGGGAAAGTTTTGTGAAAGTAACAAAAATAAAGCTGGCGAGGAAATAGATCAAAAGAAGAATTCTATAAAAGAAGAAATGGAAAAGATTGTCTATAAATAATCATATCTGAATTTTAAATGGACACTTTTTTTTTATTTACTCTGCAACTATTAAGCGCACAACAACGCTTTAATATTCTGATACTATATTATTTATTGATAAGTTATACTCGATCACTGTATTGAAAATATGGTAATTTTTATGCCTTTAGAGTACTAATTTGGAAAAAACCAATTTTTGAAAAGTTAAAAAAATATCATAGCACCCCATTGTTATAACCCAATATTGCTAGTTTGCGAAATCATCCCAGTTAATCCAGTCCTACACAATTCTTAAAATTTTTATCAAAATCAGACTACAATTGCTCGATTATTGTAAATTTGAACTAATACCTAGGGGCATTATTTGACCTATAACATTGAAATAAAACAGTTAATCGAACCAGGATCTAGGTCTTACTGTGCTACCTAAGCTATCTAAGATACTTAAGGCTTCTTCCCTATTGAGGAATTTCGTAAATACGCCTATGTAGGAAACCAAAAAATTAAATTGGATATTGAGTGATTTTAATGACGAGAAATCAAATCAATTTTTAATAAATATCACCTTACGTTAAATTTTTTGTATTTTAAGAATGCACTTTTTTGTTACACATTTTTTGATACATTTCAAAGAATTCTAAAATTGTATGTTATTAGGGTTTACTTACACCATAAAACCTGGTTCTTATCATGCTGCGAACTCGTTCAAATAAACCTAGGTTTACAAGATTTTCCAAAATTTTGTCAACATCGGATAATTTTTACTCTAGTTATACGAACGATTAGTGTTTTTTGCCTTTTGCCTCAAGGGAAATCAAAATGAAAATGTAAATCGGTGGGTCTATGTCTCATCTTGACACCGACGGTAATGGCTTATTTTTTATAGGTGAAATTCATTCAAAAATGTTGTTTTTAACAGGAGCAAAACAATTAATTATGCTTACTGAAGAAAACCATCATTTTTATTTTGAGTCAGCAATATTGATTACCAGTTCACCGAACAACTCTTTGGGAGAAAAAACCTTCCTACACCGGCTGCAAACTGAGGAACCATCTACCTGACTACCTGAGAGACCTGACTGGCAACAAGTTACACCAGGAGTTGAAGAAGTGGCTAATTGCAAGACCCTTCTACTCAATAAAGGAATTTTATGAAAATTATGGAAATTAACACGTACAATTCACTATTGTATTGACACTATTGTAATTCTTAACGAATGAACAATAAAGAATATTGTATTGTATTGTATTGTATTGTATTATATAGTGTGTATTTTTAGCTAAGTATAAAAGCAAGAAGCATTTTGTAGAATGGATTGATATTATCTACGTAGCTTTGCGACTACAACCAGCTCTACCTCAGGGATCATTTGTTAAAAGACCAATGATCAAGAACACTAAGCAAAGAACCAACAATGTAATGAAGTAGGTAAGACATCAAGGGAGGAAGTATAAAGACTTGAGTTTAATGTGAAAGTCGGCCCAGTTTACTCCTACACCCTTCTTGATGACGGTGACGCAAGTGGTTTGTATTGATCCCACTTTTGGGCTTCTAGCCAAATTTCACCTCAAATTTTATCCCAACAGTTGCATGTGACAGATCACTACTTGACTTGACTTTATTCAAGTCTGATAAATCATGACAAAATGCACAAAGTATAAAACAATAATTAAATCATAGAAAGTTATTTATTCTGTTTGACTTTTTATTTCACATTACTTTGTGACGCTTGCAACTTGCAATTTAAAAAATTTTAAAAGTTTATATGTAAACTAAATTAAATTAAGAATTAAAAACTTAAAATTTGCAACCAGCAAAAATTGAAAGCTTATGAAAAGTTGAACAATTTTAATGTTAATTTTAGATTTTAAAACAGTTGAGTTTGATAAGTTGCAACTTTATACTTTTTAATAAGGAAACATGATAAATTTTTATATTTTTGCTGGTAAACTAAATAAAAATATTTTTAATGACTATACCAAAGGTTTATTATTAAATGGTATTTCAATAAATACCCCAGTTAAGTCTTTGAAATATAATTTCCTTTACTGTTCTTTCTCTGTTGTTTTTGTTCATAATTAAAAAAAAAACAATTCAATAATCAACTTTTAGAGTTATTTTCCTAACAATCCAGAATCAAGTTCTAAAATCAATTGTTTATTAATTACAACAAAATTATCAACACCAGGAAAGTTGTTTGTCAACAAGTGTATTTGCGTAACAAGTGCAGATAAGTGGTGCATCAATCATTTCTATGTCACAGTACGATACCGGAGGAGGATTTAGATGTTCTGACAGTCTTCTCTCATGAACAGCTGATAAATATAGAGCCAGACTCCAGCCTTACCTGTCACCGTAATACCCTACACTGGGTCAATGCAACCAGACAGCGACTCATGTCTAGACACGCCATCACTTTGGTTTAAACTTATAAGCTTGAAAATCAATCTTCCACCCAAGCAGAGTTGAAGTATCGATCAAACACTCCCTTGTAAATTGGACATGGGTCAGCTGATGACATTGTATATTTGACATGGATCAGCTGATGACAATTTGTTAATTGTATGGTTCTCTCCGGTTTGCTGAATGCAATTTGGTGTTTTCTCTTTATTTATTTTTACTTAATGGGATTTAAAAACTGTGCTAAGATTGCTTTCAGAGCGGTGAAAGGCAGTTGAGAGGAGAAAACAGGATTTGAGATTATTTATAAGTAAAGAAATTAATAATTTTCAATAGATGTAACGAAACTATTATATTAATTAAAATTATTAGTCTGACTCTGAGCTATTAACATTCATAACTAGTATTAAAGTATAAAGAAAACAGGAGGGAAATTATACATTATTTTAACTCTCGAAATCGGTAATACTGATCTTCGCAGGGAATAATTGATTGATTGATTATACCAAGTAGTCTAGATTGAGAAAACGACTGTAATAATGAATGGTACATCAAGTTGCCGAACTCTTGATAAAGCAACGTCCGTCAGTCCAATGGAAAACTCTGTCTTGCCCATGTCAACAACACACTGGTCCACTGTTATGACTTGACTTGTAAATGGTCGGTGGTCGTTGATAGCAAATGCTAGCTATAATTGTTTGTTTCTGGCACATGATACTCCATTGTTTTTAATATCCACCTAGTAACTGAAGTAATTGGAACTACCCCATTAAAAATTGGTCAATTGACTTTGACACGTTTTATTGCTCGTCTTGATCTTTTACCAGTACCGTACTTAATCAGAATGCTCCCAAGAATGTGTTTTAATATTGACTTTAATAAAACATTTAGTAAGAAATTGATATGTATAATATTTTATTTTAATGTAAAAACTCTTCCTCTGTATTTCAGTCAATATTTGTTGTTACTGAATACAACAACAAAATCTATTGACAGATCTATTAAAACAGTTCTAAAACTATAAGTATTCGACTTTAATTGATAAAAACAAGTAAAGGCATTTGTATTATTTTATTATTATTTAGTGATATTTTTCCTCAATAAATTATTTGGGATAAAGAATCGGCTCAATTGATCAATAACAAAGCTATAATGACATTCATTCAACACAAACAATCCATCTTCCATTAAACCATACATAAACCTTAGTGTGCACAAGCATCTATTATAATCAATATTACTTATTTGAAGGAGATTTTTACTCATTTCATCGTCAACAATTTTTTTTATTCATCTCATTGACTTACTCGTATGTAAATCAAAGGAAGTCGACTGATCAGTTGATAGCAACTTGTGGTTTGTTGTTTGTTGAGATGGTTTGTCTCGATTCTCATTGGATTGTATTTATGAACAACCTCAAAAATTACTATTTTTATATTTTACTCTATAATGTATCAGCTGATTGCAAGTGTGTACAAGGGGGGGGGGAGGGTAGCAGCCTCTTCAGATCAATACTAACTCTACTCTCACTCTCAGAGATAAGGTCAAAGGCCAAACTCCCCCAACCCCAATCTCAACTTTCATCACTAATTGAACAAGAATGAACACAATTTATTTTTAAAACCACCAGAAAAAAATTAGAATCAGAGTAAAATTGTCTAGTGTGTTTTTAATTTGGAAAAAATGTCCAGTTGATAAAAAATGTCCTTATTTATAATTTAAAATTGGTGATGAAACTAAACGGCCATAATGTCTGATTATTGTTTCACAGTAAATAATTAATTTTTCACAAAACTTAACTGTTTGAAAAAAATTTGTATAGGAGTTAACTAAAACATAAAGATCAGGAATTTTTTAAAGCCCAACTGTTAATTTCCCATACTTTTTTTACAAATTCTAATCCAAATATTATAAGCTACTTATATTTTTTCAACCATATACAGTACTCGTCAGGTAAATCCACTATTTTTGTTAAAATTAAAGTTTTTTGTGATCAAAATATAAAAAATCTAAACATCAGTGAAACATATTTAAGAACTCCTGGTTTTGTTTCAATGGGTAAATAAACTTTGATTACTTTTCAATCAAAGAGAATGCATATTATTAGCTTTTCAAATAGTTTCAACAGTTTTTGCAAAGAGTAAACTCAACAACAATTGTTTCTATTCATTACATGGGAGGCTTCATGCTGTGCATCTTACAATGGTTCCATTGTTAATACAAGGTCAAGCTCATCCTCCTCTCCTCTCACACCTGATTAGATTGCATTTGCAAAAGAACACTTCAAAACTTGTTGAATTATTTCTTATAAACAACGCAAATCCTATAATCACAGTTGGGACTGTTGAATATCTAGAAGGCAAACAAAAATAAAATATTTCCTAAAGTGTTTGGCTTAGTAAGAGGAAACAATATCTGTAAAAAAAAGTTGCAACGAATGTGTGAGAATAACTACAACTTTGTACCGTCGGGATAATATATGGGAGTCAGCTGATTCCAACGAGTTCTGGCAAACGACCGCCATTATTCTGTAAACCATCAGTTCTCGGGCCATTACAAAATCTGAGTGGCATCCAAAAACTAAAAATAAACTTAGGAATGTCCGTACTGATCAACAATACCGGTATTCCTAACAGTTTTGAAAGATTTTCAAGCAATATGAGAAGAAAATTCAACATAACTTATTGTGCTTGTAAAAGTGAAACCTCAAAACTTTGGAAATTGTGGCTATCTTCTCTTTTTTATTCAAGTCCACAGTAATAGTACAACATACTTTTTTGACAAAGTTTTAAATGTACATATAATATGCAGAGGTCATCGAAGCAGAAACAAAACCAAATGGAGGACGAACCACTGGAATCAGTTGTAGTCAAACTAACTGAACTAGAGAAATTCTAATGAATCTAGAAAAACCAGAAGAGTCTCATAGTTATAGGGTGTTGTTTAAAATGCAATAAAAATCAGGTTACTTTGCTCAGGAAAAGCAAAACCAAAATTGAAAAATAATACACACACACTAGTATAAACCATTCAATAAAAACTACTGTATTGTAAGCAAATCATTTCTAGAATGATTGATAGACAAGGGAAAGTCTTGGATTACTACATTAAAAATCTTCATTCGCAGGCTTAAGCGGCCGGTGTCATCACTGAATTCTTGGTCTTCCGGAGAGAGGCGCATCAAGTTGGTATTTACAGCATGCATTTAATATAGGATACTTTTTGATTATGACCAACCTGCTTCCTCAAATCGTCCTCTTCAAACTTGGTGGTAGGCACTAGGAAGACCTGTCTCATGAAGGGTTCACTGCTACGAGCTACTTCTCCGATGCCTGCGTTGTCTGTGGGCACAGTCCTCCAGGATAACACCTGTCACAAACATCACTGTCAAGACCCCAAAGACTTCAAAAGAGTAAGTAGGGTAAATATTCGGAAGACAGTATAGATCCTTTGATGAATGATAGAATACAAAGACTGTACATTAGACCATTTTCTCCTTCTTTTACTAGCACCTCAACCAGTACTATTTTTTAATACAAACATTCTCCCATTTTATTTTCACCAGTATTACAAGTTCTTACAAGTTTATGTCTGAAGAAAACTTTCAGAGCAACCTAACTTAAACTTATAGGGACACCATTTTTCAAAACAGGTTTTAGCGAATCTTCCATATAGGAAATAAACTGTTTTTAAGTTGAGCATCATAATATTGTAAACTGGTGGCCAAACTTGCATACTTAACTTCATTTTCCAATGGAAATTTAATTGTGAAAATTAGATAAGTTTTCTGTTTAAGTGATTGTATAACACTAATGTAATGAACGAATATGGTTTACAATGGCATACTACAATAGAGACCCATATTTTGAATAGGTAGTATTGTTAATTCTAATAGAAATGTGAAGATGCACAAATTAAACTGTATTTTATTGGTACATGCTATAAATTCATATTGTTGTAAAATGCTGTACACTGGACATTTTTTTTGGTACAAAATAAGCAATGAAACTGGACTGGAACTTTTATGGAATTTTAAGTTTTATTCCATATAAGATCATTCAAAACAGCAATTTTTACAGATGGGATTTTAATTTGAATAGTTAATTTACATAAGCGTCCATTAAGAAATTGATTTGCATCATAAGAAAGCCATTGTCTTATCTAGAGTAAAGTGTTGGTCATAAACAAAAAAAGAGGTTAATAGAATGGTCAAGGCTACTATAGAGATAGGCTGATAAGGCTGGCAGCCAGTTACGTCATATTCTGATAGTTTTGAATAAGCCACATTGTAAACATAGTTATCCCACTTGTACAGTATAGTCTCGATTATCCGACCTTTGGTTATCCAGATCTTTGAGGAGAAGATTGAGTACTTTGCTATTTATGGTAGTACTGCTCTACATCAGAGCAAGTGCATCGGACACCTTTTGCCGCCCCTGACTGTACCCAGAAAGTAAGCTTTAGGGGCCTGCACTTGACTGTACTTTCTAATTGTTTTAGGTCACTGCAAACTACAAATTCTGTCAACTGTTCATATGTCTCTGTTACTTCTCACATCTTAGTCATTGTGAGAAAAAAGTATTTTGTCTGAGTGGACAAGTATTGCTTTAACTAATATTTTACAGTTACAGTAGGCCTACTTTTTAAAAATTTATCAGTTATTTTTATTTGATTTGAAATTACGAATTCAAAATGGAAAAAATAACTAGTTTAATGAAAGAAATGGTTAAATAGGTTTGTCAATGAAGAAACTATTGATTTGATGTTGACGATGGTCTACCACATTCAGATAAAAAAATTATATTGTTGAATATGTATTTAGAAAATAAGACGAGTCGAGCTGAATTTCTACTATTGCAATCGCAAAACGCGTCTAGTAATTTAAGTTTTTAAAACTATTTCTCCAAGCAATTTGGATAGTTAGTTGGTGTGTTTGGATAATAATTGGAGTTCTACTGTAGTTTGATCTATTGGCTTATCCAACCTTTTTTGGCAGCTGGTTTAGGTTGGATAATTGAGTCTAATGATTACTGAAGGCATCTCTGACCAATGTTTCTCTCTTACTGTTTATAAAATCTTAGTCGATTGTATTCAAAAACATAATCTAGAGTGCCTTAAGTTCAAGACCGTTTAGGGCTTCCTACAGGGACCTCCAGTTCAGTTTTATTCTTATTAAATTGAAGGACCACCCCTCTAAAGTTTTCTTACAGATCAAGAACGAAATATTTATTACCATGGGAAAAGTTTTGAACCCCAACTATACTTTCCTTCTTAATCTTATCACATCTTCTTGAATGATTACAAGCTTTTGTTGAATGGGGTTAAAGAGAACTTAGCTAATGAAGTTGTTTAAGCCTATTGTACCTTGAGTTTGCATTCTTCTGCAATCTTGGAGAATTGAGCTTCGCAATCGTTGTGGTGAATCTTGTCAAGGTAGATGATACCTGTCGCGTATTGGCCAAACGGAGGCAGTTCCACGCCTTGTTGTTCTCTAAAAACCGAAAACTTGTATCAATTTAATTTTTTACATCCTTGACTATTTTATCTTTTTAAACTTTGCCTATTTATCATATATTTAAATCTGAGGCATTATTTTTGTGAGATTCATATATTCTGTTATAATAGAGTCTACTGATTAGAAAATATAAATACATATTATAGGTGAGATTTAACAGTGCAAATGCTTTACTCTTTACTCTATCAAAGCTCAAACATGACTTTATAAATAGATTGGTTTAAGTTAATAGAGTTTTAGTCAGTGAAATAAAAAATAACATAGTAAAAATCAAAACACTCTCTATACTATGTACTAAACAGAAACATATCTTAACATATCCATCGACTGATAAGTATGCTAAATATATATGGTATGTTTAATCCATACAATTACAGTATTTCACAAGCTACTAATATCATATTTTTATCACATAGTTCAAGTAAAATTATTTTTTTTATTTGGAGGGATCCAATCCTGGGACTAAATTGCTACTTTCTTCAATCCAACTGTTACAAAATTTAACACATTCACTACCACAAGGCCACTCATAAGAGGAGTGGGGCGGCTGGAAGGCAATGGAGTTAAACTTCAATTTTTCATCCTCGATGATTGATTTGGCACCCTTAAAATGTTTACCATCCTACGGTTTGGTGTAACTGACCTGAGCTCACGGGCGTAATAGTTGTGAGGGATGGCGGTCAGTACACCCGCGCCATCACCAGTGTCGTTGTCACAGGCGCAGGCGCCGCGATGGTTCATGCGCATGGCCAGCCTCTCAGCATCCCTTACAATCTGCAACAAGAGACACCAGTGATCAGTGGTCAGTGGAGGAGGTCGAGGACAAATAACACAAAGGTAGCAAGTCGGGAAATGAAATGGGATTGTCTACACCTCTGAGTGGTATTTTATATGAGAGTACTCAATACACTTTTTAGGAAAATTTGTTCAAAACACCTCAAATTCTTGTAGATACGTCAGGAATCGAACCCTCCCCTCCCTAAAAACTTGTAATACACCCCCCAAAAAAAATAAAAAAATTTTAAATACTAAAAATAAATAACTAGCCGTTCAATTACCAAGGAAAACTGACATCTATGTTAAATATATATGTTGGTAAAATTTATAGTAAATTGGCACAAAAATAGTTTCATAATACCCTCGCCGCAGCAAACCTGCAGACTAAGCGAATTTCAACTTGTCTGATTACATTTTTACTAAAAATATTTCCATAAATAAAACATATATATTTCCAATTTAAATAACATTAGATTTAACGAGGGCTTAGGTTTGCTGCTACGGGGAAGGTAAAAAGTGTTTTTAAGTGTTTTTTTTCAAATATGTCAATACTATAGGATGAAATAAATAAATTTGTCAAATTTTATCAACATTATATCCATAAACAAGTAAATTACAACTGTTTTCATTTTCTCCATGAGAATAACATGGGAATTTTAAATTACACTTTTTTTTATTTTCTCCGTGACCGTTAGGCATACAACAGCCCTTCAATATACTAAATTATTTCTTTTTTTAAGCTCTACAAAATGGTTGAGAAAGAAAATACAAAATTTGTTGTTTTTAGGTTAAAAATGGGAAAACCCCATTTTTACCCCATAAAACCCCCCATAAACCCCTGTTCCCATGGTCCGATTATGCTGGTTCCCGAACTCGTTCGAATAAACGTAGGTTTACATGTTTGTACCAAATTTCATCAAAATCGGATCGTTTTTGCTCGAGTTATCGCGCTAACGGACATATATATAAATATATATATATATATGAATTTGAACTGATGGTGTTTTTGGCCTCTAGGGACCTCAAAACGAAAAAGGAAATCGGTTCCGGGTCTAGGTCTTACCATGAGACCTACGGTAATAGCTTATTCCCTATATGGGAAATTCGCTAAAAACGGTTTGGTTGCATAATTGCAAGTTTGTAATTACTTTAGCTAAATGTACTGTAAACCAAGCAAATGATAAGTGTAAAATACAGTGAGATGCATTTTGTGTAGCTTTGTTACTGATTTTATCTATAGCCAGGAACAATCGTTAAATGCACAACAATCAAAGACAGCTGGTTACAGTTTTGAAACCATTGAAAAACTACTGATTTTTCTCAATATCAATCCAGCATCAGTATTCAGTAGCATAATAGCACAACCAGTTAGCACCTAGCACTTCGCTGCCATAAAAATCCCTTTGAAAACTTAAAAGAAACTCCAAGGCAGCACCTTTGACAAGTGCAACACTATTACAGATAACAATCTGCTGAGCATTGCCACTGGGACGTGTCAATGCTCTGTGTAAATGCTGGATAAGCAAAGTCAGCTCAGCAGCTGACTACAGCAGCATAGATTTTCCTTAGTCGTAGAAATACAACTATGCATACTGAGAAGAATGATTACACTCTGCAACCCAACAAATAGTTTTGGGTTCAAAATGTATTAAAAGTAGGCCCAAGCTTCTTAATTGGTGAAGTAATACAGAATACAAAACTATGCCCCATATTATGTTTGGGGGTAGTACACTCCTTAGGATACCTTTCTCCCAAATAATGAAGTCCCTGATATGTATATACATGGGATGGGTTTGTCAGTTACCAATATTAAATCAAACTACACAGTTTAGTTTGTATAATTTATGCAAGGTTCAAAAGAGGAGTGACCGAAAGAGGGGGGCATTGGGGGTGGTTCCCCTCCACTTTAGAAGTATATATTGATAATTCAATAGAATGCTGATGAATTTAAATACAATTTTATCCCCTTCCCTGCATACATTTGTCCAATCTTCACCACTACCAAAGAGTACAAGATTTCCTATGTTCTCAATGGTTCGATGATTTAAAATGTAATGTAACATTATTGTTAATATTGAAGAATTCCATTTTTTAATACAATTTCGAATTTCTGTGATTGATCCTATTTTTTTTTTTTATAAATTGAAAACTCACATGAATTTGAATTTGTAAAATGGTTGAGTATTTACTTTGAGCTTATTATAACGTTTAAGTGACTAAATTGATTAAATGTATTAACAATTAAGTGAAGGTCAGGTATATATGAGGAGAAGAGACGAAGTTAACTAGTGGGAGGGAATGTAAAATTAATCACTACCCTCATCCATAATCGATCCATGCACTTTTCAGTAAAACCATACTTGTTTGGGGTGTAATAGTTTGGATATTTTTCAGGATCTTTTAGCTTAGAACAATATTACAAAAGTTTTTCGATATTTTTAATACTTAAGCAGATAGGCATTTTAATTATTTCATTGACACAATGTTCAATTAAAGATTATATTTGGACATAGAGAATAAGATACTTCTCCGTGGTTTGGATCTAAGACGGTAGTGTCAACTGTTATATTTTTAAAAGTTATTCAGCCCTAAACATAATTAAGTAGCAAAGAAACATTTCAAAACAAAACTCCTGTTGGCAAACTTTGGTTTTGGAAAATAATTAGTCCTATCACCATTGAACAGTGATAGTCTTATATGTTTATACAACATTTTGGTCATGTTTGTTAGGTTAATAGTTCAAAAAACTAAAATCGTTTTGAATTCATTTATACACCAGCCCTATCAGAAAATCTGGGGTTCGGTTAGGTGTCTAATATTAATTTATAACATCAACCCAACTTAAATAGTTAAAACTGACCACCATACAGTAAAGTTAAGCATTTAGTTTGGTGCAGTGAAGTATTTAAGTTGGGTATGTCAATGTCACAACAAAACAATAGTCTGTTAAAGGCAATTAAAGGATACCTGTAGGCTGTTAGACAGTTAGATATAACAACCTAATAATTGCTAAGTGAATTACCAAGTCAGAGGCACAAGACAGTCTGTGTACGATAAGTAACACCTTTGACAGAGATATATTTATACTCTTGACGCCACCAGTACCAGTCACGCACATGAAGTAATGAAACTAATGTAATAAAGTAATATACCACTGACTATAAGCAAACTATGTGCAGACTATAGTGCGCGGTACATGTGTAAGTTTATAATGGTGCGGCAAAATTATTGTCGTGGAAAATATCGATAATGAGACAATTCTTTGGAATTTGCCTTTATTGCACACAAACCTTGAAACACAAAGAAATGACGAAGTTGGTACTATCCAAATCTTTAGAAATAATATTTCTAAACATTTACAGGGCTAAATACTCAATTGTTACATAACATTATTAGACAGTTAAAAAAGTATTGATGCTAATCTTACACAGTTGAATATAAATCTACGTTAAGGCTCTAATAGAGAAAATCACATAAAAACCGTTGAGATTTTCGAACAATAGTGTAAAAAAATTTTACAATCATTTACCCCTTTTCATAAAAAATCCTAAAGAGCCTGATATATCTCCAAATACAAGCGGCCCCAAGCGGCCACGGAGATGTTCGTACCGTCTACATTAGTCAATTGCATACAATAATAAAGTAGGCCTAATTGCAATTTAAAAACTCAAACTCACCATTAACCTATGATAGAGCTCTCAACCGTGTAGGAAGTAATATTATATATCGTTCAGTCAATGTATTCCTTTTCATTATTTAACTGTCAACAAAAAGTCTTTGTATCTCCAACTAAAAACTTCATAAGAAACGATTTATCACTACTGTATATACAGGGTGTTGAAAATGTCTGGAACCAACATTATATCTGGTGAGTGGTTAAAGGAAAACAAATGATATTTTGTGTACGGATATACTATGGTTTTACCTATCTTTTGGTGCCTTATGAAAATTTTTACCACTTATAGGGAACGTCCTGTGGAGGATGCAGTAAAAAGTTTTAATGGAAGCCTATGGTATATGATACATCATTTTAAAGGCCATTTTTTTCTGAGTAAGGAGCCACAAGTTTCATCTCAAAAGGACCACCCTAGCAAAAATGGCGACTGTTTGAAATTTAAAAAACCCCTTATAGGGAACGGAATTTTTAAATTTCAAACAGTCGCCATTTTCGCTAGGGTGGTCCTTTTGAGATGAAACTTGTGGCTCCTTACTCAGAAAAAAATAGCCTTTAAAATGATGTATCATTTACCATAGGCTTCAATGAAAACTTTTTACTGCATCCTCCACAGAACGTTCCCTATAAGCGGTTATTTAAATTTCAAACAGTCGTCATTTTTGCTAGGGTGGTCCTTTTGAGATGAAACTTGTGGCTCCTTACTCAGAAAAAAATGGCCTTTAAAATGATGTATCATTTACCATAGGCTTCTATTTAAACTTATTACTGCATCCTCCACAGGACGTTCCCTATAAGTGGTAAAAATTTTCATAAGGCACCAAAAGATAGGTAAAACCATAGTATATCCGTACACAAAATATCATTTGTTTTCCTTTAACCACTCACCAGATATAATGTTGGTTCCAGACATTTTCAACACCCTGTATACATCTCCACCGCACTTACACCACCTACAAAACATGTACATTAGCGTGGAACTTATCAAAACAACCTATCTCGCAAAGCCCCGGCGTCCCGGGACATAAAGTGCACACATACACAGTCTGCTTCCTGCGACCCTCTTTGGAACACACGCGGCACAACTTCTTCGTCCTTTGTCCACGAGAGGTTCTGTGTTCGTTCTTGGATATCCTGTGTAAAGTGTTCATACTCGTGGTCATCACAGGTTCGACAGAACTTCGCGGCAAAATACCTTCGAGAATCTTTACTCTAAAGTCATTCAGACTCAACTTATTATTGTTGTGCTTGTTGTAAAGATAGAAAGCGTTCAATAAAACCATGTGTAACATATGTACAAACACCTTTTTCGGAGAACTTAAAGCCTGTCGTTCGCAAGGATAGTGGGCCATCATCTGTTCAATTCTGTCGACGCTCTTCATGCGGATGTTGTACTCAGCGGTGGGTTTGAGCACAGACTTGACTTGGTTGCGGTTATTTTCGACTTGTACCATGTCGTTTTGGAACTCCGTCGTGATGTATAGCAGCAGTGACCGATCGTCTTTCCATTTTGAAACAGTGACGCCATCAGAGTGGTTAGTAACTTGCTCACCTTTGTTCAAATTAGCCGTTTTTACTTGTGGAGGAATATGTTTTCTATCACTCTTGAGTGGTCCGGTGCAGTAGGTGTTGAGATGTAAGAGTCTTGAGGCTAAAGTGAAGCTGTTGTATGTTTCGTCTACGAATAACGAATGTCCTTTGTTGAGAAAATCATCTGCTAGTTTTAAAATGATTTGATCACTTCGTCCTTCATAGCACAGATAAGATTTACCCGTATTCACAACGTAACGTAAGAACAGGCCATCTGGCTCGTTGATGGAATGTATTTTGATCCCCAATTTGTATCGACTCCCTTTCCCAGACTGAGGACACACTAGCTTTCCCCGCCTCAGAACAATCCCTTCGTCAACAACCAAATCTTTCCCTGGATAGTAAATCTGTCGCATTCTACTGTTGAAATATTTAATTAGCACTTTAATTTGATTTTCTCTCTTCGTCTCTTCTCCCTCGGAGATTTTCGAGAAACTGAGGTATCGCAAAATCCAAAAGAATCTGCTGCGGGTCATGAACTGTCTAAACCCAGGTATGTTGAGCAAATAGTGGGTACTCCAATAGTCTTGTAGTCTGTTCAGTCCTATAGTTCCTGTATGCAGCAACAGTCCTATGAATGTTATAAACTCATCTATAGTGAGTTCTTTCCAGTCTGTGCTTGACATATCCGTTGATTCCGGATCAGACATGGCGTTTACAGCGAAGTCGTTAGTCACAGATATTATTTGCTCCAAGAAATCGATGTCGAGGAGCAAAGAGAACCAATCCAGTGGTGTGTTGTTCCCTGGGATGGGCACAAGTAGACGTGGTTCCCCGGTAAACTGTATCCTCCGCGTGACAGACGGTCCGAACGACCACGTGGGAGCAAGAGTTTCTTCTTCGCTGTCGGAGTCGCCGTCCTCATAATCGTCGTCTGTTGAGTCTTCGTCCGTAAACGATTCTTCCGCCAGGTCGGGGTCACTGTCCACCGAATCCATAGTCACTGCCACGTTCACAAATAACACGAGTCCGACGAACTCAAAATCGGAAACTTCCGAAAACAAAGACCGCTATAGACCGGTTCGCGAAGAACGTCCCGTCCCCAACAACCAAAAGGTCTAACGAAAATACAGTAGAAACGCGAACAAAGGGAAACAAGCAGACAAGAGATGTAACGGCCAGACGAAAGCTTCGATCAATGACTACTACTTCAGGAGTACGCCGCTGCGAGCGCTAGCCACACCGCTGCACCTACTACCTTCAGAGTAGTGTGTGTGTAGGTGTGAGTAGTCCACTCTACTTGTACAGCCAAAAGACCCCGGAAGACACACTTGAACAAACACACTCCGGCAATTATAGTGCAAATGATTCATCGTCGAATACATTAGAAGTGTTCAAAGTAGCACTTTTCCACTAGTTGTTGCAGCGAAGTGTAGATAAAGTAGACATTCTGTCATCGGTTGTGTTGTAAAGCGATTTGCAAATTTGGCAAGTATTCAGGAGAGTTCGGCGCTACGTCTACAACGTTGCCATTTCCTTTGCCAACTGTGTCTATCTAATGTATGTCGCGTGCAGACTGACAAGACATCGCCATCGCCACAGCAAAACACGTCTCATGTTTACTGCTTTGGAAACACTATTCTATTACACATTACTTTTGTTTTGTCTAAATTTAATAAACTTTTAACTTTAAAGAAATATAATTTAAGATTGTAAAAAGTACAGACACCAAAACAAAACATTAAATTCGACATCTGACTAACAACAGAAAGCAATAAACCAATCAGCTCATATTTAAAATAGTGAAATAGAAGAGTTATTGTCACTAAGTTGAGCCATAGATTAAACCATTGAAAACATACTAACATCCTTATGGAACAGCTGAAGCCAATTTTATTGTTAGTTATGTACGTCGCACTGTAGAGGTCGTGTTTTGTTTACAATTTGTTTATTGTTATTTCAGTAATATAAAAACCTGGTTTAGCCAAATAAAACGATCTAATCATTAACAATAACTGGTCTTCAATTTATATAAGCAAATAGCAAAGGACAAATCATGAAAATAACCCTAAAATAATAGAAATAAAATGTCATCTACACTAGAGATCAGTGTCGACGTACATGAACTAGCTAGATACGAAAAATAACAAGCTTCAAAATTTTTTCACTTGGTTGAACTAAATATATATACATTTTATTTTTCAATATTAGGTCTACATTATTATTTAGTTTGATTTATTTCAATATAATTATATACATCATGTAACTTATCTATAAGTGTCTACTTATATATCTATCTATAACTTATCTATCTATAGTGTCTACGTGCAAACAAAAAAATCATCCAACGTCATAGTGACGTCAGCTTTGCCCAGGGGGTAAAATTCCAGGGGGATAAAATTCCGGCGACCGAATTTATCAACTAACTTCTCAAAATTCACAATCATCCATGACATACGAAAAGCAAAAGAACCAAAGGATGCAATAATTGTGAAAATAATAATAGGGCCAATCTATAAGTAAAACCACCTCGTGAAAGAAGCGTTTAAAAAATTAGTCACAATCGCAGGACCCAAGTCCAGACGTCAAATTATCAATTATCAATTATCAATTATTTAAGATGGGGACGCCACTATGTGCGTATTTTAACCCAAATATGAGTGAAGGATGAGTGTAGGATGAGTGGCGCGATCTTGTAGTCTTGTTAGTGACTAAGGTCGACATGTTCCTTAGACACAGCTGTTAATTAATAGCCCATACAGCTAATGGCAACTAAGGGACCTACAGTTTATAGTGGAATCCGAACCACATTTTTCCTTGTAATTTACGAATCGGTCTAATTATCAGGATAGTACTGCGGATAGTCATAGTACTCACTAGTGCGGACGTTAATCCACACCAGGGAGCATCGCATCCACAGTGCATCCCTATAAATATCCACAATTCGTGACCTCCTAGTAGCTGGATTACAGGACGACGCCACCCGTCCCAGTCATACAGGGTAATGCCAACAAATATGCACACTCGTTTCATTCATCAACAGCTGTGAAGTGACTTGAGGAAAGGGGTTGTGGATGTGGGGAGAGTTATTATTGCCCTAGGTTATGTCCGCACGTGGGTGACCGAAATTGGTAAAGTTCCCCTGTTGTAGCATGGGGAGAGCTCCGAGAGTTGGGGGGGGAGGGGAGTTACTGGAAAATCGATACAAAACCAAAACTGAGTTTTCCAACCGAACGCCACTCCCTTACTTCAAGTTGTTTAGTGCGTATTGCGTAATCTTCGATGTAACATTACTTTCTCAAAATTTCAACTAAAATCTGATAACTGCTGTATTGTCAAAATATATTACTTTTCAAATTTAATTCTTATACAATGCCCCTGTTACACAAAAAAAATCACGTCTCCAAAAGATATGGGTAGCCCTAATTTTCGGTTAGCCTATACGCTTTACAGATTGATCTCGAAATTTAAGATGTCAAAAAAAGATCATATTACCAATATTTAACAGTTCTGTTGGGTATTTCTTTACAACGAACTTGTATTAATACAAATACGATATAGCTATCACACAATGTGATAGCTAACAATCAATCTAGAGTCGAAAACGACCGACCGATTATTTACCATTAACGTGAAATGTCACGTATTGATTTACTGATTCATTAACGGTCATCATTGATGAGATTACCTTCACCAGGCTGTTAAATGTTGTTTATTTGATCAAATGTTCGTGTAAAATTGAACAAAGTAAACTCAATACAATAAAGGGTAACACGGAACGCGTCAATCTAATTCACTTTGCCTAGCTACTAGCATCGATTATACATCGATGGCTACTAGTCGTGGGTAAATAATATAATAGATTCTAAGTAAATAATAAATAATTAGAGACTACAATGATAAGGAACTAAAACATTTACAATGCTTCGTAGAATGATGTTTGTTTTATACAGTTTGTCTGTAATAGGTCTACCCCTACGATTATAATTCATTTCAATACCCCCGCCGCAGCAAACCTGCAGACTAAGCGAATTTCCATTTGCCTGATTTGATTTTCAGTTTAGTCTATTTAACATAAGGTTAACGATTACCTAGGTTTTTCTGCTACGGGGGTGCTACAAAGTGTATTTTTTAGTAAAATATTAATATCCTCGTATAAAGTAATACAATTTGACAAGATTTATCAAATTATATCCATAAACAAGGAAACAACAACAATTTACAATATTTTCCATAAGAATAACATAGGAATTATCAAATTACGATTTTATCCGTAACTCCACAAAACAACTTCAATATACTAAATTATTTGTTTTGTTTTTTAAGCTCTTTAAAACAATCTAGAGAGAAATTGGAAAACTTTTAGATTTTAGGGTACAAAATTATAAAAACCAAAATTTACCCCACTAAACTCCCCATAAAACCCCCGTTCCCAAAGCCTGATCATGCTGGTTAGCGAACTCATTCAAGTTTATCCCGCCTTACACCTTCAAGCCGAATTTCATAAAAATCAGAAAAAATTACTTAAGTTATCGCGTTCACGGACTCACACTATATATGCATATATACAAATTTAAAAGAGTAGTGTTTTTGGCCTCTGGGAACATCAAAATGAAAAAGTAAATCAATCCCGGGCCTAGGTCTTACCATGAGACCTACGGTAATAGCTACTTCCCTATAGGACAATTCGCTAAAACCAGTCACGAAGTACAAAGCACTAAGCAGGAAATGCTGAGTCAGTCAATGTCTGGACTTGCCCTGTATTAGCAGCAAGTACTATCAGCACATGTAGGTACTATCAGCACATGTACCATCAGCAACAGTGATGGTACAATCAGCACTTCATCTATGCTACAATATCAGCATTGTAGGCAGCAACAGTACCAAGTAACGGCTGGTTCATCTCACAATGTCAGCACAAAACCGCTTGCTGGCACCACCACAGTTATGAGTGGGTGGCAACAGATTCTACAATGATCTACGAAGTTCCCCTTGGGAATGAAACTGCAGTAGTATATAGACTACAAGAGATCACTTTGACAGTAAGGTATTTAAAACCATTATTTTTTACATTTACTCTGCAAAGACGGTTATTTATTACAATTTCACTTCAATGTTTGACGTAGACGTAGAACAACATACTTCTTGAAGATATATCTGTCACTGTAGCATGCCTTCATTTATTAACTGAACGACCATCCTCTGACCTCTAACTACCTCAATCATAATAATCATGCTACAGTAAAACAAAGTCTGGTAAATATGCAATAGAAAATATTTTTTCGAGATACAATTCTAACAAAATTATAATATAGGAACAGTAGTATAAATAAAATGGAGGGGTTAGATCCAATCTCGCTAAGCCACCGGTCCACCCCCCCCCCCCCTCCGAAGCCCTACTACTTATTACTGTACTAATAATCTTCATTTGAATCAAAGTATTAAAATAACGAAAATATAAATTCAACATAGCCGCATCATTTAAACCGTTAACCTTGCCTGAAGTAATTACACAAATCTGTTCTTACGTTCTCTACTGGCGCGTTGCCATTGGCTGGACGAAGATGGTGTATTCGTTATGTTATGTAACACACGCGAGCTTCGACCCCGCGAATAGCGAATAAACCGGGTAATAAACTCCGCGAATGAGTGCGAAACGCCTAAAAACTTGGAGAGTGTAAAATTCCACAGCAGAGTGAATGTTTCCCCACAACTGTATCTCTGTGATTACTGTGAATGCTGAGCAACTACAAGATATCAAGGTGAATAACAGAAGAAGAACAGGAGTAACAAGAGTGGGATATTGCCTAGATACCTAAAATTAACTAACGTGGTATGACATTACGGTCGTTCACATTTAATTATAGATACTTCACAGACAAAAAAAGTCAATGCTATCACTCAACACTCAGTAATCAATTAATGTCAGATTGAGTGTTTAGTATCATGAGTGTGGCACTTGCATACCAAGAAAACTGCAAAGCTTCTTCGCTACAAGGTCTCTAAAAGACCAATTATTGAAATTTATAAAACATTTCAGTCCAAGACCTATACAAAATAGCAATCTGCGATTAATGTGGTCAGGAAATCGCGAAAATATGTTGTAAAATACGTTGGTGATATATACATAACTTAATAGGTTGGTGTTACAATTTTTAATCACCATTAAAATCGAAATATTCTTTTAAAAAAGCCGAATCAACGACTCAAAGTTAACCATGCGATGCCCTCAGCCATGTTCCAAGTATTTGATCGCAAAACGCTCAAATTATGTTGCAACTCATCTCAACCTCGGCGTGTTCAATTAGGCTAAATTTTGAAATAAACTAAAAATTACTTAACAACAACAAACAAACGTGTGAAAGGTCACTGCGATACACAGTAGCTACTGAACGCTGTAGTGCTTGAGCTTGAGTACGGATGTCGATAACCTTACATTGATAATAGTCAAGACGTCACCACATGCAGTATCAGTGATAAGTTACCATCAACACGTGATGACAGTGTGCCAGTAACCTACACTGAACAATTCTTTCGATTCAAACCCTTCATTAGTCGGGCATCAGCGACAATTCTTTGGCGAAGTTTGGATGCACAAAGTATTCAGGAGTTACAACCTCCTCCCTCTTTTGGGAAGGAAAGCTATTGAGCAATACCATTGACTATGTATACCTACAGTAGGTATATATAGTCAATGGCAATACATATCCAAACTGCATATGTTTTGGCTCATGAAAAAAAACGTTCTTCTAGGCATATTTCAGTTACAACCATCGGATGCAGATCTTCAGTCAATGTTAGGTCTCAGCATAATTTTGTTACCGACGTCTTATCCCCATCAAATACTACGCGGAGAAAACAACGATTCTAATCACTGAACAAATTGCATCAATTAACAAATTACCATATTTTGGTTAATTTATGTATATTGATCACTTTTATGTTGAATTTAAAAGTCAAATCGTAGATGATTGGTTCATAACTGTTTTAATATGCTGGGCTGACCACGGAAGTGTCACTGTCACACCAATTGTTGTTGGAATATTGGAATCGTTTATTTACGACAGGATTGCACAGTCCCTGCTGAAACGGAGATTAGGCAGCTTTGAAAAAAGGCTGTAAAGTATGATGTTAGATAATAATAGGTGAAAATCGTATCCATGCATTGAAGGGTCCATAACGTACTTCTAAAGTCCACGATGGATTGAAAATATACACTACATTTTAAAGAAGAAAACACGTGCTTGATGTTTAACCAAAATCTGACAAACTGCAATACAACTCTCCACACGGTAAGTGCATGTTCTGTTCGACACCGGCGCAGGGCGCAGAAGCGTGGGTGGGAACGTAGACGGAACTGATAAGCGAGTAACAAGTCCACTGATAAGCGCAAGACAGCTGGCAGCGTAATTGCGAGTGTCGCAACGATGAACACTACACGCGAAATGTGTGGACTTTGAACCTGACGAGTCAATAACCGCCAAAGTGTGTGGCTGGCACAAACGTACGAGGTTTCAACTGTAATGAGAACAAAGTCCAATCGGATTCACGGAATCGTTTCATGTCCGCTGTCGTTATCGTTAATAAATTAGTTTGCGATGTTGTAAACGGTGAATCACGCGATTGCGTAAGGTTGGTTTCCTGGCGTATCTTTAAAGGTTAAATGGAAATATTTTTGAAAATACCATGAATCACTTGTAATGTTATGTTTTGAAATGCGGCGGTCCATCTGGCGAGTGTTTAACATCAGTAATTACCGCGATCAACATTATTGTAAGTGTGCAAATATAGATAGACCAACTGCCTAAACCTACCAAGCAACAACTACTTTTAAGCACGATAAAAATCTGTGTAGCATTATTTTAATCAATGATTTCACTCTTCGTCTTCTGTATGGAAAATTCTGCTTGATGCTCGTAGACTTCAGCTGGACCTAAAGTCTTTACATTTCCCTTTACTTCTAGACTCCCTTGTACGCTCACCTTGTGAGATCTGGCTCCATCGATGGCGACTATGAAGCCGACACCGCACGCCTCCCTCTCTGCAGAAGGGTCGTACAGCCCCGAGGCTGGGGGTAGTGACCATGACGTCACCTCCTCGCTGGTCATCTCGCTCTGCAACAAACACAATCAGCTGATTAAACAAACATTCATGGACACAGACAATCATTTGCGTAAACAACCACGACGGCCGGGATAACTGGACAACAGTCCTCGTTTTTAGGTAGGCTCAGACATGCTGGACAACTTTTTTCAGACACCATAGAGGGTGAAATACAGTGCGGATTGCAAAAATGGGTCACTAAGTCTCATAACCTAGTCTACAATTCTGCTAAATTGGGCCGTGAATTTGTCCAATACGTGCTCAGCAGGTTTAACCTGCTGGGAAAACAATTCAAACTATACAACACATATTTCAGTAAAGGTTTGTTTCACGCCGAAGTTACTTCACTTGCATCTGCCACGAAGTGAGCGAGCTGAAGTTCTGTGCAATTGCACCACGTACAGCAATAGATTCTCTAGTACTCCTGTCTCGAGTATTTTATCAAGAAATTTTACGACAGACGGCGCCATCGCGAAGAGACCATTAACTTTTACGATGCAAATAGCGTTATTGGCTGAAAAGGTGTGCAGCACTTCCAATCAGTCTCACTACACGGTCGATAGCGTCTAGACTCAAGCAGAGTTGATCGGAATATCATATTAAATTACTCATTGCATAATTCAACACGTTGAACTGCAGTAAGCCTAATGTGTCCGGTGGCATTGGCCAAACTATGAATTGTGTTCGTCAAAGGATGAATACTTGGGAAAGAATAATTAAAAGTTTCTTCTTCATGTTTAACCATAGTATTTTCCTTCTGGATTTTCTGCTCAAACAAAATTAGGAACTTACAAAAAAATTATAAAGTTTTAGGCGATCACATAATTAAAGACAAGAAAACAAGACCAATTTCGTTAGTGCATATTTGTTCCAAGTTACGTGACGACAAAAAAATGAGGATCAGGGTAAAATACTTTCGAAAATAAGTCATAAGTAAATTTATTTGGCAAGATTTACATGAATGCATCGGCTAAGTCAGAAATTACATTAATAATGCAATTTGTCTTAAAAATAGGTACAATACCTTATTATAAAACAACTTTTGACTAAACAATTCATAAACAAAGTTGATTTACATTTGAATTTCAGTCAACCTTGTCGAATTCACTCTCAGACATTCTGTCCATATAAATACTCTCAAATATTGGTATATGCCGAGGACCAACTTTCAACAGTCGAACAGTGCACATTGAGTATGGGTTCCTTTCTCCGAGGATATAGGTTATTCAAATATTTTTAAACAGAAAAATCGACACCGAACAAATCACGTAAGATATTATCTGTACGAGGTTAACATTTACTACATGAGTCTGCATAGATGTTTTAATTAAATTGTGAACAAACAGAATGTCGCCAGTTCGATCCTAAAAATGCAAAAGCTTTAATGTGGATCGGGTTCGAAACTGTACCCAGCTGCCCTTGATTATTGGACGAACAAACGAGCCCTAAAGAAACAGCCGATATTATTCGATAAGCTAACGTCTCGTACATTCATCGCACAACCTTCACTAATCCTCTACAATGCACACTACAGTATGATGTGTCGGCGTCGCGTCGTTGAAATCTTAATCTAATTGCTTTGTCATGGACTATCCCAACATCACCATAAACATGACAAGACAAGCGCCAGTCCAGTGCGATGGTCCAGTAAAATGTTATCAGATGTTACGTTATTATCTACATTCCTTAAATGCTTCGCTGATGCGTCAGCTCGAATATACTGTCTCATCAAACATTATTGTAACTACTAGTGTTGTCATTTTTTAACTAAACTTTCATTTTTTAAATGGGCTCAGCAATCCATATTGAAATATTTAAAATTCCACGCAAAATATGGAAAAGGTCCCCATTCAATAAATGGAACTCCTATTTGGTGGGTTATTGCGTTTCATATGGTATCGTTATTAGGCCAATGTCAACTGACATATGGGCCTAGTTCAGAAGCCAACCTTCAAATCTTTCAAAATAGATATGGTGACCTTCACACTACAGTACTATTGTAGGCCTATACCGTTTTCCTCTAATATTTTCTTTACGCATTTAAGAAGTATAGATTGGTCATCAAGTTAATTTACAAAACTTATAAACACAATCTTTTTGGTTCTTTAGTCCGTAAAACACCAACAATGCAAGACATTTTGAAATTAAATGTAGTTGCTAAACGATTTTCAAGGCGAAGATAGGTGAAACATGAGTTTTGAACGTTTTGAAAGAGTGTTCAACTTGGTTACTATAAGATCAGCTGTTTATTTAGTTAAAATAATTTATTTAAGCCTTTCCGATCAAGGACAGCTGTTCCTAGTTTCGACTACACAATCTTTTTACACATAATGCAAGTAATTGTCCTAGGTAGGTTTGTGTTTGAAACAAAAAAATACAGGAACCGCCGGACCTCAGGGTAATCAAGGCCAGGGTCTAGAAGCGACTTTTGACTCCAATCCGTCATACGCTGATTAAGTACCGTTCTGAAAACGGCTGATATTACCTCCTAGAGGATTAAAAATATAGCAAACAAACTTAAAAAATGGTTAACAGGATGAATGAGATTGCGTAGCATTGTTATTGAACAAAATCAGCTGTTCTTCAGCCAAGATTATTGTAAGGCCGATGATCAAGGACAACTGGGTCCAGTTTGTAACTATCAAAAAAAAAAAAACTGACCTTTCCCAGGTTCGAACCCATAAACCTACACTTTGTCACACAGTCCTAACATCACCGCTTAATTAAGTTATTATTATTTACCATTTGAGATGAGGACGCCACCTCAAATTAAAGATAGTAGTATGAAAGTACAACATAAATTAAACATACCCCTTGAGTGAAAGGGCGCCAAATTAACAACCGCGAGTTGAAGAGCAACAAATTACAACTGAGTCACTTGCATCTGTGACGAATCACATAAACAATCAACACACGCAGTGATCTGACCTGACAAGGTGAATTCCACGAGCTTTCACTCTATATAGAGTTTACGATTACAGATTCTATTACAGGCTTCGTGGCGTAATCAAACACAGATCTAAAATACCCTTAACTACTCTCGACAATATAATAAAATCAAAAGAATGGCACGTCTCGAAGTATTTTATATTCTATTTGTGGTTAAATATCGTTAGCATTATCTTAGTTTTTATGGGAACTGTCCAACTCCTATATAGTCTTCTATCTGACGTAGTAATACGAATATGACATTTATTTGGGGTACAGACTTTTGTTTGAATATAGTGTAAAAATGTAAAAGGCGTTAAAAACGTTACGACTTGATTTTGGAGAACGAAGATTTCCGCACAGAACAAACCAAACGTAAAATGTTACGCAGACCCAATTACGTAAAACGTTCTATTTGTATTGAGGCAGATGTAGGAATTTGAATTGTACATGTGTTGTGTTATACAACTTTACCCTATGTGTGAGCACGTGGATTTTCTACGTTACTTTTCTGTGGTGTTATGCAACATATATGTAGCATACTGGATCTGTAAAAATTGGGACAAATATTATTGAGTTGTAAAATTCCATTAGCCAAACGAAATTAGGCAATAAACAAGTTTGTACTATTCCATAATATTGCGCAACAATCACTGCAAGTTGTATCTGCGTAAGAGCGTCCTTGAGGACAGGTAATTTGCATATCTCGGACGATGCAACTTTCGCAACCAATTGACGACAACTAAGTTAACTGACGAGGGTCAACCAACACCCAATGACGCGAGGGCTACTGCCGAAAATCTGGTTTGAAACCGTAGCACTCTCGGAGTTTTCAGAAATAAGGTAGGGAATTATAATTGGATGCAAAATAAAGGACAGCTAGTGAACTGCAGCTTTTAAGTCTTTAGTTAAATAAATCAATCATTATTGTTAAATTACTTCAGAAATAGTGTGAAGTGTCAGGAATGATCACCGTCGCCGTCGCCCTCAGTGTTCTCCAGTCGGCTCCCGCGACGTTACAATTAAATAAACACAGGCCTGTATTTCGTCCCCGACAACCTTTTGTTAAATGTTAATATGTCCGTATGTGTTCGTGTTTGTGTTCATGTGATTTTGACGACGTCCAAGCGACCGACTGTGACAACAATGCTTTGATTCTCGACATGCCCTACGTGACCAAGACGCAAACGGCGTGGAAACCATGGTTGTAGCTTCTATACAACATTTTTGACCTGTGACGAAAATTCAAGGTAAATAAAACCACTATTAATAGAAATAGTGTATTTATTGTGAAGGTTGCTGAAGAGAAATAGTATCTCAATAAATAAGATAGATCGAAATCGGTGATGCAAGAAACATAAGTGGAACATCACAACTATAATTTTCTTATCTATATACAACTGTCGTCCATCTACCAATACAACCAGTATCCTCATTATGCCAAGCATACGTTCGAAAATGTATTATATTGCAGAAATAAGTATAGGCCTATAGCTTACCGTTGCTATTGGCCCAAATACGGTGAAGCTATACACTTGCATATCTAAATCGCCTAAATTTCCATTAAAATGAGGCTTAAAGACCCCTCCACAGGGCCAGGGCCTGCACCTGCAACATGGGCCTTATGGGTCGCCTTGATGGACAAGCTGGTGAATAAATAACGACGAAATATAAACAGAAAGTCAAAACAAATCCAAGAAATTTCAATCCCATGTTTAATTTACTGTACAGCGTGGGGTGAAATAGAGAAGTTTGCACGGGGACGCGGAAAGGTCGCCCCCGGAAACATCACCCCCTACGTCATATTGACGTCAGAGACCGGGGGGTGATGTTTCCGGCCGCGGACACTCAATTTCAGTTGCAGCATGCACTCGTCGATATGACGAGTTATTTTTGAGTTTGCGTATTAATTAGATAATTATATTCACTTATCATATACAATTACCAGATTTTCTAATTAGAATTGATGATATTTCAAAATGCACACCCCGGAAAGGTCCCCCCCCTGCCATGATCTCCCCCGGTATACCTGCTGTAGGGCTTGGGCTCGTGACTCGAGCCAGCTATTGTTCACAAGGGTAGA